AATATGGCTAGTGTTGTAAATTTAATATAATATACTAAATGCCAGTCATTTTCTGATATTAACAAATAATTTTTTCCTTGGGGATGAGGGGGTGTTGTGATTCTATTTTGGGGGAGATCACTGGATGCAATTGTTGAAAGGAAGGATATCAAAACTGAATGAAGAAACAAAATGATTATATAATTCGATTGATAATATATTGATTTTTTTAGATATTATTAAATAAAGTGGATCTTTAGAGCTAGCTGACCTCGTGGGCCATTCAAGAAGGATAGATGGAATAGATGAGAATACTCTGATAGGATATCTGTAGATAGAATACTCCGGTGGGATATCTGTCGATATTGAAACTTCGGTGTGAGATCAAAATACAATGGTCTCGATAGCAATACTCCGGTGGAAGATTCAAGTGGAACAGATAAGAGAACTCCGTTGGGGGAATGAAAAGAGATAGATAGCATGAATAATAGAGTGGAGGGAGAGCTTACCACCAGAAAGGGGTGATAGCTAAAGAGAAAAAAAAATTCTATTTGAAAATAAATATTTTTAATTTAGATATATTTCCTGTATTATATTATTCAAAATTTTTAATAAAAATAACCGCCCCCCCCCCATTCCTTAATATATATTTATGATAAATTTCTCGTTTCTAACCTTTTGTAGATAATAAATTATAAATTATTTGCCAAGGTATATGTCGGGGGGGGGGGGGGAGTGAGGAATTTGCCCCCTGCTCTCCCCTCTGCTTACCTCGCCTGCTGTCATTTTATCATAGAAATCTGGAATTCAGATTAAAGCCTTATTCCAATATTTTTCTAAAGATGAAAGTTTTGGATGTCTTTCCCATAAATTCTTTCCTTTTCTAACTGAAAAATTTGAATTATCAACATTATTTTTAAAGTTTATCCATTTTCTAGGCAATGTTTCTCTTGTCTAAAACCAGTGGCCATTTTTTGCGACATCACAATCTCGATAGGTTGATCGGCAAATCTATCTTTGATTTCGGCCGGTTTCCCTAAATAGTATGGAGTCGTTAGGCCTCCTAAAGGAGGATCGTAAGTCTGGGATGTGACATGTGTTTCATTTCTCGCTAATAGAAACTCTGACCTCATGAAACTTCAAGAAATCAAAAAAATGCAATTAATATAAGTCCCTCTTAAATTCTTTTATTTTTATCCCTTTAATCTTTAGTGCTTTTGATAAACCCCTGTCCCAATCCCTAAAATTTTTAAATCAATTGGGTAAAAAAAATTCAAAAAGGAACGGGTGTTAAAAACGAGTCTATTTCCCTAAAACAAAGAAAATGGAAATTTGAAATCTTAAAAGTAAATTACAAGTGTTTCTTTGAAACGCTCCCTTTTCCCTCTTAGATGTTTTTTTTAAAACGCCTTATATAAAAAATGATATTTTTTAGTAACAATAGGTCATCCAACTATAATATTGATTAAATTTATTGAATTCTATACCTAGTCGTGTTGTTCAAATAAATTAATCTATAAAAAATTATTTTGTTTTTAAATTACTTTTTGTGATCAAATAAAAACACACTTATTTTTTTAAAATATAAATTATGATCGCCTCGGATATTCCTATATATCATCCACCGCAGAGCGGAACCACCTAGTTGGCTTCATAAAAATATATGATCCTTACATGGATTCGAACCCATAACTATGGGATTTTAATATACCCACCTTAAATATTTTATATAAATAACTTTATATTTAAAAAGAAAGTAAAAATGTGATCAGGGACTGAAGCGATTGGCGGAACAATCTTAAAGCGCATAAAGATCTACCTTAAATTTGTTGTAAAAATGTATTTTTTTTATATATAGTTTCTTAATCTATGTTCATTTTTTTTTGTAAAACTTTCGGGATATATTTTACCAGGACAACCATTTTTTTTACCAAAAAATAATAAAAAAAATCACCGATTTTATATTTAGCCATAATTTAAAGATTGGCATACCTTAAACATAGCTATATAATAAAATTAATTGGAATAGCTTAACAAGAAGGAAGTTACGTGATAAAGATTTGTATGATATCCATAATAAAATATTAAATCACCTATAGAATCTAGAAAACGAACAATAAATTACCATATTAAAATTATTTTTGTCAAATAATAACTAAATACAAAATTTTTTTGTGGAAAAATAGGTTAAATGTAAAACCGGATATCCCCTCTTATACTGCTAAAATTATTTTTGAAAATTAAGTAATGATTACCTAATCGCGCGGATAACAACAGAGAAAAAATAATTGGAATGATGATCATTTGGATATAATTAGAGATTTGTTCAATATAATTTGTATTTGTTATTTGGCTTTTTAAAAAATTTGCGATTTTTTATACCTTTAAAAAAACACTTTTCTATTGACACACCTAAAATAATTTTGAGATATTTTGATTGGTGCATTCGTTGTACATGTTTATCAAAGTTAAAAATAATTGTATATAAAAATATAACCCCACCCCCTCCTACCTTTCATCCCATATACAAAAAAATTTCTGAAAATTTTTCAAATTATTTTTTTAAACACAAAAATATAGATTTTATTTAGCGAAGTTCAAATTTCGTAATAATTTTTCTACAACCTTTTCAAAAACTACAAATTAAACAAACATAATTATAAGGTATATATATATATATATATATATTCCTAAAATAATTTAATAGGATTTCCTAAAACTCGAAAGTAAAATTAGACTTTTGAAATGCTTAGAAATAGCTAAAAAATAATGGTTTTTTTTTGACAAAGCATACAAATAGCCCGATCGGAAAAAGAGAAGAAAAAATCGATAAAATAAAAGTAAAAAATGTAATTAAAATAGGAAAAGATCCGATCAAAAAAAGGAAAAATCTTACCTTGAATTCATAATGGCGCTATTGCTAATCGCGATTTAACAGCTGATCGATTTTTAAAATATTCTGTGTATAAGAAGACCAATTTTTATTTTTTTAACATTAATTTTATCTTTAATTCAATTCATAATAATAATATTCTAAGAAATAATGATTTTAACAGAGAAGAATTGATCCCATAAAAAAAATCTCAGCTGTTTAATCGCGATCGCAATCGCGCCACTTTGAATTCATGGTTATCTCGAAAAGGAAAAGGTTCAAATCAAAAAAGAAGAAAACGTGATTTAATATAATTTTCGAATATTTTTTTAAAAATAATCTTCCTTAAATTTATTTATTTTATGTCATTTTATAAATGTCTATTTGGGATTTTGGCTTTATTGGTTATTTTTAATTGATTTCCCTTACAAAAAAAAATTTCGCATCTTTTGTTATCTTTCTTTAATTTTTTTGTCATTTTTAATATTTCCTTCTTTCTTTCTTTCTTTCTTTCTTTCTTTCTTTCTTTCTTTATTTTTGTATTCATTTTTCTCAGTTTCATTTATTTCAGAGAAATGCAAAGTTATCATTTGCACGGCCTGGCCCGGATTCCTTTCTAACAGGCCCCGAGTTTCGTATCTTTAGTCCAGGCCCTTGTGTAAACTAACTTATATAAACATAAAATGAAAAAAAATTTTAAGTTTCCGTCATTATTTTTTGAGTTATGATGCCAATTCTCAGTTTAGTCAATTTTTTTTAGATTTTTGGGATTTTATAAATATTTTATTTTTTTGAATCATTTTGTGTAAACTTACTTATATAAACATAAAATGAAAAAGTTAGATAAACTGGAAAAGTAAATGAATAAATAAAATATAACCCCAAAAGATAATTTGACTAATTTGCAAATATAATTTGAAAGGCATGCGTTTTAAAACGCCCCAATATTTGCGAACTTTTGATCATGTATACTTATTCCTACGTTTTAGGTCTAAAAAATAACTATTAAAAACAGATATTTTAAATTCTTAAAAGATTATTTACTTCTAAAATAAAATATTAAAGGAATTCTAATATAAATTTTATCAAATTTCTTGAAAAAAATGTATTTATAAATCAATTTGAATTGAAAAATTGATAAAAAAAATCCTAAACAATTTTTAGCCAACTTAATTGATTAATATATGAACACATGATTGAAGTTTTCTTATTTTGCAAATCTGTTAGAGACCGATCAATTTTGATAAAACCTTCGATTGTAGTGTGTGAAGCAAACATATAATACCTAGACTGAAGAATTCATAATAATGCATATGATAGCGGCTTTCAATGCAAATCAGCGCCATTTTAGTTAACCCATAATTATTCTCATGTTAAAAACTACTATTGATAACTTACTTCCTTATTATCTCGATGACCAGGCAATTTTTTAATAAAGTTTGTGTTAGACATAGGAATAATAAATTGGCCTCTCGTTTAAAATTTTTAATAATGATATGGGTAATCAAAATGGCGTCCCCAGCGGTATTATTACCATTAGTGTGAAGACTGCTTTTTCTGGCAAGGATATATAACATGTTCCCATTTTACATTTTACAGCCCCCCCCCCTTCCCAAGATTTAAAAATCACCCGGTACTGATTTAATTATTATTTTTTAACTACCATGTAATTATTTCTTTATTTATTAAAAATTAACACTTATTCATTTTTCAAAATTAACGTCTTTTTGGGGTAGGTTTAAGCATATCAATGAGCATATAAAGATAATGAAAATTAAAATAGTATAAATATTTATTTTTATATTTCTGATCGTATGGGATGGCCATCTTTGTCTCGTTTTTTTTGTCGAGGCTTTTGGGTCGAGCTACAAATCATTACTTCAATTAACAAAATAAGTTGATCTTCCATTTTTGAAAAATGTCTCCTTAATTTTTTTTTTAATATAAATCCTCCATTTTTAATTTTTAATTTTTAATTCTAATTTTCATATATTTCTAAATTGTTTTATATATAGTTTTTATTCCAAATTAATAATATAAAAAAATGAAATCTTTCGAAATAATTTGTAAAAAACTAATATGATTTATAATTTATTTATTTTTTAATAAAAAAACACGCGCACACAATTTTAACATTAGTATATAAATATTTTGAAGGGAAATAATAAATATGATATATGTATCTGTATATTTGTATCTGTTAGTGTACAATACCATGAATGATTATTTGATTATTATAAAATAACACCAATTTATTTTTTTAAATGCTGGAAAACTGACAAGTTCGGGAGAATAATATAAATAATTTCAATTTTCAGAACTTATAATTTTTCCTAATATAAAAAAAAACAATTAAATCAATAAAAAAATATGGCTAAAAAAATTAGTGACGTGTTAATAAAAATGGAAATTTCATCCACAAGTTAAACGCATTAGGCATTCAGCTTGACCCAGCGAATTAGAGGAAAGGCAAGTGTAATTGCCTGAGTTTTCTTTTTCGCAGTTATATATCGTCATTTTGTAAAGGTCATCTTCGTTGAAGACGTCTATATTATCCGCTTCTATGGGATTGCCGTTGAATAACCAAGTGACATCCGGTTTTGGAATACCTTTATCAAAACCAAAAAAAAGGTAAATAATGCGTTCTTTAATTGAACATCTATAACAGTTAATTTATATGATTTTAAAAACTAACCCATAACATATCGGTGCATCTCTGATAAATATTGCATCATTTAAACCAGATTTCAGAAATGACAAAGATTTTAAAAAATAAAACATACTTTTTTTTAAAAAATCTATGAACCTAGGAAGCCATCTTTTAAAAAATAATTAAGAACCGGAACACACTAGTTCAATATTTTATCCAGAAAAAATTTTATTCTAAGGCACAAAGGTTTAAAATATATTAAAGAAATTTCGATGTTTTTAAAAATCGGACCCTAACAGAACTTCTAGACTATAATTTTAAAAAAATGTTTCAATTTACCTTGAATCTGGCATTCAACCGTGATTGTATGCCCTTCCTGAACCTTAATATCTTCCAACTTTTTTACGAATTCTGGCTTCGACTCTGATAGATCTCCTATTTCTTTACCTCTAGGAGTCGTCTTAGTAGAAGCAATAACTTTCAATTGAGTGGAAGAGGAGGAATCTCCGAGAGCGTTACAAGCTATGCAAATATAATCGTCCTCTTGATTCGGAGCGACTGATGTGATTTTCAAGGTACATTTACCCTCTGGCGTTTGCGAAATCTGATATGGCGGTAAATTATCCAATTTCTAAAGGGATAGTACATAAATAAGATAGCAGTGTTAAAAAAAACAATTATTGATTTATCTAATATTTATATGTCGTAATCTTTAAAGAGATCAGAACTTTTCAAGATTATCAAGCAATGGGATCCCTTTAAGAATTCAGTATTTTGACTATAATGTTAAATATCACTAGAAGTGCCCGAGTGGTCGGGGGGGGGGAGAATTATAAATACTTAAATATAAATAGTATTAAATAAAATCAATTTCTTTCGACTATACTGTTAGTATCAGTTTTCGAGGGTGAGACTCGGTCTCAGGGGGTCAGAATTTTTAATTTTTTTATATAATAAAATATGTGTGTCAAATCAAAGTAATTGAAAAATCGTGTGACCATAATGTTAATTATTACTTTAAATGGGATGGTCTATTAAGTTATTGGGGGGTCAGGGATTTGTATATTTTTTCATATTATAATATTATTGTGCTCAAGTGGTTTTTTAATTAGATTTAATTTACTACCTATATTGAACATTTATGATATTAAAAAATTTATGGTTCCTGACTAGACCAGACCCGCCTATAGTGTGATATCACCGTTAAAACGTGATAATACAGTTAAAATAGAAAATATAAGGGTGTTCATTTCACATAATTTTTGAATTTACTTCTGCTCCTTTGAACCAAATAATGGTGGGCGGTGGGTTACCTTCAACCTTGCATGTTAATAAGACGGATTCTCCCTCGGGGATAGATAAGGGTTTTAGCAAATCAACGAAACGTGGCGCGCTATTTTCTTTGACTGAGAAATACAAGAAACAAAATAATTTGTACATATTCAGAATTCATATAGTCATTGATTAATAAGTAAATCTCACAGAAGCAATGCTGTGTTAAAAACTATCACATATAAAGAATTTGACGTGTATTTAGAAATTGTAATAAAATAAATATTTTTTACGCAAAATCATATTTTGAGATGGCTTTTTATATCAGCCTGAAAATTTATGTAACTTGCAATATAAAATTATATTAATTAGTTTGAATAATTTTAAATATCAATTAATAAAAAAAATTTATAATGAAAGACTATTTTTTTCCCATAGAAATTATATTTTTATAATTAATTTATAAAATTTAAAATAAAGTATATTTTTATTTTACACGTCATCTCAATAAGTAAATATAAATCAAAATGTTTAAAAATTTTTTGGTTACCTTCAACCTTGCATGTTAATAAGTCGGATTCTCCCTCGGGGATAGATAAAGGTTTTAGCAAATCAACGAAACATGGCGCACTATTTTCTTTGAGATTATCTGAGAATTACAAGAAACAAAATAAGTTGTAAGTATTCAGAATTCATATAATCAATGATTAATAAGTAAATCTCACAGAAGCAATGCTGTGTTAAAAACTATCATATATAAAGAATTTGACGTGTATAGAAAATCTAATAATATAATAAATATTTTATAGGCAAAATCATTTTTTGAGATTGTTATATATATATACTTGAAAATTTATTTAATTTTCAAACAAAAGTAAAATAATTAATTTGAATAATTTTAAATATCAATTAATAAAAAAATATTTATAATGCAAGACTATTTTCCCAAAGAAATTATATTTTTATGATTAATTAATTTATAAAATTTAAAATAAAATATATTCTTATTTTACACGTCATCTCAATAAGGATATATAAATCAAAATGTTTAAAAAATTTTGGGTTACCTTCAACCTTGCATGTTAATAAGTCGGATTCTCCCTCGTGGATAGATAAGGGTTTTAGCAAATCAACGAAACTTGGTGCGCTATTTTCTTTGAGATTATCTAAGAAATACAAGAAACAAAATAAGTTATAAATATTCAGAATTCATATAATCATTGATTAATAAGTAAATCTCACAGAAACAATGCTGTGTTAAAAACTATCATATATAAAGAATTTGACGTGTATATTTAGAAATTGTAATAATATAATAAATATTTTACAGGCAAATTCATTTTTTGAGATGGTTATTTATATATAGCCTGAAAATTTATTTAATTTGCAAAATAAAAGTAATCTAATTATTTTGAATAATTTTAAATATCAATTAATAAAAAAAAATTTATAATGTGCAAGACTATTTTCCCAAAGATTTTATATTTTTATGATTAATTAATTTATAAAAAATAAATAAAATATATTCTTATTTTACACGTCATCTCAATAAGGATATATAAATCAAAATGTTTAAAAAATTTTGGGTTACCTTCAATCTTGCATGTTAATAAGTCGGATTCTCTCTCGGGGATAGATAAGGGTTTTAGCAAATCAACGAAACTTGGTGCGCTATTTTCTTTGAGATTATCTAAGAAATACAAGAAACAAAATAAGTTGTAAATATTCAGAATTCATATAGTCATTGATTAATAAGTAAATCTCACAGAAGCAATGCTGTCTTAAAAACTATCATATATAAAGAATTTGACGTGTATTTAGAAATTGTAATAATATAATAAATATTTTATACGCAAAATCATTTTTTGATGGTTATTTATATCAGCCTGTATAAAAGTATAATATTTAATTTGAATCATTTTAAATATCAATTAATAAAAAAAATTTATAATGCAAGACTATTTTCCCATAGAAATTATATTTTTATGATTAATTAATTTATAAAATTTAAAATAAAGTATATTCTTATTTTACACGTCATCTCAATAAGGATATACAAATCAAAATGTTTAAAAAATTTTACAAAGCAAAACAATCAAATCCAAAGTGTCAAAATTTGTATACTACATATGTATATTAATAATTCTATTTTTTTTAGCTCTATTAAGAATTATTATACAATTTTTTTATATATATATACATTATATTTTTTAAAGGTTAAACAAGGAGAAGTAGCAATAAACTAAAATCTGATAACGGTTACGAATTAGAAGATAGTCATGGAGAGTCAGACGAGTGATCCACCATTCAACATCCAGCATCGAGACCAAAGAGTGAAGATAGGGAAGTCGCCAAAGTAGTTATTGGAACAAAATGACAAGGATAAATTAGAATATGACAAAAAGATTAAAAGATTCGGAAAGTAAAAGCAAATCATCCATATACGAAGACGCTCTAAGCAATGGAAATAATAGGGATTACGAGGGTATATTAAGTTTTAATTGACTCCAAATAAAAAATGGGTTTGGAAACGACAGGCCGAGATCTAACCTACTTCTACTCCTCTATTTTCTAGAAAGACCTTTGGCAAACGATTTATTTTTAGCATAGTATACATTAATTTCGCCGAATTATAATAAATAAATAAAAATCGACAATTTCGGCATTATCGACCTTTGATTATTTCGCATATTGGTGTTAGGAAGTATAATTTTGGGTTTCAATGATCATTATATAAAATTTCATTAAAATGGAAAGAGTTTGGGTTGACAAATTTTTTTAATACTACACAATGTAGCTATAAGGTTTCCCTAATATTCATTAAAATAGTTAAGACAAACTTAACAAGTTTATAAACTGGGTGGATGGGAGCAATTTATATTTTCTAGGTGATCAGGGGTAAAAAAAAATCTTTGAGGGGTGGAAGAGGAGTAGAAGTAGGAAGTAGGTTAGATCTCGGCCTGTCGTTTCCAAAAATTTTTTTTTAGAGTCAATAAAAACTTAATGTATCCTAGTGGGGAGATCTGTCTTATTTCCATTGCTCTTATGCGTTTTCGTATACGGATGATTCGCTCTTACTTTCCGAATCTTTTAATCGATTTTTGTCATATTCTAATTTATCTTTGTTATTTTGTTCCAATAATTCCTCTACCTTGATGACTTCCCTATCTTCCTTCTTTGGTCTCGATGCTGGCGGATCGCTCGTCTGACTCTCCATGACTATCTTCTTATTCGACACCGTTATCAGATTTTGGTTTATTGCAACTTCTCCTTCTATAACCTTTAAAAAAATATAATTTAGATATATTTAAGAAAATTTTATAATAATTCTTAATAGAGCTATAAAAAAAATAGAATTATTAAAAATTATACTTATGTAGTCTTTATTTTTACTGAATCATGTTTCTATATTAAGTTACTTTCGCTAGATTTATCAGGACTCTTCCTGAAAGAGCTGCTTCTGTCTTGAAAAGTTGACGATCCTATCGTAGGAGTTCTAGTAGATCTTTCTACATAAGACGAGTTTCTACTAGGAGCATAAGAGGGAATGAAATTGCCATTATCCTGAGATGACGAATAATTCTCTGAGAAGAATTAAATATAAAATAAAGTTTTAAAAAAAATGTTTTGAATAATATATTTCATAAAAATGTAGCCATTGTTGTATTTGTATTATAATAATTATAACGACAATCAATTTCAATATTTCGTTGTTTATAATGTTAAAATATCATTTCCATTTATTTTTTTTAAATTTTCATTTTTAAATCGTTTTATTCTTTAAAATTCGATACTACATTTATTGGTTATGTTTTATCTTATTAGTTGGATGGATATAGAATATTATAATCCTTGATAAAAAAAACAAACTAAAAATGCACATAGTACAATTAAATCCTGGTGATCCCTGGAAATCTAGATTCATTTTTAGCATTATTGTTTGAATCAATATTTCTGATTTAAAAAGTATATATTCTGCGAAAAAAATCAATTTTTTCAAAAAGTGGACATAGAATAGTATAATCTTCAGACATGCGACGATTAATCTCAGGAACTAAATGCTGTATTTATCAAGGAAATACTAATAAAAAAAAGTAATGTTATGTTAAAGGCTAGAAGTAATTGAAAGTAATGAAGAATAACAATATTTCGTCGGCTTTGAGTATTATAATGTTCTATATCCATATTTTTCAAATTTTTAAAGAGAGCATTTATTTAAAAAAAATAAATTGTTTCTTGCATTTTAAATAGGAGATAACTAACACTTTAACAATGCAAATAAAGGATTATTCCAATTTTTACTGTTGATTCGGAAAAAAATATAATAATAAAGAATTGATTTATCGAAAAATATGCAAATTGCAAAAATGTGGAACAGTATGTTACTCAGCAGACGATTCAACAAATCAAATGTAAAAAAATTTCAATTTTGTTGCATATATATTTTTTTATCTTTATTAATAGTATTTTTTTACGCGTAATAATTTGGCCGTGTAACGGCGCAAACACTCAACTTTAAATTATATCATTTTTTAAGCGCATGCGTAACATTCTTATGTTTGAATAAAGTTTCGGCTATAAATTTTTTTTAAAAAAATTTGATATTTAAAATATTAATCAGACAATATTTATCTTTGTTGAAGAATATATCAATGCGCCACATAGTCAAATCCCTTTGATTTGATATACTTACAGATGCAGAATGATTTTAATATTAACTTGACGAAAAACTAATTTTTGATAAAATATATTGAATTAGGCATGTTTTATATTTCCATCCTTCTACCCTTTACCATACATTTCTCTACCTACACATTCATCCATCCATCCATCCATTTATCATGTTAAAATAGCCACTGTTTATATACCTCTCAACATTATGCTAGCACCAGTCGAAACACTATTAGTCAAGTAAGTGCAAAAGCAGGTATATTCTCCTTCATCAAAGACATTGAAATCGTGGACTAGTAGTATATGACGAGAGTCCAGGGAGAAGATATTGTATTTTAAGGAAGAACATATTTCGACTTGATCTTTGAACCTTTAATTGTAAATCAATGCAATATTATTATAAAAAATATATTTGTAGAATGAAAAAAATAACAAAATGTCTTTTTTATAAGTTATTAAATATTAATTTATATTTTTATTGGGAATTAGGTCATTGTCAAAATCAAACAACTACAGCACACACATCAATAGATACAAGTAATATTACTTTTAATGAAATTGAAACATCTTTTAAGAAAAACTTACTGAAACCAAATCGAAAATATCAAAAGCTATTTTAAAAATAATAATTAACTACCCAAAAATAGGTTAGTTGCCAAGGAAGGCTTATAAAAACCTTATTTAAAGCAAAGAATCATATCTGTATAATTTTATGAATAGGCTGAAGAGCCTATAAAAGGTATAAATTTTTCTTATGTCACCATTATATTAATATTGATAATTGACCTTTATTTTTGTTTATTTTTTTAAATTTATTTTATTTTGTTGATATTGGAAATTGAATTTTGAAAATTGTCAAAATATTTATAAGAAACGGTTATATTCTTTTGGCACTAATATATGATCGCATGTCTACTAAAATTTTATGCTTAAAAAATGGCTCTTTTTTGAATTTTTATTTTATAATTGAATTTACCAAGATTTATATATAGTTGTTTATTTTGGTGTTTTCAACAACATAAATTTTGGTTTTAAGCCTTTTTTAAAAAATATTAAAGGCGGGCATAAAAAAATTGAAACTGGACCGACAAGGCGGGCACAAGCAGTAAAATTCCCACTGGGGCAGGCCGAGTCTGAAAACTTTCCATTCGCAGTCCTATGCACTCTCGAGACCTTTGTAACTTGTAAATTTCCAACTACATTTAATATTATTCTAAAAAAAAAATCTGGCAAGTTTATTTATGAAGAAATCAAATTAAGTGTTATTTGTATAATATTAAAAAAGCGAATATCTTGATTCGCGTTTAACTATAAATTTATATATATATAAAAGAATATTTTTCAAACCAGCAAATAATTGAACATTCGGGTGCCTGAATATAAGTCTCCATACGTAACGTTTTCCCTTCTTTAACCGTAGCATTTCTCAAGGGTAGTATCACTTCCATTTTCCCATCTGTAATATAAATGTAAACACTAGATAAGTAAAAAAATTTATAATATATACCGCTTTTTTTGTGTAATGGTTCTAATGTCATAAAAGATATGTTAAAATTTAACACCATCCCCCCCCCTTCCTACATATTTTTAAAGTTTTTAAAAATTATAACTGAAGGGCGAAATCGGAGCTTCTCTAGGCTTCACGCATTCCGCCGATCGGATACTTTTTCCGGCCTCGTTCACGGAAAACACCCTGAAAGAATATTCGCGTTCGGGTACGATGCCATCTACCCTCAAAGAGGTGTTTTGAATCAAGAAGGGATAAAAGTCTTCATCGCCCATATCTCCAAATTCCGATGGGAGTTTATGATGAGATAATGTTATATCGCTCCCAATCGAGGAAAAAGTTTTATCGGTCACGGGAACCCAATAGTTTTCTAATTGATCGAGTTTTTCCACTAGGTATCCAAAACATGTTCCGTTTTCTATAAGTTTTTATAAAAACAAATATAATGATCTTTAGCGGTTAAAAAAAAAGTAACATATGTTTTCAAGGAATTTATGAAAGAAGTAAATTTTTTTTTAAAAAGAGGTTAAATTAAGATTTTAAAGCAATCATGAATTTATCTAAGCTTCGAAGATTTTGCCCAAACAATGGGCTGAAAGGTTAGAACTTTTTACTGGGAAATATCGAGGGTTAAGGTAATATTTGTTGGTATAAGATCTTGAGGTTTTTCAGTCGTGATTAATATTTATTATATTACAAATAATTTATGAAATAATTTTGATGATGATGAAGAAATGGAAGGAAGAAGAAACAACTGGAAATACCAAAAAGAAAGAATTATATAAATATTACTGACTAACAAATTGTAATGTAACAAAAAAAATTTGTTTTGTAAATATTTTTTTACGATTTTTTAAGGGTGGGTTCCAATTCAATTGAATTGATTCGGTAGATGATAAATCATTAGATGCTCCCACGCATAGTTTCTTCCCATCTTGGCTAATAACATCCGAGATAGTTAAATTTGTGGGTGCGTCTGGCAAAGCTTTAAAACAAAATATATATATCTGTATTTATATGTGCGGCTTTAAAGAGTGATCATAGAAAGAAAGTTAAAAACTAATGTATAAATGATTTTGTTCTAGTCAATTGGAACATAAATATTATGCTATAGAAGATAAAAAAAAATTTAAAGTATTGATTATGTGTAATCATTTACTAATATGCGTAGGAATATGAAACTCGGTAACGGGTTCTAGGTAGGGACTTTTACCTTGCTCATTTATGGCATATATCCGGAATAAATATTTTTTGTTCGGAATCAAATCACTAACCGTACAATCGGTCGTCTAAATGGTAAATGTATATATTTGAAATAATAAAATTAATATAATGGTAGAACAAAATTGTTTAATTCCTAAATTTGCGAAAAAAATAAAAATAAATAATTAAGAACACAATATTTGAACATTCAACTTTAGTATGGATGGGGTTGTTTAAAAAGTAGTTTTCATAGTAGTAAAAAAAAATTTTTCATAAACTTAAATGATGAGATATTAGAATAGAATTCGAATAATATATCTCAAGCCACAATCAATAGAAAGAAAGAAAGAAAGAAAGAAAGAAAGAAAGAAAGAAAGAAAGAAAGAAAGAAAGAAAGAATCTAAAACCTATAGTATACAACTATTCGAAATATAACATATTTTAGGTACTTTAACTATAAATTGTAGAATACAAATTGATATATTCAAATTGATATAAACTGAGAGTAGCTCAATAGACGGGTAAAACTTTTCTGATAATTCACAGGGTATGTAAAATACGATAAGGGAATAATCAGGGTTTTCAAAGTTAAAAAATAAAGGAACCGCGATTCAACTTATTAAAATTTTTAAAGATTTGCTAAGAACCCAGATGAGGGAGTAGTGGATGCAAAAACGCTCCATTTAGGCCGATTTTTAAAAACTGCTAGCTCTTAAAGATTTTCCTCATAGATGGCACCAAGGCTTTGACATCTAATAGTAAAATCTTCAGGCTTAGCTTATATATTTCTGGCTAAAGTATCGAGTCAGCTGTTTTAAAAATCGGGTTCAAATTACAGAAAATCATAAGTGCGATACTTATTAATATTTTTTTCTTTTTAAAAAAAATAAATAAATAAACCTTGCAATAAGAATTGCAAGATATCCAATAATTTTTTCCTAGCATCCTCCGCTCGATTTCGTAATGCATTATAGGGCTTCCCCCTTCTTCGTCCGGTTTAGACCAGGAGAGATAAATTTCTGATTTATTCAAAACTTTATGAATCACTGGACCTTTTGGGCTACTTGGTGCTCCTTTAGGAAAAAGAAGAGTATAATTACTTTAAAAAAAATACGGAACAAATTTAATTTAACTTCTTATTAAGCTCAAACCCCTTCAGTGGCAAAGGGAAAGAAAAAAATCTACAGATAGTATGTGGTGTGTAAAGGCAGTATGGGAAATATTTCAAAACACGCTATGAGACCAACAGGAAACGGAAAAGGTTTGGGTTTTAAAGAATCCCCCTCCCCCGAGAGTTTGAGAAACCCCACACTACCTCTTAAATTTAAGTAATTATATAGGCCTCAATAATGATTGGTGGAATAAAGGTTGGACCTTCTTTTGATAAAATTTTGATTAGGTAATATTTTATAGGTTAAAATCTTGATTAATCGAGGTTTTTAACAAATACTACTGTCCTTTAGTAAGTATAGTGTATATATATATAATTTTATAGATATTTACCCAAAACTTTGACTTGAACTGCCCGAATGACAATCCCGCTAGGATTGGAAATTTCGAACATGTATTCACCAGAATCGGCGAGACCCACGCTACCCAATATAAGAGTCACGTTATCTATCGATTCTATCATTTTGAATCTAGCGTGCGAAGATTTTCTATAGTTACGAATCGGGAGAGCCATTCTAGAACGGCTTCGTTCTCTACTAGAGATCGAAGAAGATATACTTCCACCTAATTCCTCAGTTTCGTCATCGTAGCAGTATGGCATTTCCTCCCTCTGCAAATTGCCTACAAGGGATTTACCCATGATTATGCAACCATTCTTGGAAATTTGGTATTTGAAAGGCGGTGTGCCGTCTAAAAATATTTTAATTCTGCCCGTCGAACCTTGTTTAAATGATACGGAGTCGTTTTTCGGGCTTTGAATGATAATCGGAGGAGCTGAAAAGCGGGAAGAAAAATTTATTATTTTTGTTAAGTGATTCAAATCGGGAATTAATTTGTTAGAAAGAATTGTATATGTTAAACTTTACATTTTTATATAGCTTTAAAAAGATCATACAGAGTTTTGTAAATATTTTTTAACGATACATTTTACTATAGCTTCAATAATGTGTTTCAACAAAATTAAAAGCATCAAGTTTACTAAAATTTATTTGTATAAATGTCATAAATTAGGTCTAGTAGATTCTCAGCGACATGGAAAAGGGGAAATTGAGAAATTGGTGAATATAAGCGGCAGAAAATGAAGGTGGGGCCAAGCTAAAAAAAGGGAACGTCTAATAAAAAATTAATATCAAATAACATAACTAGATTGTAAAAAATTTACCGATATATTTGGCGTAAGCAGTGGTGGAAATAATATCCGCGTCGTTTTGAAGGGTTAAAGTGTACTTGCCCTTATCGCCATCATCGGCTCGTGTAACCATAAGCGAATAATATGTAGGGCCGCTCTCCATATATTTGATACGTTCGGTTTCTCGCAGTTCAATTCCGTTTTTCAACCTTTTGGGTATAAAAATTAAAATTTTTCTCGACTGAAAATTTTACATCAGCGTATTTATTAATTATATTCCTCGTAGATATAAATTTGTCTACGCAATCCCCTATCACTTTCCTCCCCTCCTCTCCGAAACAAGATAAATATTTTTTAATAGACCTAAGTCAAAATGATATAGCTGGTTAAAAGTACCATTTGAATTTGTCCACCGGGTAACCCGATATCTCGCATTCCATCTGGAAAGTGGAATTAAGAGCAAAATCGACATCTTTAATGGACCTTATCATTCTAAGCTTATCGTCTCCTGCTCTATTCCCGTAATATCCTCCTTGCCTATCCCCTGGCTGAAGCAATTTAACGGGCTCTGTCGCACTACTTGGCCCACTTTTTCCCGCGCGATTTACTAACGTTATTCTAAATTGATACTTCGTCTTATCATTTAAGTTGCAGACCATATACTTGTTACGACTTATGGGTGTTTCGGTCGCCGTATGCCAATCACTACCCCCCACATCCTTATATTCGACTATATATTCTTGAATGCAAAATAAATTAATATGTATATCATGTTTAAATTATGATCGTATTATCATAGTAATGGTTGGTTACATATTATGCATGGCTAGTATATATAAATTTAATATTAATTAATTTTTTTGATATAAAAACACACTTATAAATATATCCCCGCCGTCATTAATAGGTGGCTTCCAAATGAGCTGAACGAAATCTTTGCCCCAATCCAAAACTTCTGGCGGGTTTGGCTGAGAAGGTATTCTGATACGCGTTTTGAGACTCAAGATAGGAGATAGCTCACTATAATTACTCCAAACACCTTCCGAACTTTTGGTTCTGACCCTAAAACGATACTTTTTGAAAGGTTCCAAACCCTTGACTAGATTATTTTAATAAATTATTAAGCTTTACAATAAAAAAAATGTTAAAAAAAGGACTAATTTTATTAAAATGAATATTTTTATCATTCCATTTTTAAAAGCAAATTAATCAGCTTACCTATGATTTCATTGTGCCTAGTAACGATGTCATTATCGCAGTCATCCAATAATTCTTGTTCCGTTTCAGGAGGCAAATATTGTTGCCATAGATATGTATCATTCTCTACCTCGGTGTATTCCAAGCTATACCCTCTGATGGAAATATCGCTCTTATTATTGGTTTCCCAATTGATATTCATAGAATCTTCGTCTATAAATGAGGAATTAATGCAACCAGGAGCATCCGGTTGTTCTAAAATAAATTAAAAATGTAAATAATTATAATTAGAGGTTTCCTTTCTTCTAAATCACATGTGATGAGAGAAATGAACTTTAAAAGGAGATTAAGAATTTATCATTTACAAAAATAACAATTAAAAATAAAAATATGTTAAACTAACCATATTCTATATGCAATGTTAAGGGGGATTCTAAATGAAGAGGTTCACTAGCCCCGTATTTATTGATCGCGATTACTCTGAAAAGATATTTACCATTTTCATCCAAATTGGTAATGGTTATTCTGATAATTTATTTTTATATATAACAAATTCATTGTTTGATAAATCTTTAAATGGGAAATAAATACCTGTTTAATATAGTTGTATCTGGGTACTGAAACCACGGGCCAGGAATGTCGGAACCTACCGAAGTTTCTCTTTCCATTCTTCCCCTGACGCTTAAGGGAGATATCGTGCTCCTTACACGATAATTAATCGAGTCGATACCGTTCAAACCGGTGCCATCGTTCATTTTTTTATATTCGACCATGTAGTGAGTCGGATTATCGCTGCTAGATTGACCTGATGCAGTCGCCTCGGTGTATCTCCAAGATAGCCTAACGGAATTCTTATCCTTAATGATAGCGGTAAGGGGCTTAGCTGGGGAATTTGGAGGACCTACAACCTATTTTTGTAAAAAAATATATATATTTAATTCTACCATTTTATTAGTTAATATATGGCACTTTTTTTGTTAAAATTTTTTAAGACTTCAAATTTGTATCCCATCAGCATGTATATAGTACTATTACGTAATCCTGTGAATTTACGACAATTGTGATCTTTAATTTCCCATAGATTTTAGTAGATATTGCCTGAAATTAATAGGGTACATGTGCTGGAATACAATTCCGGAAAAATTAGTCTTTACAAAATTTAAAAAAACAAGCGCGAATGATTTAAATTTTAAAGATTCTCCATGAATTCCTCTATCCCTTACGACATATATAAATTGATGTATACTAAAGTAAAAATACTGGGAAACTTAGCCGAGATACTAAATTATACCGATTTTAATTAGTAGAAAATTATACTCATAAAAAAAACCTTAATTTTGATGAAAATACTATCCCAGCCTTTATCGTTCCTGAGTGTCAAACAATAAGTTCCTGCATCAGAGAAGTCGATGTTATGAATTAACAGAATGGTGTTGCAATGATCTTCGCTCAGAGAACAAAATTTTGTATTATATCCTATAGGAAGTTCTAAATTTCCCTGTATATTAAAATAAAGGATTAATATAAAAATTTAACATTTTATTTTTTAAATATTACGTACATCTTTTTAAAAAATATCCAATTTTTTTTATTACTTTGACTTTATTGCTATAATTTGTAATGATCATTTATTACATTTTAACCATGTCCTAAATTAATTTTACTTTTCGTAAGCGATAATGTTTTAAGATGCAGCCCGTCCTAAGTGTTTTGTTGAAAATTTATATGAAAAATAAGTGGGCGTTGGGAATAGTGGCCTAAATAGTGTAAACCTCCCAAAATTATATTCTCTAATTGGGAGGGAGTGGGGTTATAAATATGGGGTAAAAGTGGTCCACGCTCTAAAGTTTTAATCACATTCGATAAAATATTATGATAAATAAATACGATTAATTTCTAAATGACAAGAAAAAATTTTTTTATTAAAACTTTGGTCCATGTAGCTAAGGGTTTGGGGTAAGCTTGATAAGGAACCACCAAATGAAATTCCGTTCCCCTAAAAGCTACTACATCCTTTTCAACGCGTTCTTCTAAGATTCGAGGAGTAACTTAAGTTTAAAAAATATATTAAATGAAAAAACTAGAAAAAATTGTGTATAAAGAAGAGAATAAATATCATTTTAGAATAAAGATTATATATTTTATAAAAAAGAAAGCAGCTATGTTTAACTGGTAGGAGTCTTGGTAGCCAAAATGTCTGATTCCTGTGACCATGGACCCTGACCGGCTTTGTTATATGCGGAAACACGGAATTGATATCCTAATTCTGGTAATAGATCAGTTATTATTACGATATTCTGATCGATTTGCTCTTTGATTTTAGCTTCGATCCACATGTTTTCGGCCGATTTTTCTAATTGTTCGAAAGCGAATTCGTCTCTTTGCTCTATCAAATAACCTTAATCGTATTTTTTTGTTTTAATTAAGATTCTGCGATAAATTATTATTACGTTAAAAATAAACCCAGTTTTTTAAGTTTTTTTCCAAATATATATTACTCTCCTAGTGTTGTTAAACGGCTCACGTCTAGACTCTTGCGCCATCTATGAGCTAAATCTTCACTTTACAATTGTTGTATTGCTTACTCATTCCTGGAGAATAATTTTCTTTAGTAAATACTCTACACTTTTATTTTACTAAGATAAAAATGAAAATAATGATAATTTAGGACAAATTTCAAAGCTTTCGGCACCTACTAGACGTTGTGACCGTTTTTTACGAATATTAAAATTATGATCCCTCAAATTTATGAATAATAGAATAACTAGAGACTGATTATTTATTTTTTTTAACTTTATTTACATAAAACAATTCACAAAAACATGAAAATGAATTTTATAATTTAAAAAAAAAATAATTATTCACGATTTTAGCTTTCCTTTTATAGGGAAGCTAAAAAAATCCCTATCTAAAAATATATTCAATTTTACAATAATAATAAATTCTATTCCCAAATAAGGTAATCATGACACACAAAAAAAAATGTATAAAATAAGAATGACGCGACGAAAACTAAAAATAATTTTTTTTTTCTTTTCGCCTTCGTCTTCTTTTTCCTTCCCCCCTTCGTGATTGAACCCCGTCAATCACGACATCTCCCCCCTTTATCTGACTTCGCTGACTCCAACAACTGTCTGTATTCTTCTTTTCCCACCCGTAACACTGGCGTGTCCGGCGCCATTTTTTGATATCTACCCCTCGTTTCTTGCTCCGATTGTATCGCTCTGCTACCAGAAGAGGCTGAGGTTGGCTCCAACTCTTTTAGAGTCTGTCTTCCCACCGTTTCATACCGCTCCCTGGGACACCACCGGCGGATATGTCCCGCCGTTCCACAACCATAACATATAACCCGGTCTCTTTCTTCGCGTACTGTTTCCCTTGAGCGCTCCAGTGGTCTTCTTCCCACCTCGATTGCTCCCGTGCCTGTGCTAGAGCCCTCCATTCACTAGCGAGTGGTTCTACATCCGCGCTGATTATCGTATTACGCATCAGATGAGTACCAAGGTCTACATACCTATATCAAATAATCATTTACCTTCTCTTATTTTTTTCTTCTTTCTCTGCTTTCCCCCATTGCTCCTTCTATAAGAGACCGGGTTATATGTTATGGTTGTGGAACGGCGGGACATATCCGCCGGTGGTGTCCCAGGGAGCGGTATGAAACGGTGGGAGGACACACCCGAAAAGAGTTGGAACCAACCTCAGCCTCTTCTGATAGCAGAGCGATACAATCGGAGCAAGAAACGAGGGGTAGATATCAACAAATGGCGCCGGACACGCCAGTGTTACGGGTGGGAAAAGAAGAATACAGACAGTTGTTGGAGTCAGCGAAGTCAGATAAAGGGGGGAGATGTCGTGATTGACGGGGTTCAATCACGATGGGGGGGAGGAAAAAGAAGACGAAGGCGAAAAGAAAAAAAAAATTATTTTTAGTTTTCGTCGCGTCATTCTACGGTAAATAAAAATATAATCTAAATAATATTGATACATAATTCTTGAAAATAATAAAACAAGCCTCATCATGAGTCTTACAAATAATATAAATCAAAAATCAAATTCATGCGCAATTGCTACAAATCCAAATTATTGCGCAAAAAAAACCCCGATTACGACATTTCTTCTCTATATATCATGAAATTATTTTGTGAAACAAATTATATTAATTGTTACCCAATACTTTACTCCCGCCATCGCTGTACGGTGTTTGCCATTTGAGCCTTATAAAGTCTTTTCCAGTCACATCGGCAAATGGAATTCCAGGAGAATCCGGAACTTTGAATGGGTATTTGCAATGCAGAGGACTGGCCATAATGGCGTATTCACTTTGTCCGTATAAATTGTTGGCCGAGACCCGAATTTCATATTTATCATCTATTGTTAGATCCGTTATCTTATGTAATCATAAGTATTTTAATATATGCATAATAAATGAATAGCAAATATATATAAACATGAGCGATAGAAGAGTTTATTAGATAATTTTGATAAAAAATGAGTTCTAATCCCGGTTCTTAGATTTGACGCAAGTTTTAGGATTCTAGGTTTTAGGGTTTTTTTTCCTAAAATGAATCACCCAAAATTTTGTTCTTGGAAATTTCAAATTTGGACTATGGTTCGGATTCTCAGAAGGATTCAAAGATAAATTTTTTATCGCTCATAGAAATTTTAGCATTTGAAACGTTTCCTTAAAACCAAATAGAATCCATGATATGCTTCATTTAGAACGAAGCCTTTAAAGGCACTCCCGATAGAGTAAATTTAGTTATAATTCATATAGAAAATTAAATTAAATTCTAATATGTATTAAGGATGCTAAAATGTTGAGGGGCAATTTTTACTTTGATTCTGGTTTTGAATAAATGATCGTCTATATTGGTCCAATTATCTTGACTAAAATTTTTGATGTCTACCATGTAATAAATATCATTTTCGTACTCTGAATCACAACTCCAAGTTATCCATGCATTTTCGCCTGTGCATTCTATAATTTCAATTATTTTTTTTTAAAAAATATGTAATATAAATTTTTTTGGATATCATTTTTCTAAAATTAAATAAACGGCTAAAATAAATCGGGTTCGGGCTAGACCTACTATTTTTTTAATTTCATCAAAAAAATAGAGTAAAGCGATTGAAACCATATAGATTCCTAACATGCTATATATCAGAGACATGCAGGACCATTTGTAAAGCCCGGCCCAGATTTTTTCTTTTAAAAATTTTTTCGACCCAGCCCGGTACTTTTTTTGGGCGTGGGTACCCGGGAAGGGCTTAGGCCGGGCCTGCAGGTCTCTGCTATATATACTTAAATATAAATAAAGATAATTTTTTTTCCCCACTACAAAGATTATTTCAAAATAGAATAACGAATTATTTATATATTCTTTTTAAATATGTATCTGGTGATTATAATGATCCATTTATTATATAGTGAAAAAAAAATTCTATCAAAAAAAAATAAGGATCCAAAGGCACGTATATATGTGAGTGTAAAAGTTAATCATGAATGATTAATCTGATTTGCATTCATATTAAATTAGTTATATTGTATGTTTTCTATAATACACACTTCAAACTTCAAATAACAAATTTATTATATAAATTAGAAGGGCATGGCACATTAGATAACAACGACTATGCTAATGTCACGGGTTTAATTCTAATTATTTGTTTTATAGATATATAAAAAATTTCTCAATTATTATATAAATGATAAAAAGTGGTGCCAATTATAGAAATTAATCATTTAACCAAGATACAATTCTTTATACTAAGGAATCATCACAAGATTCACTCTTATTTCTTAAATTTATTACAAACCAGTGCATTTGACATTGTACGGTTTCGCTGGCTTGTCCTTGATTATAAGATTGAATCCAATCTCGGCTGAACCATATGGGTTAGTAATGATCAAGGAATAATTCCCTTGGTCATCTCTGCTAGTTTCCTTGATTCGGAAATCGGTGTAATGTGGATATTTCTTAAGAAAAATTTTCAGAATTTAATTTAAAAAAATATTGATATCTATAGATGTTGTATATTAAATAATATTGTAATAATAAAATAACTTATCTCTCAAAATAACTTTAGAAAAAAAAAATAGTTATACACACAAAGTCATAACCAGTTTTGGAGGATTAATATAATATTAGCGAATTATTTAAGTGTACATATATTTTATATACATTAATAGATATGCGATCATCGGCATTAGGGAACATCAAAATATCGTCCCTTTTCCAATCTATTTTCACGTCTTCCGCTTCCGTATTTGGGCATATAAAGGGAATTTTAATATCGAATTCGTGTCCCGCCATCAGGGTATACTCTGGTTCAAGTATACAAGTTATCTTAGGATATTCTATACGAAATATTAAACATAAAAAATATAATGTAATGTGTTTATATCTTTTAATTCAGAACTTATTTATTAGAAAAATAAATCTAAACTATAATCAAATGTCTTAAAAAAAATATTATTCTAACTAATATAAGACTCCCGTTGAGATGAACAGTGTAAGCAAAATATAGGGTGGAAATGGTTCTCAAATTTAGAAAAGTTGTAAGATCATAATTTATAATTGTTCTCAGAGTTGCATTTAAAGAATTACACTTGGAGAATAAATTTAATAGCTTAATATTGCACAAATTAATTATTTTTTTTTACCTTTAAACCTAAATAAATATAGATATACATACATAAAAAATTTCACAGAGTTTATAATTAAATTCATCGTAAAAATTATTTTTTAAAGATGTTTTTTTGAGATGTTTTTTAAGATATAATATAATGAAAGTAAAATATTACGATTGATATTCCTTGAGGAAGGCAATGAGGGTGAGTGCAAACATATGGGTAGAGATGGCGGCCCGAGACCCTGGCCGTTTCTTGCCAGAACCCGAAACTGAATGGTATCTTCTAAGGGACCCTTTCTTGAATGTAACAGTTCCTTTAAATCAATCAAGCAACTAGTATTACTTTGGTGAGATAGATAAGCAGAAGAGGTAGGAGTCCAATTTGGGTTGTCATTCGTATTTAAGGAATATTCTATTAGGTAGTTCAAGATAGGAAGATTTCCTTCATCTAATGGGACCTCCCACGAGAGCTGAATCATAGAAGAATTGGGCAGGGGTTTTAGGACTAGTTGTCTGGGACAGGAGGTCATCGCTGTAATTACAATATGATAAAGTTAAAACAAAAATTATAGAAGAAATAGTAAAATGATTTTTATAAATTGTTTTGATCAACCACTTAGTTGGAACAAACAGATAAGAAGGGTTAGGGAAATTATAAAAATAATAGTCGAATACAGGTATAAATATTTTTCCAATTATTGTCAAGAATACAAAATAAATTATTTAAATAAATTCAAATAGATGAACGGACAAAATTTAATCATTTTTTAGATAATAGTAGGGAAAGTCTGTGTCCAAAATATCAAAAATAAATTAGCAAAATTTCGAAAGATCGAAAAAGAATAATAAGCTTCTTTTTTTTAAAAAATATAAAATGAGAAACATGTCCAAAATATAATTCGAAAAAAATTTTAAAAATATCAAAAATTTAACATAACGATTTCATTAAAATTTTAAAATTAGATTTTGGACGCTACCAATTATATTTTGTAAAAACTGTAAATGATAATCATGAAAATTTAAAAATAAATCAATGGATTATTTAGCCGTAAAAACATTTTCTAATTATGCAAAAATTTTGGCAGCTAATGGAGGTTTAAAAAATTCTCTGTGGTATGGGTTTAGAATAGGATCCATGTAAAAACCACGGCAATCAGTCGAAGACTAAGAGCAGCTCATGAACACTAAATATCCTCGAACAGACCGATCATTTCAAAATAGTTTAAAACTTGATGATTGAATAGTGGTAGTCACTTGCGTCAAGGGAATCTCACCAGACATGAACATAAACCCGTTAAAATCGAAAATAATCAAAAAATATATTTAAAAATATATAATAAACCCAAATAAATATATTATGAGAGCTTTGTCTATAAGTCTACAGTATCCGAAAACTTTAAATTTAACAACATAAAAAGTTTTCCCAATGAACCAAAAATTATTTTTATTCTGAAATTTAATTTCAATTAAGATATAAATAATTTACAAAAATTAGATTTACTGAAAAAGAAACGAAATAATATCCATGATACTATTGCTTTACTCTGAATCCTAATTTATATTAATAATAATGATGCCAAATAATTAACAGGATATAATTTCAAAAAAAAAACAAATTTTTTACTTATTTTATCTTTAACTTCGCAAAAGTCAGTTGGAAAACTAAAATCGCTAGAGCCGGCTTTATTAACGGCCGCTACCCGGAATCTCACTTTATCCCCTTTCGACAAATTCGGTATCAACTTTTCAGTACTAGTATCAGGATAAGTATTAATATTAACCCACTCGCCGACTTCCAAGTTAATTATTCCCACTTTTAGGGAACTTACATCATCCATTGCAAGAGGTTCCAATTGTAAAATATTAGACTCGTAGAATTTCTTGCGTTGAATTTGAACGAGATATCCTAGATGTTGTTTTTCATGAATATTTGAGACATTTTATATATATTTATAGTTAATTAAGGATTAATATCTATGTTAATAATTAAATTTATTAGTACAGTATATAAAACTAAATAAACGTGGCCAGATTTAAGTTAGGAGAGGGTTTAACTTTTACATAAGTTATTCTTTAATTTATTACATTTACAAGGTTAGTGTTTTTTTTTATTAATTATAGTTAAGTTTATTTTAAATTGTATCAATTCTTTAATATTAGGCTATCCTAAATCCAAAAAATATAAATAAATAGATTTATAAATTTTGAAGAAAAAAATAAATAACATATAATGTAATTTTTAATGTAAAAATGAAAATTCGTCATTTACAAAAATTTATTTTTTTAAAAAAATAATATAAAAATTAATAAATATAAATAAAAAAAAATTTTTAATCTTGGGTATTTTTTATGAAAAAACTAGTAATTAATATATTAAGTTATATTATATTTCCTATTTTATTTTTGGTTTTTTTCTGGTAAAAAAAAAATAATGGAAGATTTCGGACATGTTTCATAATTTTATTAATTTGCAAAAATTTGTAAATTGTTTTTTTTCAAAACATTTAGGACACAGCCTTTAAAAAAATCTTAAATAATTTTTGTTTAATATAATCAGCTGATATAATAAAAAAATACTCGAACCTAGTTTAAAACCACTTTTCATCGTTATTTCGTATTTCTGAAAAATGTTTCTAGAAAACCCATGAATTCAAAAATATCATAATTATATTTAACAAATTCAAGTGTAAAAAAAATATACACGAAACCTAATAATGGAAGAATTTTTCCTTCTTGACTTCCGCCCAACTCGTTCTGCAATGGAGGCGACCATCTTAATTTAACGGAACCTGACATCACATCAAATACTTCGATATCTCTTGGTGGGTCTGGAACTTTATTCGCTGCAGGCATTTGAATATAATTTGTTATAAGTGGGTCACTAACACCGAAGGTGCTTTTGGCTTTGATAGAAAATTTGTACTTTTGACCGAACCGCAAATGTTTGATTAAAGCCGAGTTGCTCAGGGATACAGATTCAAAATTGGATTTTGGGACTAGTTCGTAATCGCACCGCGTCCAAAGAAGCGTGGAGCCCTCGATTTGTTCTATTAGGTAATCTTGATAATTAACATCGATTTTAAAAAAAATAGTATTTACAAATATATTATCAATTATTCATTTATTCATTATAATAAATTCAATCAATACTCATAAAGATTAAGCTAAAAAATTAAAAACCATCAATTTCATCAATGAGTTGCTTGGGAACTTTCCAGGTCAAGATCAAATCATAATCATCCGTGAATTCGTGACATACAGGTCCTACTGGCACATTTGGACCCCCTAATGAGTACAAGTAACATTATTTAAAATTAAAGTTAATTTAATAAACATAATATTTGTTATAGTTGTTTTTTGTTCCTTGTTATTTTTTGAGGAAGGGGGTGGGGGGAGGGGAGGTTCGAAGTCTCAGTTTTTTGAATAAAGGAGTTACAAATATTAGTATAAAACATCTTAAATACCTAATATATCCATTGCAAATTGGATCTTGCATTTTCCCATTTCGTTTTCCAAGACTAATTTATAATTCCCTATGTTCCATTTGGTAAAACAGGGGAAGGAGAGTTGGATTTGTTCTTGATTGACGTTCCAAGAAAGTGAAGTGTCAGGCATGATTTTATTTTCGTCTTTGTAGACTATGACTAAATGAACGGCAAAAGTGAGATGAAACATTGATTAAAAATATTGTTTTTAAACAGCTCGATTTGATTCGATTTTTAAAAACGTTAAATTTATTTTAGCAGAAAAATACTGCCTAAGCCTCGAGATTGCCAGTTTTTAAAAAAATTAAAAATGAATGACATGTAATTTAATTATGATACGATCATAATAACTTGCTTAATTAAAGTATTTTATACATTATACTAATAGAAAATGTTCCCCTTTCAATATAAAAAAAAAAGACATACGTTTAGGTTCAGGATCGGCAGCATATGAAACATTAATATCAAAGCACGAGTCAACTTTAACTTTGAACACATCGGCAAACTCGGTGGGAAGGATAAATTTTGGAGAGAAATGTTTCTCGCGAGCTAACATAACTTTACTTATTTGACTGGGAAGGCTCCTTCCTTGAAAATTAACAGCAAACACTCTATAGATATAAGCATTTCCAGGAGTAACTCCTTTGTCCACATAGCACAAATCTTTAGTAATGTCTACAGGTGAATATTTAGACCTTCTCTTTTTGTCCTTCTTAATTACACCACTGGTATTGACTAGCTGCCATTCATTAGGACTAAGGTTCAACAAATCAGTATCGACACACATGATTGAACCATTGATGTATTCCACCCCTAAATCAGATGCCGACACTTCTAACCTCTCTAGATCATATCCCAGCAAAGGTCTTGTCCCTTCTTTATCGGTTGGTGCCCACGAAAGTTTGATAAAGTCGTAGGAACTGTCTTGTATAAATGGAGCTCCTGGGGATGGATATAAATCTAGAGAAGCAAAGTAGTAATAAAAAATATTATAAACTAATTAAATTTAATATTTTGGGGGTAAATATTTTACTGATAAAATAATTATCAAAAAAGGGACAGTAATGAAGGTCGGCGATATGGTCTAAGGTTTTAGACCTAAATCAGATCGTTATACACACTTGTCTTTTTAACAGTATTTGATCCGAAATGCCATTTTAGTAATAGTAAGATCTTTTGGTAAATAGCAGTCCAGCCTTGGCCGACAAATTGTTTAAAAATTATTTTATTTGATATATTTCTTCCTAGGGGAGTTTTCATTCAATCATATATGAAACCAAAGGTTTATAAATAACCACACGCTATCTATAGTTTAAACAAGCCAAGCAACATCTATTTAATGCGAGCAAATATTTTGCAAAGTAGAGGATCTTATTAAACAAAACAAAAAAGAAATATGATTTCCAATAAGAAAACAATACAAGTTATAACTAAAAAATGGAATGCTGTCACATGATTCAATTCAAACCCCTTAAAATGAATGAACATAGATAATAATTATTTTATCAAGTATCTATCATATTTTAAAAAAATAAAAATTACTAAAAGAATTTTCAAATATAAAATTAATACTAATAGACTGTTCCAATTATCTTTGATCCGGGGTAAGCTTGGATCTAAGACAAGACCATAATTTTTACTAATAAGTGGTATATAACTTTAATATAGATATGAAAAGAATTAAATATAATCCACAAACCAAATTCGGATTGAATGGTCATAGGCGTAGCGTTCACCAGTGGTTTCGAAGCCCCTATCAAATTAAGGGCCCTTACCCTGAAGATGAACTTGATATTTGGAGGGAAAGGAAGTGATAATAATTCCTCAGGCAAGGGGATAGGCCTTATTTGCTCCCTCGGAATGAGCGATAGACAGTGAAATTTACAATTGGGTTTTGCTTGGTACAAGGCGTTGCCGTCAGGCCCATACACAATAGGGAACTCCATGTCATCTATATCGTTGACCGTTATCCATTCGCTACGGGCCGATAAAAATTTTCCGTACTCCGCGGTGACTTCAGATTCGATGTCCTCTTCACGCTCCGTTGTCGTTGTAAAAGAATCGTCATCTCTCAATTCTCGAGGGTGTAGAAGAGTTCCCCCGTCAAATAAATCTAACCCTTGCTTATAGTCAATTATCTTACAATCTACCACGTAACTCAAGACAGGACAACCACCTGTTTCAGTCGGGGGTGTCCAAGCTAAACAGTATATGCCTGGTCTGACAAATTTGATAGTTAAAGGACCTTCCGGAGCCGAGGGTGGTCCTTTGTTTTGAATAAAAAAAAATATATAGATAAATCATTAAAGAATCAAATGAGTTATTTGAAAAACTTATTAACTAATATATATTCCTTTGTGATATATATATTTTATCTTCAAGTGATATATTTGGGGAGTTGTATACTCGAGACCCGCAAAGATGGCTCGTGTCAGCCAAGCCAGATAATCAATATAGGATAGACCCATCGGGCCAAAAATATTAATGTTACATTTTATAACCAATCTTTCCCTTTTGTGACAATTATAAAATGAATTTTTAAATTAAATCAAAAAAAAACAGGTTGAAAACATTTGCTATTAATTTTCGTATATAATTTTGCAGAGTTGTTAAAGGATCTAGATACAAGTATCTAGATCCTGTACCTAGATATAAAAATGTGGTATCTGTATCTAGATAGATTCTTGATTAAGATATCGGTATCTAGATATTATTTTAGACGATGTATCTGTATCTAGATCCATTTAAAAAGTATCTTTTAACAACTCTGCTATTTTGTAATAAAATCAAACATCATTAAATTATCAATGTTATTGAATATTTAAATTAAATGTATATAAAATTAAAAATAGAGAATAAAATAAAAATAAATATCTTGAATTTTAAATCGATTCTCTAATAAATGTTTTTTTTTTAAAAAAAATCGAGCTATGGGCAGTGCCTGGTTCTAAAATTTTTTTGCACTGGACCGCGAACTCAAAAATTACGATTTTGCAGGTCTCTATGTATATATAAAAATTGTGAGTAGAAGTAGTCACTTTTGATTTAATAAATAGTTTAAAGTAAATTTTCAAAAGAAAGTTTTTTAAAAAAAAGGAAAGCTATTATACCCAGTACACGAATAAGACAACTCCTTGCGTCGCTGCCGACGGAATTGACCAAATTAAGGGTGAGCGTAGCCGATTTCCCGGCTAATCTCGAATCGTTCAAGTTGGTAAATACGATTTCGCTGCTACTTCCGTTATTGTCTCCGAGGATTTGTACATTATTGACGTACGTCGACATCTCCTGTCCATCTAAAAGCCATTGGACCTTAGGCTTGGGGCAGCCCTTGAATGCGACGTAAAAGGAGACCTTGTCTCTCACGGGATTTATATCTGTATCCTTGAGCGTGCATGTCGTTATGTGGGGCGCCACTGTTAAGCAGAGAGATTGTTGTTGATTTATAAAATTTAAAAAAGGGATTTTAATTTTTTTGTAGGAGATGGGAGGTAACATTTTATTTTCGAACCGTTATTCTTATTTTATTTTTTTTTTAAATTTCTTTGAACGGTTCAAAATCCGATAAAACACTAAAACATTCTTAAATTTAGAGTGAAGTTTTCTTCTTTAGAAGAACACAGAGTTTATGATATATTGGGTTAGATTATTTTTGATTGGTTCAAATTTAATGGTAGATGCTTTGAATTTTGAAGATTGATAATTATGGAAAGGGAAAAGAAATTTTAATTATGCACATTTTATTTTGTTAATAAAGAATAAAAGGGGGGGGGGGCGACATGGAATGGTATAAAAATGTTAATTGAATGATTAAAAATCATGTGGAAACATCTGTTTTCACATTTTATAAAATATAAATTGTTCATTAAAAATAAAAATATTGATTTGTTGCATTTAAAAATCTATAAAAAATCTAAATCATCATTGTTATAAAATAAACATTAACCTTTATTCAAGTTATGTCAATATTCTTCAAATTTTATATTCACATAAATTTAAAATATATTATTTATAATTAAATTTTTTTTAAAATTATATTATATTAATTCATGTTTAATTGTTTTTTTTAAAAATCATATGGTTTTTAGCTAATTGAAAAGTAAAATGAGAGATGACGAAGAGTTGCAAAATATTCGATTATTGAAAATATTCGAAACTATTTAAAACCTTTAATGTTCGAATAGGAGGGAGAGGGGTTAGCTACGAAGAATCAATCTCGATGATATATCAATTTGTTTATTTAAAACATATTCTCAGAATGGTGTTGATTAAATGGCCAAGATTTACGTCGATTTTTTAAAAACGGATTTCCATATTTGCAATAATATTATTTCGGTTAAAATCTGGGCCGCTTTTATCTATTCAAATCGGGACAGTTAACGATACTATCTCACAAGGGTATAAAGTTTATCTCATATTTTCTTTGAAAGAGAAAGGAACTTAATCATCAAATAGTTGAAAATTTATTTAATAATTTTTTTTTTACTCAATTTTTGCGGAGGTCTCATCAATTTTTCCGTTTGGTATGGTTCACTCGCCCCCACTTCATTGCACGCGTATATGCGAAACAAATACTGAAAATCGGGATCTAATTGTCGGGCCGAGTAGCTGAGCCCCCATATAGGTTCGGAGTTTAATGGAATCCAGTTCATATCAAAATTGCTCAAACGGTCGTCAGAAGTGGGCGGAAAATGTTCATCGTTATCCACTTGGTAAAATGAATTTGAGGAGTTGGCCGTGAAAGATTGGTACTCTATAAAGTACCACAAATTTTTATTTCCAGAGTTATTAGGGTCCGATACGAGAGAAGTGGCCATTTTGTTAAGTGGACGGTCCCAGACGAAGGACAATTCATCCGGGGGAATGGGTATTACTTGAAAGTTCCTGGGAAACGATGGAACCTCTGCGGAAATATAAAAAGATTTGGATATTGTACAAAAAAATTGCAGACCATATTCCTTGTCTAAAAAAAGTCAGAAATCCTTATTCTATGGAAGAGTTATAGTAGGGCTAATTCCGTGAAAGTTTAATAATAATTAATTATTTCAGAGAATATATTTTCCACTGATGGGGAGAAGATATGAATTTTAGATTTTTGTATCGAAATTTATATATGTAATCACACTAATTTTCTATAAAAAATAAATAAATATGTTAAATAAAATGTATATTAATTTTAATATAAATGTGTACTCATATTTAGTCTCGTAGTAAAAATTTGAGACGGGGCACTAGCTGCAGCGCATCCTAGAGAATTGAGGGCAGTTATTCTAAATTGATATTGCCTATTAGGTGACAATTGAGTTACCTTGAATTGATTGAAAATGATTGGCTCGAAGTTCAACTTAAACCAGTTTCCGGATGAGGCGAGACAATCTTCTAAGAGATTTTGCTCGATGATGTATCCTAAGAATGAATAGTACATTTTTTTTGTATGTACATTAAATTAGTTTTTTTTTTAAAGATGAATGATGTAGTCTTCCATTACCCGTTGGAAAATAATAATTAATATGGTAAACTCCTTTTTCTATAATCAATTATATTGGAAGACTTTGGGCCGCTTATTGCAGACATTTTCCCGGGTATTATTTTGGCTTTTTACACACTCGCCCTTTTCTGAAAATTTTCACATATTTGTCATGACCAATAATGATATTACTAAATTAATTCTCATTTTATTGGGAGGAAATGGGAAGATGAGCGGTGTTTGGAGTTAGTGCGAGCGAATAATTATTATTACCCTAAACATGATAATTAATAAAACTTGAAAATGTACTTCTTTAACCATTTCTATATTTGTATCATTAGTTAAGTTATTTTAAAAAAATGACCTATCGCGTCATTCCCGTCTACGTGAGGAACTTCCCAAGATAATTTTATGTAATCTGCGCCTATCTCTTTAGCTACGGGCGGTTCCGGAACGGGGGAGGGCTTACATTTGATATCGCTAATCGCAAATGGCGTCAATTCCAAAGGTTCGCTTTTACCTATTATGTATTGTGCGAATATATATTTATTTTTAAAATGCTTTTAGCTCACAAAGAGGACAATTGAAAGGCATGTTCAATGGTTACATTAATTGGAGTTTGAGATTTTATTTTATTTAAGTTTTGAGGAAAAATTGAAAACATATATATTTTTATATTAAATTACCGTTTATATTTTTGGCAGATATCCTGAGCCTATATTTGATTGGTTCTGAATCCAGGTCGTATACATGGCTATCTAGGTACATGTTATATGAAGTGTTACAAGTCGTTCCATTTTCTTCCCAAGTGGATTTGTTGGGATTGTAAGCTTCTATGATGTATCCTATATATAAATTGTGTTATGATTAGGAAAAATGCAATTTAACATTCCAATTTGTATATCAGTGCCATGTATCAATATGAAATTATAGAAATTCAGAATCAACATAAAATAATGGTAAAGATGGAGCAATTTTTTAGACTTTTAATTTTAGGAATCAAAGAAAAAAAATCAAATTTGGATAAAAAAACACTAAATTATACATTTGTTCAAAATTAAACAAATTTGAAATCATATTCGAACCGTTTATATTGGACCAGCCATCATTGGAAGGCTCCTTCCATTGTATGTTGATGAAACCCTTGTCGGGAGAGATTATTTTTACGGGTTCCCTTGGCTGGCTAGGTTTATCTAAGGGTAATTTAGATTTTTAAAAAATCAATTATTTAGAGAAACTATGGTTAAAATATGTAATATAATCCTTTACGTCACAAAAAACTTTAAAAACACCTTCGAGTCAAAATTGTTTCAAGTTTTATATTTAAAATAGTAAAAACTTTTCTACATATTTTTTTTTACAAATTGATGGCCTTTATCATATTTTTCCCATTTCACATGGAAATATTTGTTAAAATTATTTAAACCATTAATCTTTATTCTGAAAGTTGCTTTGTCCTTTCCAAGTTTATTTTCAAGCTCTAATTCGTACTCTCCGTTATCGCAATACGTAGGATTCATTATGATCAGTTTAAGATTATCATTTCCCGGGTCTAATTCGTAAGCGTTTTTATGGTTATTCGCGGAATTTATGATCTGATGGCCCGAGTGATACAAAGTAACTTTGGGTACGGGCGAACCGGAAATAGAAATATTTATGATAAGGGGATTTTGCTGATTCGCGTTGAGATTAAGGCCTCTCATTTGGGCGGAAGAGAGGCTTATCTTGGGAGCTTCTATGTTGCAATCGAGAAACAGAATTTAAAATAATTTTTATAATAACCAATATTAAGTCCAAAAAAATGAATGACAAAATTAGGTTAAAAATATTAATATTAGTTAAATAATAGTAGGAAACAACATGTCCAAAGTTACATTTTGCAAATTAAAATTTCAATATCGCTTACCAAAAACTAAATAAAATACTTCTCACGCTGAATTCACAGCTAGTGTTAATTAGTGGCGAAATATACAAAAAAATACAGCATATAGCACATTCGCGATAACTGTTTACGTGCTTTATGAAAATCTTCATCATTTTTTTTTGTACGATTAATTTTGTTTCATGATATATTATGGTATGTTTGATTATTTATACAGAGATATTTAAAATTGGCCAATATTTTTAAAAAAAATTTGGGCCGGGTCGGGTCAGGCCATGGAAATTTTTTTTAAATATATATTAAAATTTTTTCAATTTTTTATATTGAATTTTTTTATGTAAAATAAAAATTATTAGATTTTATTTAAAGAACTAGACTCCATACAACATATGCCTTTTATTTTGAGTAATTATATAAATTGATTTCTATAATTAAAATAAAATAGGGCCGAGCCGGTAAATTTAAAAATTTCGGGTTCGGGCCGGCCAGGCAAAACTTTTATAAAAAAAATTTCGGTCCTTGCTGGGCTTGGAAAATTAGGCTCGGTGTAGATCACTAATCTATACGTTTTAAATAAAACACATTATTATATTAACTCTTAATCTTAACTAAGTTTTTTTTTAAACTTATTTTTTAATAATATTCTTATTGAATTAATCGCCCCCCCCCCCTAAGACTGCCTCTTCAGACCTTTTCAGGTCTGATTTATTACAAACGTCCCAAAAATTTCAAAAAAAAAAATGAAAAAATAAATTCCGAATGTGTCCCGGTTTTAACAGGTCTTGGTTAACCTTCAAAAGTATACGAGATAAGTTAGACGATAAGAGTTTAGACCGAATCGAATCGAATAGGGCTAATATGATTACGAACAAAAGAAATGCCTATTTTATCTAAGATAATTCACTGGTATTCTTATTTAAAAAAAAAGATATAAAACCATTTTTCTTGACTCTGATAAAATAAAAATATATATATAGTCGGATTATACTCGAAACATATATAAATAATTATGTATAATTCTTTTCTTTTTTTTGTTAAAGTTCGGTATTTCTTATTATTTTCTCAGCCTTTTCTTTTATCATAAATAATCTATCCTAAGCAGGTTTTTGGCCCGCGCGCTCAACTTTCGGGCGGGTGTGGTCGAGTTTCCTATATATCCAACATTGGGTGGGCGGCGGGTGGTTTAAAAAATTTAAGTAATAGGCGAGCTTGATAAATTTTGAATATTCAATGTATTATTATTATCAGGGTTGTTAAAGGATCTTATCTAGATCCGGTATCTAGATATATAAATGTGGTCTTTGTATCTGTATATAGATAGATTTTTGATTAAAATATCTGTATCTAGATATTATTTTAGACGATATATCTGTTACTAGATCCATTTAAAAAGAATCTTTTAATAACTCTGATTATTATTATACAAGATTTTGTGTTTTCAAAATAGAAATTTTTTTTTGAAAAATATTTATTTTTGAAAATCAATAAAAATTATTTCCCTAAAATAATGATTATAGGATTACGTTTAGATGGAGAGGCTTGAATTTCGCAAGTTGGCTGACTTGGTTCACTCATTCCAATATCGTTGACGGCAATCACCCTGTATTGATAATAGTGTTTCGGCATTAAGGTGCCATCTTTATAGGACAATTCCTATTTTAATATTTTATTTTTAAAAAAGGTATATTATTAAGTCGTTTCCTCTTTAAGTTTTAAATTATACAAAATTATTGGTTGTTCAAAATTAAATTCTCCACCCATCCCCTGCTACCTGTATTTGTTTAAATTACTTTTCTATTTATCATCTATTTACTCAGCCAAAGCCCGAGAATTTGTTTTGTCTTTGCTTATTCTTTAATACACTTTGAATCGATTATTGGTCGAATGAAGGATATCAACTGTTAAATACTATTTTATCCCTGTAAATATGTTTACAAATAAATAGAAAGAGAACAGTTGATTACCGAGATTAAAGCAGAATGCACGGAATTCCAATCCATTTGTCCATTTCTCACTTCTTTGCGTTCCAAGATAAAACCTTTAATAGGTAAACCTCCATCTGATTTGGAATGGTTCCATTCTACTACGGCGAATTCATTAGACCAATCCGTTATTTGAGGGGCAGATGGGGTAAATGGCTTTTCTGTTTTTACAAAAGGATATATTTACAATAAAAACAAATACTCTTATAACACTAAATATGACTGTTTTCGAATTTAATTAATATAATTATTTGTGGTGTAGCAACACATACTGTAGAATGTTTTGGGTCTTATCACGTCGCTATAAAGTGGCTTGGATAAGCCTACTTCATTTTCCGCGAATATCTTAAATCTGTAATCCTTGCCCACGCTTAAACTAGGGATTTTAATCTCTTCTCCTTTATGACCACTGATCAGAGTTATCCAAGAGTCTACATCGTCAGGATGCCTGTTGGCTCTTGCCAGATCAAGCATTTGGATCGTATAACCACTTTGCAAAATTATATCAATATATATTATATCATTATATAATTTTTAAAAAAAACTTTCTAAAACATATTAAAAGAGATCAAGTTTTTTTTTATCAAAAACTCTAAAAAATTTTATTCTCCAAAATGAAAATGAATCATGTTAGATTGGATAAATATTTTTATACGATATCGGTTTTCCTCCGTCGCTTTTAGGACATAACCATTTCAAGTTCAATTCGTCAGGTTTAAGATTTTCTATCGATAAAGGCTGCCGGGGTTTGGAAGGAGTATCGAAAACTTTCAAGTGAATATCGCTATGAATTTTGCCAAATTTATTCGAAATCTCAAGGATGTACATGCCTTTGTCATCCCTTTCCAAATTTTTTATGGTTAGTTCCAACATTCCAGAAGCTAGAAATTATTATGAAAATTTATTCCAATTTTAAGTTATACCAATAATTTGGATAAAACATAATTAATTTTATTGAGTCTAAGATTAGTACGGATACAAAAATATTAAATTTCTTATGGAAAGCAGGGAAGCTAGAGGAATGCTTTATTTAATCTTTTTAACTAGAAAATAAGATTTATGCATTCTGAGGGCATGGCTGAGACGAAATATAATGTCCGTCCTATTCCAGATCATGAAAATATCGAAAGACAAAACTTCTTTTTTTTATAGAGTAAAAAGTTTCAGTATCAAATTATAAAGTTACTAAGGGGTTATCAGAAATTCTTAAAAGAAAGTTAACTCTATAAGTGTATAACCTATATCAGGAATAATTGAATAGAAAGTTAACTCTATAAGTGTATAACCTATATCAGGAATAATTGAATATTTCGCGGGGAGACGTATTGGCTTATAATTGTAATACAAATCGAAATTTGTATTTTCCCCGAAAATACATGGTATTTGAATTTGAACATCTTTGTGGGCCCCCGAACTTACGTTGATTGATGTGAAATCGGCATCCATTTTGGGGGGAACTATATTATGTATGGGGGATGATAATATTATCATATAATGTTATATGTAGCCTTTAAAGTTAAATATTGATTGACATATATATAAAAAAAATGGTAGGGAAACAAAATAGGGTGTCCTAAACTCTAAATCGGAATAGACAAGTCTAAACAGAAATAAGTTTTAAAAATAAAATGAACCAGGAGTCATAATGTTTTTTTTTCCATTCCTATTGCAAAAAAAAAGGAACGTGATATAAGTTTAAAAAACTAATTCGAAGGTCAACAGTTACTTAAATTTAATGCAAGTCGTATCAATTAAAAATCTAACGATCCTATAATAAAAAATTATTGACGGATAAAAATGGCATTTGTGGCTTAAATATGATAAGCATTGAAAAAACAAAAAAAATTTACTTGGAAAATCGGTTAGACATATATATGGGGTGGGCTCGCTCGCTCTGCTATAACCTATTTCATTGACAGCTATGACCCTGAACCTGTATATATTGACCTCCTTAAGTCTATTGATTTGACAGTCGTTTTGATTCGCCTTATTATAAATTTTTTAAAAAAAAAACAAATATAATAAGCTCAAAAGATATTACATGTTTACTCATTACTGACAATTACTCCGCGAAAGATGGGGAGGTTATGTTACATTTTTGGGAATCTCTAATGATTTTCATTTTTTTGATATGAGATTCACTTTTAAAGAAAATAAATGACCAATAATCTTGTGATAGTTGGATAAGTAATAATAGCGATTTTATAATGATTAATTAAATAAAAGTTACCGTTTGAGTTAAAATATGGCGCCAGGTGTCGTAATTCTCTTGAATTTCGATTTCGTATGAGGTTATTTCTTTCCCGCCATTGTCTATGGGACATTTCCAACTCAGCGAAACGGAGTGTTCATTCATACCTAAAACATCCAACGATAGTGGAGGACTGGGGGCACCTTATTAATACATATTTTTTTAATAAGGGTAGAAAATAAAAACAAACCCCTAGTAATCTTGAATTTTCAAATGATCGAAAATGGTAAAAGGGGCTTTAAAAATAATTATATTTGGATCCGAACCCCCAAAATCCTACCTTCCGCCTCGTCGTGGCGGGGGAGTAGCATAGTCTTTTAGTGGCTAATGGAGGTCTTAAAAATTCCCGGCGGTCTAGGTCTAGAATAGGATCACCATCTCCTCTACCCAGTGTAAAAACCATAAGGGGTTGATGTCAGAAAAGGGCAGTCAATGGTAGAAAACCTTGCTACAAAATTTCCTGATGATTAAATCGGAGGGAAGTAAACCTGGAAATCGCCATTAAACGGAGAATAAGGAGAAGATATTTGGTTCAGAACGTAATCCCAATTTAGAAAAGATATTTAAACAGTCATTTTCAGGCGAAACTAGATCAATTATGGGTTTATATTAAATAATAATAATCTATTACAATTTATTTTAAGGGAAAACTTGTTTAGAGAAAAATTAAACAAACTATAGTACTTTAAAAAAAAAATGTTTCAAACAAAAACAATTAAGCTACTATGAATTAATGTATATATGTATTATAAAGTTTAATTTTTGTAGCATAAATATATATATTTTTTTAAATTTGCTTGTAGCTTTACGATTCAATAAAGTGGATGTCAAAAACATATTATACCTCTTATAAGGATAATTGAGATGAAAATTATAATATTTTACAAGGCATTCTTTTCATTGCGATCAAGTTAGAGATGTCGCTTGTGTATGATAATCCATCTTCTAACAACGCTTTGATCCTGAATTCGTATTTTCCGGATGGAGTAAGATCTTTGACATCGTGATAGCTTTGAGATAAAGGCACGGAATTTACTCTAATCCATTCATTCCCATAAATCCTCTTTTCTATTATGTAGCCTTGAATAATATATATATATACAATATATATATATATATAAACAAAGGAAAAAAATTCGCATACAACATTTTCAGGAGGAAGTATGAGAATCTAACGGCATTGACTACAAATCTCCTAGAAGTCATCAGGCAAAGGAACAAAAAAAAGAAACTCAAGAACTAAATTTTCATTCCAATCGTATGGCACATTCGAAGTACATCTTTCGGTAGAAAAGATTCTTATTTTTAATGAGCTATATAAAAGCTTCCCCGTTTAAAGGGAAATCGGGAGAATTTTGTTTTCCTTCACCAAAAAAAAATTTCAAATAAAAGACCTTATAAATTACAATTATGGTTTTACCCTTATATTTAGTGTTCGTTTTAAAATAGATTTTATTTTCTAAACAATGGTGTCGTGCACGGTTACAATTTTGGGTTTAATCATCCCCAAAAAAATAATAATTCTACAAGGAAACAACAATGTATCTCGAAAGAGAATAATGACAGAGAGCCACGATATGTCTTCTAGATGTTTTGATCCAGCGAAAATTAAAAATTTTATAATCTAACAGCACACTTCAATATCAGCAATGGAGTATATTGTGCGGTATGGACAGAAGGGATATCAGGATGCAGGGAAAACGATATCGCACCTGCATTATAATCAATTTGTTCTTAAGAATCGTAACCCCATAATATTTTTCGCTCTATTAATTTTTTTTTTGCTAAATATCTCCCAATTAGAAATATTTCATAAAATATACAAGAAATCTACAAAATATGTAATCATATCGAAACAGTTATTTTTAATGATATAAAATAAATTTATTTATTTTAATCCTTTCTAAAAATGAAATTTATAGTCCATAATGCTTGCCGAGATTATCATAGTTAATAGATCAAATCACCTAAAGATTTATCATCTATGAAGATTTTTGTGAATACCAAAATTTACCCTGGTTATGTTATTAATTTTCCATCGGTCGGAGAATTGAAATAGTGTAATTGCATTTTAAATGTTTCATCATACAATTTTAGGTTAAACATTCGTAAAGGAATAAATAAATAGGGCAAAAAATATCAAAGATAAAAAAATAACCTATAATTTTGTCGTTAGCTTTATTAAGTTGTATAGGATCCCAGAATAATCTCAAGTCGGAGAACCCTAAGTCTTCGACTGTCGGTCTTCCAAATGGGCTATTTAAGGGCGGGGCTTTAAGACCTACTATTAAATTTGTAAACAATCCCAGACTTTCACCTTGGTTATTGTTAGCGGTTATCTTGACCTGTATTATTATTTTTTGGTTGCAGAGTGATAGAATATATTGTTCATTAAATTTCCCTTTTTATAGCATATATAAATATTAAATTTGCTAATATTACAATATTTAGTACCCTTCAAAAATAACAAAATTCAAGAGAAAAAGCAATATTATTTTTGCTAAATCATAAAATTTGTAGTATGTATTATATTATTTCTTTATATTACTAAATATCGTTGGCCTTCGACTAAGCCAGTGATTGTATAATGTGGCGAGGACAGCATATAAGGAATTTTGGACCATTTATCATCTCTCATATCCTGAAATTCCAAACTATAACCTAAAATTATTACGAATGATTATGATTAAATCTATAAAATATAATATGGTTACCTATTCATTATATATGTCGTATTGGGATATAGAATCCATTGGCATTCGGAATTTCTACCTCATTTATTGAGTTATTTTTAAATCTGAATAATTCCAACTAGAGTACCCACGCTATGACTTTCAAACAATTTTATCTTAAAATACTATATATATCCGATTTTATATAGTTTATTTTATATAAATTTGGTAATGCGCAAAGGTTTATGGCAAATTGTCTGAAATTTATAGGGTAGGTAGTTCTAGACATGCTGGAATACACTTCCGATAAAATTAGATTTTTTCAAATTTAAAAATTGTCCTTAGTAAATGATATAAAATTGAGAGATTCCCATTTTAAGGCAATGGCATAAATTTACTAATCTAGTCTAGACTGAGGATTTATTCATTAATATTTTTTTTTAAATAAAAATAATTTATATTTTATTGTTTTACACAAATCAATATATATATATATAAACATAATATGATATACATAATCGGAAAAAAAAATATATATATTAGATATTTAAAACATAATTGTTTAATTATAACGAAAAATATTTTTTTGTGGTTAAAATCTAAATATAGTTGCGATGCAAAATATAAATAATTGAATATATTTCTATAATTTTTTTCAAAAAAAATATTTTAAATCTATTAAATTAAAAAGTGGAAAATTTTTTGCTGAGATAGTTTTATCAGATTCCTAATAAAATGTCGCCTTGTGATTCTGGTATATACAGATACGTATATATATATAATAATGGATTATATTTTCGGAAATCATAAAATTATTGACCTGTAAGTCTATTGCCCCCCAAAAACTCTGGGCATCTCCAAGAGAGGGTAACGGAACTCTCGGTGGGTTCGGACAAAATTACGGGACCGACCGGAGCGGAAGGTTTATCGATAATCATGATGGTAAAATAAGCCGAAATCGAACCGAACTTATTGGAAAATATGCATTCGTAATTTCCGTCGTCTTCAAGTTTGCATGAAAATATGCGGAAAATGGCGCTCTCTCGCTGTTCCTCTATACAGGTGCCTAGTATCCTGGTTAAACAGAGAAATAAAAATGTATACACATCATCAATCCTTATAATATTCGACTTTATTTAATAATTAAGTTTCTATATTAGCTTAAGAAATTTATCTCTCAACTTACAATATATTTAGGAACTATTCTTTCACTAGTAGGATTTTTGATAATATCTGGAAAAAAATGGTTCTCACAAATAAATAGCTAGCACAAAAGAATAGGTTTATGAATTCCTTAGATAAAAAAAAAATATGATAATAACCTGACAGGATGATTATCTTTCAGCCAAGTTATTAGTACAGGTCGATCATCGGAATGAAAATCGATTTTGATAGAAAATAAATCTTTGATCCCCAATATGAATAATTTGGGAGTAAAGCAGAGCCCGAAATCATTGATCAAGGTAGGTTTTTTACAAAGTGAACTGGGATAATATTCGGATGGTAGGCTCATAGGACCGGAACCGACTCGGTTAACCGCACTCACTCTGTAACATACGCATTCGTCTCCGTCTCCCCCAATAATTTCCTCCCCTCCTTCGAGCTTCCTGCTAAAACTTGGCGTTCTCCTTCTAAAACTCTTTCTCATAATTCCACCTCTCCTGGTCCTGTATAGCTTCTCGTCGAGGTATTGATTCGTGGGATGGCAATCATCCAATATTGTCCAACAATCGTCCTTTTCGTATTTGCGTTCTACTCTAAACCCTAAAGGATAAAATTATAATATCATAATGCGGGATAGAATTAACTAGGTTAATAACAGCTCAAAGGGTTTGTTTTAATGAGATAACAGATACTTTAAGCCTTCTTAAATAGACCACCTTATTCAAAAACTAATAAGAATCGAAATAATATTATTTGATTCTTTTGAACAAATCGAATAATTTACTATTCTTATTTGATTTATATGATTACAAATAGTAAATTTATTCATTTGGTTCAAAAGAATCGAATACGAATAATTCATTATTTGATTTGTATTCGTTTTTAAATAGGCCTACCTTGCAAAGGACCTTTTTTTCACAGCAGGTCCAATCGATATCCAACCTAAATTTTTTTCATGTCAATCATGTATGTATAAATCCGACCAATCCGAGATCGGTTGGAAGGACAGGTCCGGGCTCCGGTAGTATATTATAAAATTTTATATATATTATGTTTTGTTTACCAATGATGGGAGATCTACCATCGAACAACGGTGGTTTCCAGGCTATTTTAATAAAATGCACTCCCTGTCCAATCAGTATGGGAGAACTGGGAGCGTCTGGGAACGCTTAGAAATAAAAAATAATAATTTTATTACATTGAATAAAATAAATTAATTTTAAGAAATAAGTAATATATAAAAATCAATTTAAACAAAACTAACTTATAGCTGGTAGAGTTCTGATGAAGCAAGTTTCTACGGGCATAGAAAGGCCGTATATATTTTCAGCGAATATCCGAAATTGGAATTCGGTATCCGGCTCTAAGTCTAGAACACAATAACTCGGCTTTGTACTAAATTTGGCGACGGCGCACCAATTGATCTTTCCATTTTCCCTGATTTCTATAACGTAATTTCTAGCATTTCGTTTTTGACATTAAATAAGATGTATATATAACAAAAACGAATATATAAAGGGGTATAAGTATTTATTAAGTTTAATTTTAAAAATAAAATTACTAATAACAAGGTTGATATTACTTATTAGTTTAATTTATAATCGAAATTTCTATCTACATTATTTTTGTTATAGTCTAAAGACAAACCATAAACTTTTGTAAAATCTGGTGAATGATAAACTACATTACCAAAGATTTCTGCCAACTAAATATTGGTCTTATGCAGAATTGGATAAAATACTTATACTAAACAGTCTAAGTGCCATTTTTAAAAATCATTTTAAGTTAACATTGATGAACTCATTTGCTAGAGTTTTATTCGCTTTTTACAATGACAAGGCTGTGCTCTATGCGCCCTAATTGAAACGTATTGAGCGTTTCAAATTAATTGCCCCTAATTCTCTTTCCTATATATTTTTTTTTCTCACTCTTTTTCATATATTTTTTGCTTTATCTAATAATAATGATTAAGGGGATTATAAAATAAATCCTATACCAAGCTTTAAAAATTTTGAATGGAAAAATTGGACAAAGTTATAAAAATTAGAAAGGAACAAAAAACTAAATTTACTCAATCATATAAATTTTACTGATGGTTGTTAAACGGTTTGATTTGAGCCAATTTTTAAAAACCGGCTAACTAATATTTTGGCCAGAAAAACATTATCTGAGCCCAAGAAATTTGACTAATAGATATTGAAACCTTTATGCCCATATATGAGCAAAATCATCAAGCTTGCCTAATATTTTTCTGGATAATAATATTGAGTTTGCCCTTTTTAAATTCATGATGTTTTAAAAGAAAATTTTTTAAAACTAATATTTTCGAATAATTTAATCATTAATAAAAAAAATAATAATAAATGTCTTGTTATTTAGATACTCTTTTCGAGCAAAAATATATATAACACAACTATATCTATCTTTTTGTCATTTTAATAAGATGCTTTTATCCGTATTTTAAGATACATTTTCATAAAGTATTTCTATCTTTTGTATCTAAATACTAAATTAAAGATGAGATGAAGATGGTCGGTCAAGTCTCAACTTTGAAGATGTTAGATTTCCTCATAAAATGGGGAAAAAAATGTATATATTATAATCCACGATATCTCAAATAAATTCCAATTGAGTAATTAGGATCTAACTGAGTTTTCAAATTTTTGTTTTAAATATTTATTTAACATATGCGATATAAGAATATTTTTAGAAAAATTAAAACTTCCTTACGTTATATCCGATCCTCCGTTGCATTCTGGAGGAGTCCAACTCAACCGGCAGCTGTCAATCGTTATTTCATCTATCACTATAGGTTCAATGACAGGGCTGGGCGGGCCTAATTTATCGCCATATTTTTAAAAAACTTATAATGACCAATGTAAAATTTAAATTTAACCACGTATCAAAAAATAAGTGAGTTTTATATAAATATTTTATTCCCGATGTTTTAAAAGAAAATTTATACATATTAAACATACCGTAAATATGTACGAAAAATTCCAAATTTTCCACACCGAATTCAGTCCATACAGTTATGCTATGATGACCCGAGAATTCTTTAGTAATTCTGGGTATAAGAAAGATGATGTGATCTGGGTGACATACCCATAAATTGTTGGAAGAAGGAGCGATAAGTATTCCATTTACAATCCTTAGAATCGACCGTGAACATGATATATATTATTTAAAATAAAATAATAAATATGCATCCTGTGGATTAAGTAAGATAACATTTCATTATTTTGGCCTGGAAATTATGAAAGATTAAGAATGGTCTCATACCTTAAAATTTTTACTATAACATTTTAAAAAAAAGTTTTTTACCAATCAAGCCAAACAATTTGTATATTTATATGATTGTAATTGTAAATATAATTCAGTTTAATTGCTATACAATATGCATTACCATTCAACTTCTCTGACAATAAATCCAGCGTGTGGAAAAATCGCTTCTAATGACTCGTATTCCCTAACCCTAAATTTGGATGGTATTCTCTCTTCCGCGGCGCCTTAATTTTTGTATTTATTTTTTAAAAACATTACGTATTCATATATATATATATATAATATAATTTGTTTAATTTGCCAAATTCTAAAAGTTGTATAAAAAATTCCTGACAGTATGGCCAATTTAAACTTTTTACTAATTCATCCATGGTTATTGAATTCAAAAATTCATACGAACACAACCATATAAGACATAATAGAACACTTTAAACTCGAATATTATTTTTTAGGGGTCCAATTAGGTACAAAAATATATTAAAAATGATTACCAAACAGTATCCATTGCATAACAATTTGTTATGAAGAGGGGATCTAAGCGTAGTAAATAAAATATTTATATTAAATCATCCAGATAAATAAAATATAGAAGACTTTTTAAAATGTTTAAAATTTTTTGGGAACTTTAATATACACAGAAAAAAAATCCGCTTCTGGTAAGATTATAGACCTAATTCAGGAATTTTCCATGCTCAACTCTAAGATGCGACAAAATCTAATTATCAATATTTTAAAAATCATTCCAACTTTACCATGCAAATCATATTGCATCAGCATGGTGTTTGTCGGTATCGTAGGCATGGAAGACCCGTACAAGGTTATGGATCTAACTCTGAAGCTATAATCCTGCCCTTCTATTATGTCGGTGACTAAGTATGACCTTTCCATAACTTTTTTGAAAATTAATATAAAAAATATATATTTTTTTGTAAATAATATGGTATATTTTAATTTCACGATTCATTTGTTATTCTTCTTCATATAATATAATAACAAGCCTTCCCCTCTTCTCCTTCTTATATCAATAATGTTCATTAAGGTCATTATTACTTGGTACAGAATTCAAACAGAGCCATTCGTAATTATCTAGGCTCATCTCAACAATGTAACCTATGAATTGTTCCGTGAATTCATCGGGTGAGGCATCCCACACCAATTGTAGATCTTGATTAAATATACGCTCGATGCGTAAATTCATTGGAGGGCTGAGAACTTATAATACGTAGATAATTTTAAAAAAAATTTGTATATAAATAAAAATATAAAATATAACCTTTATTAAGCTTATCTAATATCGGTATTGAATTAATATTATTACTATATCAATTAGAGTAGTACATATATAAAACATTTTATGAAATGGAAGAAATTTGGACACAAAGGTTTATCATAATATTTAACGATTCTGAATGTAATACTTTCTATGCATTCCATCCTCATAGGCCTTCGCCGCATTACCATTACTTGATCATCTTCCTCATCGTAACTTCTATAATCTTTTCTAAAATACCTACCAACATCATCAAAATCTAAATTTAAATCATCCATTCCTTTGTAATCCCCGGGTAATCTTTGACGATATGACAATGGATAGTCACTGTCTCCATAATCGTGCCTGTAATAGCCGAAGGTATCTGGATAATTATCTGGACCAATGGGATAATCGGATCCTAAAAGAGGTCTGTCCAGGTATGGACTTAAAGATGATCTAATTTATGCGACAATGTAAATATTTGCATGTTATTTTTAAAATACGATCATTTAAATTTTTCTAAAACAAAATTATGTTCACCCCTAGGTTTTTAGTATTGTTACTACAGAACCAATAAAATTTTGGCAGCATATCGCGAATTATTTGTATTTTAAAAAATTAAAAATCCTTTTTTTTGTATCTATATTTATTTGAATTATACTTTGTATTTTATTTTATTTTATTTTATTTTATTTTATTTTATTTTATTTTATTTTATTTTATTTTATTTTATTTTATTTTATTTTATTTTATTTTATTTTATTTTATTTTATTTATTTTATTTTATTTTATTTTATTTTATTTTATTTTATTTTATTTTATTTTATTTTATTTTATTTTATTTTATTTTATTTTATTTTATTTTATTTTATTTTATTTTATTTTATTTTATTTTATTTTATTTTATTTTATTTTATTTTATTTTATTTTATTTTATTTTATTTTATTTTATTTTATTTTATTTTATTTTATTTTATTTTATTTTATTTTATTTTATTTTATTTTATTTTATTTTATTTTATTTTATTTTATTTTATTTTATTTTATTTTATTTTATTTTATTTTATTTTATTTTATTTTATTTTATTTTATTTTATTTTGTTTATTATGATATCAAAATAAATACAAATAACGCATAATTTTAATTTTTTTTCTCTAAGATTATAAATGCAAAATCCACAATTTTATATATTTACTTAATTTTTTTTGATCCGAGTTAAATATATAAAAAATAAAATATTTTTTTGGTTTCCTATTTTCATTAAAATGAGCGACGTTCATATTGAAAGTGAAAAGAAATATTTTTTTTTGAATTTTTATTTCTTTCTTTTCTACAGAGTTTTTACACCTACATAAGTTTTTCGAACAAAATATTTTGTCAATAATTAATTAAAAGCTTAATAATTATTTTAGATTGTTTTATAATAGTGAAAGTCAAAAAAAATATTAAAAAAATTTTATTTTACAAATTTGTTTATAATTTAATTTATTCAAAAAAATTGATTTCTTATTAGCAAGTATAGGCTATTACAGCAACCAATCTTGTTTCGAAGTTAAAAAATATATATATATATAATACCTGAGTTGACGTGGTGGCAAGGTATATATATCTCTATCACTCTCCAGGGGCAAGCTGTAGCCGTAATCATTAAAGGCTCTAACTCTGAAACTATAAGGGGCCCCGTAATATAAATCTGGAATTCTATATCTGGTTAACGGATGTTCGCGCGGCGATAACTTGCCACACTCTATCCAACCCCCATCTAGATCATCGTCGTAAAGCTCGGCCCTGTCCCTGTTCCTATATTCTACTAAGTAATCTAAAAAAAATGTATAATTAAATATTTTTTATTTGATAGGTTGGGAGAAATGATTAAGCAAACTAAACATCGTATATAAAGCTAATTAGTTAGAAATATATATCTATTTTTACTATAATCGTCATCATATATATCTCTATCCATAGCTCTTGCCCTGTAAAGGTCGTCCCCTATATATGTTGGGGGCCGTTTCCAAGATATAGTAGCAAAATCATGGCCTATGTCCTCTATAATCAACGGGCCCATGGGCTTATCTGGCTTGCTGAGAACATTTATTTTGAATTCAAATATGTCTGTACCATAAAGATTTTTGGCTATCATCATATATTTGCCTTGGAAATCTATATCTATCTCGGGTATCCTAACCCTGATACAGGGATGGTTATCTTCAGGTCTGGCAATCCAATCGTAAAAAGAAGGTGGGATGAAAGGCAAGGGTAAACCGTTTCGGAAAAAATCCACCTTATATTTTTTTAAAAAAAAAGGATAACAATCAATCATATATAAACAGAAAAGAGTATAACAGTTAACAGCTAAAAGTACAATTTTAACTCGGACATAGTTAACCTTCGTAATTGTTAACCAGATGTGAAAGTCCGCCCAGAAAAGCCCATCTGGGAGTAATATTATATAAGTTATAGTTATCTCTGATAGTCAACTCCTCGCTAATGTTTCATTATAGTTTGCTCTTTTTTTGTCATCATTTTTTTAGATACAATATATATTATGGCAAATTTACTTTATTTAAGAAAATTACTTATAGAATTTTATAAATATGTTATACCTGATATAATTAATAATTAGGTATAGTATATAGTTAACTTTCGTTATAGTTAACTAACTTTTATGCTCCTTTGGAGGTTTTACTTAAAACGAGACTTTACAGAATATTTGCATTTTACAAAAATAAAATAAATTCGCTAATTTTATTTATTTGAAAGTCTGTATACAATATAATTTATAGATGTATGAATATCAGAGTAAACTTTCAGCAATGAAAATTAACGAATTGAAGATTTTTTTTAAAAGAAGATCCAAGATTTTGGGAATTTTAAAGTAAAATTTGATCAAAAATCCTCTTTGAGTTTGTTTAAAAAAAATCTTCGGAGATTAAAAATTTATTTTTTATTTTGAAGGCAAACAATTCTGATAAATATTCATAATTTTATCGAACTTTCCAATGCGAATATTGTATAAAATTAATATTTGTAAACATTCTTCTTCTTTTGTTTACCTTTGGCCTAGGCACGCCCACTATAGGAATAACCCATTCGATAGGTGTCCCAATCTCGATTTTAATAACGGATTCGTTAATAGGAGATTGTTCAATCAAAATCCTGGGCTTAACTCTAAACTCCTCTATTTTGTAAGGCAAAGATGGAAGGCCAGGGGTTCCTATAAACGATTCCATAAAAGGAATAACACGGTATTCATACGATCTGTCCGGCTTGATTTGCCTGTCTCTTAGACGAGTCTCCTATTATAGATAAGTTTTATGTTATTTATTAGACGTATTTTAAGTAAGGACTTTAAATTTAAAGACTATGCTTCATATAGACCTGGGTTTAGAGTTTATAGTAAAAATTTAAACAATTATGATTGTTATTTTTTGATTCAAAATGTATAGAGCACTTACCATAACCTGCGAATATTAGAAAAATTTTATTTTGCATTTCTAAACATATTAATATTTATTTTAAAAAAAAATTAAAAATACACAAAAATTCATAGCAAAATTTTATAAAATTAATAAAGTGGGTTCCTCTACACATTCTTCGAAATAAGATTCCGACAAATTAGGGTTTTTTCATTTAAAAAAATGCGCTATAACCGGGGTCTCTATTAAGTATTAACCCCTCAATTCGCTAAACTCATATGGTATAAATGTTTTAAAAAAAATTTTATTTAAAAGATAGATAGAAGAATTTCTTGTAGGATTTTATAAAGATATAAAATATTATATTGTGCCCCCAAATGTTTATTTAGTGACCTGCTGAATTTATTTCTGCGTATTAAATATATTGACCCAACTCAAAATGAATGCATATAATTTTTTTTTCAATTACTAGAGGAGGAAAAAAAAACATCTCCAAAAGTTAAATTAATTACCATTAACGGGAAAGTATTGATACGCTTCCAGTCGGGATACTCATCGTCCCGCCTTTCAATGTTGTAGGTCAGGTAAGGCAGTCCTAAATCTATGGGAGAATTCCATCTCACCTCGATATAATTTCTTCCCGAGGTATATACATATGGCACTTCCATTAATAATGGCGGAGGAGGACCTTGTGTTTTAGCATTTGAAAAAAAATCAAACAATTGGAATATACATATATTTTTAACAGAACTAGTAAGATTTTTTGACTTGAACGATATTTTATTAATGAGAATTTTTCGGGGATATTTCTTTTTTTTTCCCTTTAAATTTTTATGATTTTTCATTTTATGAACCATAAGGGATGCTTGGGAAAAGGTAGGGGGTAGGAACGCTAGGAAATCCTCTCCCTGATATGTTTGCAGGGATCATTCTAAACTGGAATTCGTCTTGAGGCAAGAGACTGGGAATCGGAAAATAGTTATCTTGAATAGGATACAAATTCAAAGGTTCCCAATCCTATTTTTAAAAAAATAGTATATGCGTAACAATTCATATGGCATTGCAAATTTAGTGGTTATAATTACTATCTGTAATTTTTGCTTAACAATTGATAAATCAAGGTTTTTAATTAAATGTTATAAGACAAATGGCAAACTTCCCCTCTCCTGCGCCTTTCAACATAATAATCCAGAGGTGGCATAGAGTATTCTCTTTCGAGTGGAGCTAAATGGTCCCGTTTTAGAAGAATTTTATCTGAATTCTAAGTAAAAAAAAATATTATAAAGTATAAAATTTTTGGTTTCTCCACTTTATATCAGGTTGTTTTGGTCATAAGTTTCATTTTCATTAAAAGCATGGGCGGGGTACAGACCAAAGTACCCTGGGGCCTCTTTCTCAGCCTACGACAAAAGAAGGATGGGAAACCTGGTGGAACCATTCTCATTCTGACAAAGGTGTCGAACGATTCTAATATGAATCTGTCTGAAGGTAGTATGAAATTTCCTAAATTTCCATTATGCGTATAACAGTATTAATTTATTTTTTTGATTCTCTTATTAAGCTTTTTTTTTGAAATGAATCAATTACTGCTTTGTCTTTATAGCAGAGAAATTATAATATTATAATTTTAATAACTAAAATTAGAGAAAACTCATTTTCTATATTTTGGGCAATGATAAATAATAATACCTAGACTGACCATTCATTCATTAAAATGCATTTTTAAGCGTCGTTGAATGCAAATCAGCTGGACCCGCCATTTTGGTAACCCATACAGTAATTATTCTCATGTTAAAAACTACTATTAAATAGATAACTTGCTTCCTTATTATCTCGATGATCAGGCAATTGTTTAATAAAGTTCGCGCCAGACATGGGATTCATTTCAAAAAAAAAGCTCTTAATAAGAGAATCAAAAAAATAAATTAATACTGTTATACGCATAATGGAAATTTAGGAAAATTCATACTACCTTCAGACAGACTCATATTAGAATCGTTCGACACCTTTGTCAGAATGAGAATGGTTCCACCAGGTTTCCCATCCTTCTTTTGTCGTAGGCTGAGAAAGATGCCCCAGGGTACTTTGGTCTGTACCCCGCCCATGCTTTGTAATAAAAATGAAACTTATGACCACCTGATATAAAGTGGAGAAACCAGAAATTTTACCAATTACTTTCTAATATATTTTTTTACTTAGAATTACCAGGGGCTCCAAGCGTTTTTGTCGACAGAATAAGCCCAGATAAAATTCATCTAAAATGGGACCATTTAGCTCCACTCGAAAGAGAATACTCTATGCCACCTCTGGATTATTATGTTGAAAGGCGCAGGAGAGGGGAAGTTTGCCATTTGTCTTATGACATTTAATTAAAAACCTTGATTTATCAATTGTTAAGCAAAAATTACAGATAATAATTATAACCACTAAATTTGCAATGCCATATGAATTGTTATGCATACTATTTTTAAGAAAGGAGTCAAGACATATTTAATGATTTTTGAAAATAATAATGAGTCTTGTATATATATATATATGGTGAATTCCATATCAAATCAACCAAGGTTTCAACCCGACCCCCTTCAATTTTTCTTAAATTTTGTTTACTGGTAGTATATACTATAACTAAGAAAAAAATGAAATTTTACCTTCCAACACTGTTTACCCGCTAAGATATGGCCGTTTAAAGAGCGAAAAAATGGTACATTTTTGACATAATGCACCTCATTTATTTTCAAAAATCTTGAGAAATAATGAAGTTAGAAAAATAATTTAAATTTTATTTTGTAGCTTAATAAATGTTCTTTAAAATGACATAAAAATAAATATGAAGGACATTTGATTAATATAGAAAATCGGGTGTGTAAAACCGGAAATGGCCATAGAAAAAAAAGGTAATTTTTTTCAAAATTTTTTTTCTGTAGATAGATATCACACTGCTTTATATTTGTACAAAATCCTAGACTGGAATCAACAGGGGTTTAGGAGTTATCAATTATATGGCTAAAATTGAACAAATTTAACATTAATATCATCATATTTTAATTTAATGAATAGTTATGAAATAATGTTAATTTAAAAATTATGTGTAAATGATAGGCTTTTTTTTATCTTTATCGAAATTTTTGAGAAGTGGCTGGAATAATGAGCTTTGCTTAACACTTTAGTTAAATTTTGTCTCAAAGTTACTTGACAAAATAATTCTAAACATATTTATAACTTTATTTGCCTCAAATTGCATTACATATAATACAATCAAAAATTTATAATTAAAATATATCATATATTATAATCATCCAAGGAATTTTAATAAATTATGACTTTTGTTTTCGTCTAGGGGAATAAAAGCTTGGAACTTTGTGTTACAGAATTTCTCTTTCTCTCAAAAATCTGCTTTCAAGATGACTTTCTATGTTCATATATTCGTTATTGCTCACAAATATATAATTATAAATCTATTGTTGTCAATATGTGATGTTCATATGGACGTTGCAAGCTTGCTCGAGCTGCTAACCGTTTAGTAACGGCCCCCAAAATGTCGCATGAACTTACCTTGTGCGGTTTCAAAAAATGTCACTCAGCCTTTATCCCAAAATCATTTTCATGATAGAGATTAATTAAATCTATTATTTTTATATTGGTTATTGATCCATCAGGAAAATTATAAATTTTAGCCAATCTTTCCTCCAAGAATACGATCAATTTTTAAAATAAATAAAATGCACATGCGTTGTGCTTTAAACAATCTGATATAACCACTAAATTTACATGTTTTATTATGTTGTTCTCACGGTAATAAATTATAAAAGAGTTAATAGTGGCTTGATTATTGGTCTGATTAAATCCTTGTGCATGGTTCTGCACTACAAATGCATAGTTTTCTAAAAAGTCTGCAATAACTAAGAATTCGCCAACATTTAAATTGAATTTTAAAAAGTTTCGAATTAATGATTATCGTAAAGCTATAACAAATGAGGAATTAAATTGTCTAATTATTCAATTAAATAATCTACAAATTCATCAGCGGATTTTGTCAGTGTTTTGAGGGTAGTTCGATCAACAGCTATTCATTGTTTATGTTTTATAATCTATAAAATTCTCGTTAAATAAAATATTAAGCCTTTTAATTTTAAATATATGGGGGAAAATTTATCGTTAAATTTCAATTTTGGTAGAATATTTTATGCTAAATAAAATATTTAAAATTATTTTGTCAAGTGAAATTAAAGTTTTAAACCGCTCATTATCCCAGCCACCTCTCAAATTTTTTTTATAAAGATAAAAAAAAGTAAGAGCCTATCATTTAGACATAATTTTTAAATTAACATTATTTCATAACTATTCATTAAATTAAAATATGATGGTATTAATGTTAAATTTGTTCAATTTTAGCCATATAAAGAGTAATAACTCCTCCCATGTTGATCCCAGTCTAGGATTTTGTACAAATATAAAGCAGTGTGATATCTATCTACAGAAAAAAAATTTTGAAAAAAAATAATTTTTTTTTCTATGGCCATCTCCGGTTTTACACATGGTTTTCGATATTAATAAAATGTCCAATTTAATTTTATGTCATTTTAAAGAACTTTTATTAAGCTACAAAATTAAATTTAAATTATTTTTCTAACATAATTATTTCTCGAGATATTTGAAAATAAATGAGGTGCATTATGTCAAAAATGTACCATTTTTCCGCGCTTTAAACGGCCATATCTTAGCTGGTAAACAGTGTTGGAAGGTATAATTTCATTTTTTTCTTAGTTATAGTATATACTACCAGTAAACAAAATTTAAGAAAAATTGAAGGGGGTCGGGTTGAAAATCGACTTTTTTTTGTTGATTTGATATGGACTATATTATATTTTCGCGTTTATTATAATAATCAAATTTAGCAAAATCATCATGAAAATGTATTTAAATTTTTTTTTGATATTTCATTTTTAGATATAATAATTAAATTTAACAAAATCATTATGAAAATGTATTTAAATTTTTTTTGATATTTTATTTTTAGATTTTTAAAAAAAATTAGTGCTGATTTGCGCTTTCCTATAAAAGGGAAGTTTAAATTGTAAAATTATTCATTAATGTATTTTTTTAAAAATTCAAAGTTTTTTGGTGTTTAACGAAATTATAATTCGCTTTGAATTTTATAATAATTTTGTGTTAAATAATATTTGAAGATTTGAATAAAATTGAAATTAGTATAATTTTGTGTTAAATCCGATATGGGAAGATATCAATAGAACTAAAGGTAATCCAAGGAAGCGGACAACGTGATAGTGTTAAAAATTTTAGTGTTATTTTTATTAGTAAATTGTGTATTATTGAACCGATGCATATGTATTATTATTTTTTTTAGTTAGAATTTTATAATAAATTTTGTTATTTAGTGAGTTTGACATCGTGTTATTTCACATGTTTAGAAAATACAAATTAACCTCCTTCACCCCCATAAATTTAGCTTTCCATAATAAAATAATATTGTTTGAGTTATCACTAAGTTGGGAATTAAATCTCTTCGCTAATTTCACCGATAACTTTATTTGAGAGTAGAAATCTAGGTTACTGCGAGCTTTATAAAAGCGTATACTTCAGTAAAAATAGAAAAATTTATTTTATACTTTTATTTTCTCTCTAAAAAAGATAATCTCGGGGCAAAATGAACCATATACGGGGACAGATAAATTTTGCCTAACCCTGCCTTCACAGTTAGCTCGATTTTCAATTATGTTTCACTGGCACTTTTGAACTAAAAAAAAACTTTATATTATTTAAACATATTATAGTCAAATCTCGTTATTTAACACAAAATTATTACAAAATTCAAAGCGAATTAGAATTTCGTAAACACTTAATTTAGTCAAGTTAAAAATAGGATACAAAATTATCTGAAATTTAAAAGTATATATGTATTAACACATGTTGAAATTCCGGAAAATATAGATTAAGCTAAACAAAGAATTTAAAATTGGTAAATACAGCAATCATTTGTTTGTTTAAAACGTTATTTTGCATTTCTATTGAGTTTAAAATCTCTTTCCGTTTTGATATTATGAGACAAATATCTTACAAAATATAAGATTTTTATATCGTTTTTCATAAAATACATTATAAAAGTGAAGAATAATCAATCCATATTTTGAGACTTTTACTTTATTAATTAAAAAGGTATTTACTATTTAGGATATAGCGTTATAAGTGAGAGTAAAATACAGCAATTAAATTTCTATTGGGTTTAACTCATACTTAATTTTGATATTATGAGACAAACATTAAATTATCTTTTACAAATATAATATTTTTTTATAAAAAATAAAATTTACATATGATTTTTCTTAAAATACATTAAAAAAAGTGAAGAAAAATCATACACAATTAATAATGCTTTTATTAATATAAATAATTTAGGACATATAGTTTATAAATTGGGCATATTTCCATTTACAAAATTAAAGCTTTAATTGTAGAATTTCTATTCTAATTTTTAAATATATTCATATATACCTTCATTTCTAAGATATTGCCTGTATTTTAAAAAAGAATATTTATTACTTTATAATCTAATTCCGGGTTTTAACTCCCAAATATTAGCCATTAATATAAATTTTTATAATATTAGAGAGCTCTTATAAAGCTGCTAGAATTTATTTTGAATGAATTTTCAGCTTAACTACTTAGTAAAATCTACAGATATTTGCATTTCAAAATTCAGAAATTTGGTAAATTTTGCACTTTAAGCGAGAATGCCTTGTTGATTTGTCGTGGAATTCGTGTAAACAAGTAATATATTATTTTAAATAAATTGTAACCTTCCTTGTACCAATCGACCGAAGGTTGAGGCGAACCGTATATCGGCAATCCAAGATCAAATGGTTGTCTAGCCCTATCCTTGGTCTCGGCAGTTGGCTGCAATGGCGGTCCTCGGTAGGGTACACCTAATCATTCATTTATTCGATAAAAATATTGATCATTCAAAGGTAAAAAAATATAAAAACTAATTTAAGATAATATAAATGTAAGAAACAAATTTAATTTTAAAGAAATAATGATAATGAGATGAAAAACTCAGTGATGGGTGAAATAGTATGTAGCTAATATCAGCTGGGAGAGTGTAAAACCAACTTAAATTATAATAACATATGGAAGTCTCGGGACGATTATGGATACAATGACTATCCATTATCATATAGTCAAAGATTACCCGGGGGTTACAAAGGAATGAATGATTTAAATTTAGATTTTGATGATATTGGTAGGCATTTAAGAAAAGATTGAATTTACGATGAGGAAGATGATTAAGGAATGGCAATGCGGCGAATGCCTTTGAGGATGGAATGCATACAAAATATTTCTTTCAGAATCGTTAAATATAATGAAAAAGTTGTTTATTTCTTCCATTTTATAACATTTTTATATATGTACTTTAATCTCTAATTAATATAGTAGTAATATTAATTTTATAGTGATATTAAATAAGCTTAAAAGTTTTAACAGTGAGGAAGAATTGAGGGATAAAATTATTAAATGAAACAAGATGAATATGGAAGCAAAGGGTCTGAAAATGAATTCATAAAAGACAAAGGTGTCCGGTAAGTGTCCTTGTGGTGTCTATAGGAAAGGAGTTGCTAGAAATTCAATCCAATGCACCAAATGCCAGAAATGGGTACATAAAAGATGTTTTTCTTAAAAACATTATAACGAAGAAAAACACAAATTTTAAGGTTTTTTATTTTACTTTATTAATTGAAGAATTTAAGACATAGAGTTAAATTGGGCAATTTTTGTCCAATTAGAGCTTTAATTGTAGAATTTCTATTATTCTAATTTTTATATATATTCGTATATACCTTCATTTCTAAGATATTACTTTATAATCTAATTCCGGGTTTTAAATCCTAAATATTAGCCATTAATATAAATTTTTATAATATTAAAGAGCTCTTATATTAAGCTGCTAGAATTTATTTTGAATGAATTTTCAAGCTTAACTACTTAGCAAAATCTACAGATATTTGCATTTCAAAATTCAGAAATTTGGTAAATTTTGATCTTTGAGCGACAATGCCTTGTTGATTTGTCGTGGAATTCATATAAACAAGTAATATATTATTTTAAATAAATTGTAACCTTCCTTGTACCAATCGACCGAAGGTTGAGGCGAACCGTATATCGGCAATCCAAGATCAAATGGTTGTCTAGCCCTATCCTTGGTCTCGGCAGTTGGCTGCAATGGCGGTCCTCGGTAGGGTACACCTAATCATTCATTCATTCGATAAAAATACATTTATTCTTCATTCAAAGGTAAAAAAATATAAAAACTAATTTAAGATAGAAAATATAAATGTAAGAAATAAATTTAATTTTAAAAAATGATAATGAGATGAAAAACTCAGTGATTGGTGAAATAGTATGTAGCTAATATTAGCTGGGAGAGTGTAAAACCAATTTAAATTATAATAACATATGGAAGTCTCGGGACGATTATGGAGACAGTGACTATCCATTATCATATCGTCAAAGATTACCCGGGGGTTACAAAGGAATGAATGATTTAAATTTAGATTTTGATGATATTGGTAGGCATTTAGGAAAAGATTGAATTTACGATGAGGAAGATGATCAAGGAATGGTAATGCGGCGAAGGCCTATGAGGATGGAATGCATACAAAATATTTTATTTAGAATCGTTAAATATGATGAAAAAGTTGTTTATTTCTTCCATTTTATAACATTTTAATATATGTACTTTAATCTCTAATTGATATAGTAGTAATATTAATTTAATACTGATATTAGATAAGCTTAAAAGTTTTAACAGTGAGGAAAAATTGAGGGATAAAATTAGTAAATGGAACAAGATGAATATGGAAGCAAAGGGTCTGAAAATGATTGCATAAAAGACAAAGGTGTCCGGTAAGTGTCCTTGTGGTGTCTGTGGGAAAAAAGTTGCTAGAAATTCAATCCACTGCACCAAATGCCAGAAATGGGTACATAAAAGATGTAGCAGGAAAATAGGAAGTTTAATGTTAGAAAGAATAACCTTTATTTGTAGAACATGCATAAAGGGATACATAATAATGATAAGATAGAAAATGGTGGTCTGGATATTGGCAAAGTGTTAATCCTATAAAAAGTGGTTAGGTTTTGTTATTTGGGTGATATGCTAAACGCAGATGGTGGTGTAGATTCTGCTGTTGTTGCAAGGTTCAGAGAAAAGTCTCTCTGAAGTTAAAGGGGAAGGTTCATGTAAGTCGTGTGAGAAGTTGTTTAGTTTAAAGAGGCGGAATATGGGCAATGAAAGCGACTCACTGCTTTAAGATTTCTTAATTTTAGTGGCATATTTACCACGAGGAATTATTTACTTATTCTATATTATATTGGTTTTTTTTACCCCACCCGTCAAATTAGAAAGAACAGAGATGAGGATGATTAGATGAGAAAAGAAAAACTAGTAAAGAATTGTGACCAAGATTGGTGGTAATGCGACAAAATAGACTTGATGGTTTGGGCATGTGGAACGTATGACAAAAGATGACTGTGTAAAGAGATGCACTTTGATGGAAGTAGGAGGATCAAGACCTAGAGGAAGGCTCAAGATGACGTTATTGATATTATAAGGACAAACATTATATATCTTTTACAAATATAATATTTTTTTTTAAAAATAGATTTATATATCATTTTTCTTAAAAACATTATAACGAAGAAAAATAACCCAAATTTTAAGGTTTTTTATTTTACTTTATTAATTGAGGAATTTAAGACATAGAGTTAAATTGGGCAAATTTGTCCACTTACAAAATTAGAGCTTTAATTGTAGAATTTCTATGATTCTAATTTTTATATATATTCGTATATACCTTCATTTCTAAGATATTACTTTATAATCTAATTCCGGGTTTTACATCCTAAATATTAGCCATTAATATAAATTTTTATAATATTAGAGAGCTCTTATATTAAGCTGTTAGAATTTATTTTGAATGAATTTTCAATCTTAACAACTTAGCAAAATCTAAAGATATTCGCATTTCAAAATTCAGAAATTTGGTAAATTTTGCATTTTGAGCGACAATGCCTTGTTGATTTGTCGTGGAATTCATATAAACAAGTAATATATTATTTTAAATAAATTGTAACCTTCCTTGTACCAATCGACCGAAGGTTGAGGCGAACCGTATATCGGCAATCCAAGATCAAATGGTTGTCTAGCCCTATCCTTAGTCTCGGCAGTTGGCTGCAATGGCGGTCCTCGGTAGGGTACACCTAATCATTCATTCATTCGATAAAAATACATTTATTCTTCATTCAAAGGTAAAAAAATATAAATACTAATTTAAGATAGAAAATATAAATGTAAGAAATAAATTTAATCTTAAAGAAATATGAGATGAAAAACTCAGTGATTGGTGAAATAGTATGTAGCTAATATCAGCTGGGAGAGTGTAAAATCAACTTAAATTATAATAACATATGGAAGTCTCGGGACGATTATGGATACAGTGACTATCCATTATCATATCGTCAAAGATTACCCGGGGGTTACATAGGAATGAATGATTTAAATTTAGATTTTGATGATATTGGTAGGCATTTAGGAAAAGATTGAATTTACGATGAGGAAGATGATCAAGGAATGGTAATGCGTCGATGGCCTGTGAGGATGGAATGCATACAAAATATTTCATTCAGAATCGTTAAATATGATGAAAAAGTTGTTTATTTCTTCCATTTTATAACATTTTTATATATGTACTTTAATCTATAATTGATATAGTAGTAATATTAATTTAATACTGATATTAGATAAGCTTAAAAGTTTTAACAGTGAGGAAGAATTGAGGGATAAAATTAGTAAATGGAACAAGATGAATATGGAAGCAAAGGGTCTGAAAATGAATGCATAAAAGACAAAGGTGTCCGGTAAGTGTCCTTGTGGTGTCTGTGGGAAAGGAGTTGCTAGAAATTCAATCCAATGCACCAAATGCCGGAAATGGGTACATAAAAGATGTAGCAGGAAAGTTTAATGTTATAAAGAATAACCTTTATTTGTAGAACATGCATAAAGGGATACATAATAATGATAACCTAGAAAATGGTGGTCTGGATATTAGCAATGTGTTAATCCTATAAAAAGTGGATAGGTTTTGTTATTTGGGTGATATGCTAAACGCAGATGGTGGTGTAGATTCTGCTGTTGTTGCAAGGGTAGTTCAGAGAAAAGTCACTCTGAAGTTAAAGGGGAAGGTTCATGTAAGCCGTGTGAGAAGTTGTTTAGTTTAAGAAGGCGTAATATGGGCAATGAAAGCGACTCACGGCTTTAAGATTTCTTAATTTTAGTGGCATATTTACCATGAGGAAATTATTTACTTATTCTATATTATATAGGTTTTCTTTACCCCACCCGTCAAATTAGAAAGAACAGAGATGAGGATGATTAGATGAGAGAAAGAAAAACTAGTAAAGAATTGGGACCAAGATTGGTGGTAATGCGACGAAATAGACTTAGATGGTTTGGGCATGTGGAACGAATGTCAAAAGATGACTGGGTAAAGAGATGCACTTTGATGGAAGTAGGAGGATCGAGACCTAGAGGAAGGCCCAAGATGACGTTATTGATATTATAAGGACAAACATTAAATATCTTTTACAAATATAATATTTTTTTTAAAAAATAGATTTATATATCATTTTTCTTAAAAACATTATAACAGTGAAGAAAAATAATACCCAAATTTTAAGGTTATTTATTTTACTTTATTAATTGAGGTATTTAAGACATAAAGTTAAATTGGGTGTCCACTTACAAAATTAGAGCTTTAATTGTAGAATTTCTATTATTCTAATTTTTATATATATTCGTATATACCTTCATTTCTAAGATATTGCCAGTATTTTAAAAAAGAATTTTTATCACTTTATAATCTAATTCCGGGTTTTAACTCCCGGTATTAGCCATTAATATATTTTTTTATAATATTAGAGAGCTCTTATTAAGCTTCTAGAATTTATTTTGAATGAATTTTCAATCTTAACAACTTAGCAAAATATAGAGATATTCGCATTTCAAAATTCAGGAATTTGGTAAATTTTAAACTTTGAGGGACAATACCTTGTTGATTTGTCGTGGAATTCATATATACAAATAATATATTATTTTAAGTAAATTGTAAACCTTCCTTGTATCTATCGACCGAAGGTTGAGGCGAATCGTATATCGGCAATCCAAGATCTAATGGTTGCCTAGCCCTAACCTTGGTCTCGGCAGTTGGCTGCAATGGCGATTCTAGGAAGGGCACACCTAATCATTCATTCATTCGATAAAAATACATTTATTTTTCATTCAAAGTAAAGAAAATATAAAAACTAATTTTAAGATAGAAAATATAGATGTAAGAAATAAATTTAATTTTAAAGAAATAATAATAATGAGACGAAAAACTCAGTGATTGGTGAATTAGTATGTAGCTAATATCAGCTGGGAGAGTGTAAAACCAACTTAAATTATAATAACATATGAAAGTCTCATTAGTTTGTTATAGTTATGTTTAAAAAAATCGAAAAAAAAAGAAGAATATGTCATATGCAACAAACTAATATAAAATCATAATTTGGGAACGTATCTTTAGTGTCCCCTCGTGCAGTCTGGGGAAAAAATAAAATTTAATAATAATATTTTTTTATAACATATTTAATTTAATATAATCATGGCTTTTTTGTATTAAAATAGTAAATAAGTAACATTGATTTATAGTTTAATATTCAATTTACGAAAACCTTTTATTATTACTTCTTATATTTGGCTTTTTTTAATGAGTCAAAATAATACTTTAAAAATGCGAAAATAAAGCCGGAAAACCGCTGTCTTTCGCGGTACCATTTACTGGATCGCCTACTCCCAACATCGAGTGATTTACCAATGATAATAAACCGCTTAAAAACTTGCAAGTTTATTATTAAGTTGAAGATTTAATTAACTATTTTATGATCATGGCTAATAAGATAATTTCATTCAACTTTAAATTACGACTTATTTATATAGTAAAATATAACTTGTAATAAAATATTTATTTAAACAATTCTAAACCAAATGGTGGTTTAAACAGAAAAGGTTCGCTTTCCAGAGGTTCACCGATACCGAAATAATTTTCAGCCTTCACCCTGAACTTGTAAGTTTTACCGGGTTTCAAATCAGGCACTATTATAAAAAAAAATAAAATAATTTGTTTAAATCATCGTGTTTTTGTATAAATAATGAACCACAAACCAAAGAAAATTTTATTTAACACCTAGTCCCCTTAGTAGCTTAAGGTCTCCGTATAAGGCGATCGCATAACATTTATGCCATCGTTTAGCGATTCTCCCAACGTTTAACCATCATTGTGCCCACCATTAATGAGTTCTTATTGCCAAATGGTTTTTGGTTATACACAAAGCTAATTTTCTCTTGGGACAGTTAAATTATCTTAATACATTATTGCTTTTAAAGAAAAATTAATATCTTATAGATATACGTACAAAGCTCGATTAATCGAAAGAAAAAAACATATAGGCTCGATAATGACGCCAGACTATAAATTTTTTAATTGACCGCAACTCAGTCATGTCACTAGGAATGGGTCTTTTGGATTAATTTAGCCAAGTGACGTCACAATGGAGAGGTTATTGGTGGGTCATGTCAGTCAAAATTTGGAGAGTCACCTAACCTCGCATGAAAAATATATAAATATTGAAGTTGACGGTCAAATCAGCTGGTGACTCGCCATTTTTAGTTTCCAGTGTATACAACAACTTGAATTAAATTTTATAAAATAGAAAAAATAAATTATACGCGACAAAATGGCGTGTCATCAAGTGATTTGTATTCAACGAAGTTTTATAAAATGCATTTCATAAATTAATCAAACCTTTTTTGGACAAACCACCGACCGGCTTACCCACTGCCAGCCATTTTTTATCATCCATATCCATCATTTCAACGTAGTATCCTAAAATTGGCGGCATATCTTTTTTTTTAAATATCAAAAAAAGAATCAAATATTTCATCGCTAAATTTCGGCAATTTAAAACCCAAAAATTACATTTAATTTGTTACTGCACACTTGGTCGGTAAATAGTATCATCATCATATTTAAAAATGATTTGTTTGTACCAATATAATAAGTGAACTCTTCATTCTCCCAACCTCCGCAGCACTCGCGACCGTAAAACCCTCTATCGTCGTGACAACGATGGTGGAGACAGCCATTGGAAAAACGTCCCGAATAAGAAAACCCCGATCAAAGTTATAGGGTAGAAAAGTTGTTGTGTTTAAAAAATTAACTGTTTGTTTGTATATAAAATTTAGTTTAGCTTTTCGTAAAAGTACACGTTATCGGTAGTGGGAAAATGTGTTATTTTTTCAAATTTGCAATCGTTTTGAGAAGTGCTTTATTTTTAAATTTTAAAATCTGACTTTACCGGAAATGTGCTCCATCATATTTGAAATACCTAGCCTAAGAATTTCAGACAATTATGCTATAAACATTTTAACCAGCATCTTAAGTATAGTACTATTTACCGACCAAAAGAATATATAGTTTAAAAAAAAAATTTAAATCATGAGTTAAACTGAATTATATTTAGTAAAATAAATTTGATATTTAAAAAATAAATCTGTATAAAATTTATATATATATATATACCATAGTCTTTGAAATCTTCACCGTAATTCAATGGCGGCTTCCATCCAAGGGTTAAGCTATCAGCTGTAATATCTGAAAACTGGAGGGGGCCTCTAGGAGGTCCTGGTTTATCTATAAGATGATAATTATATTTTATATATGTGTTCATTGTAATCATTATTTTTTTTAAACGCATGATATATAAAATCGATATATATATTAAATCTAAGCAAAAAAAAAAAATTTTCTTTAAATTCACGATATTAGTTTAAAATAATCAAATTATCAATAAGTTTTGCATTTGTTTTCGAATAGAAACTTTAGAGCACAAAATATGTAAGCAATATTTTTTTTATACGTTATTATTAGTGTTAAACGGTTCGATTTGAGCCGATTTTTAAAAACGGCAACTCAACATTATAGACCGGAAAATATTGCCTAAGCGTCGAGATTCCGCCAACAGATGTTAATTCTATGTGCCACGTATGAGCAAAATCTCCAGTAGCCATTTTAAAAATCGGCTTAAATTGAGCCGTTTAACAACACTAGTTATTATCCCGTTTCAATTCGAACATCAATAGATAAAATGAAGAAGAAGAAATGCCCTTATAACCCCTTCTTTCGAACAAAATTTATTTTATAACGCGTATTTTCCCATCTCGAATATACATCAATAAATTTTTTTGAAACTAATATTACAAATATGATTTTTTAAAAAAAATAACATAATTTTGCATGAATGAATATGATATAAATATTTTATTTCAGAAAAGCGAATAAAGAGATTAATAAAAAAAAAATTAATTCTTTTCGTATTCTTTTCTTTTTTAAAATAATCATTTATAATATTGTCCGAAGATTAAAATCATCAGGGCTATATTCACTTGAGGTCTAAAAAAAAATATGGTAGGGTTATTTATTTCAAAGAAATCTTATAAATTATAACATGAATAATGATGTTTAAATGGCTTTACAAATGTTCCAGAAATACACTATAACAATAAAACGATATATTCATAAAATTATGTTTCTAAGTTCTAATTTATGTTATATGACTTATGGACTATATTGATTTTAAATAATATCTTTTATACCTATAAAAGAAACTTCATTTCAAGCAATAAGTATCAGAGATCTGTAAATGGCAAAAATTGACCTGACCCGGCCCGGTCATGTGGAAATTTATTAATAACCGACCAGGCCCGGTTATAATTTTTTACTAAAGGTTTTCAATTTTTTTTTTTTAAATCAAGGGCCTAAACTAAATATGTCTCGAACACCCAAAATAAACAACTATTGGTTAAATTGAAAATACTCTACGTTATTGATTATCACTTATATAAAATATCAGAATTATCAAATATATATGCATATATACAAAAAAAATGTAAGGCCTTGTCTGTTAATTTCTTTAGTCAGGTCTGTCTCAAAAATATTTTCTTGACGTTACTTAGGCCGGCCCGGGAATTATAGATTTCTGAATCATCACATAAATAATTCTTTTAAACATCTACCTTCAGAATCTGTTTTTGACTCTTAAATACTTTGCCACAAAAAGAAAATCTAAAGCAAATTTTTATACATTTTTGGGGGAGAGGGAGTGGGAGGTAGTGATGTTATACGGCTCAATTCGATATTTTAGCCAGAATCTGATCCTCGAGATTTCACTAATAAGTCTTCAAACCTTTGTGCCATTCCATGACCACAATCTTTTAAGGCTTGCGTAATAGTTTTCTGGATAAAATATTGAGATAGCCCTTTTTAAAAAATCGGCTCAAATCGAACAGTTTAAACAACATTTAGTGGGAGGTGTGTAGTCGGATATTTATTAGTAGTTTAAAAAGATATATAGGAAAATAAGAAAATTTGCAGTATCATCTATATAAAAAAATAACAATTCGATTCTAATGCTAAAAATTCTCGTTTAAAAATAGAATTTGTTAGAAAGGTTGAAAAAAATAAGGGCATTTACATTGTTTTATATTGTTTTTTTACAATCGATGGGTCTTCGAATTAAAATTGGATAATTGTCTACATATTTTCTGCTTTCATAATATGTTAGTTTCTATTAGAAAAAATATCGAGAAACCTTGTATAATAAATTTATTTTAAAAAAAGATTATAAATAGACTATTTAACAATTTCGGGTTATTGAATTATTTTTTAAAAAACATTATTGTAAATCGAAACAAATGTGGTGTGAATCAATTTGAAAAAGATAAAGAAATCTAATTTTAAATGATATTTTAGAAGAAAAACTCTCTGTACTATAAAAAATTAATTTTTTTTTTATTAATAAAAATGATTACGCATATGAAATGAGATAGGGTCATATAGGTTAGAACTTTTGGGTATAGGTTACTTATCCCAGCTGATGCAATATAAAATTTACTTATATTTATATCAAAATTTAAAATTTTTTTTAGGGTAATATTTTCGGGATAGGTTCTAAATCGCTAAAACATAAATCGCTAAAAATTGGGAACCTGGCTTATATCTCCTAGAAAATTTTTAAAGTAAATTTGAAACCAAAACTGGGATTTTGGATGATATTTCTTACATTTTAGCGATTTTTTTAAATTTTCAATTTAAATACAAGTGTTTAGTCCCCTAGTATCTATTAATATTAATTTCAAATTTACTTTAAAAATTTTCTAAGAGATATAAGTCATGTTCCCAATTTTTAGCGATTTTTGTTTTAACGATTTTTGTTTTAGCGATTTAGAATTAGAACGGGAACCATATTTTCAATATATCGCCTCCGTATTAAATTAAAATATATAACCTTTAACGAAAAACTTAATCTCAACTTCATCTTTTCCAGCTTCGTTCGCTATCTTTATTTTGTATATACCAGTCAAAGGCATTAAAGCTTTCGCTATGATTACACGTGTGATTCCTTCAGTATTTTCAATCTGAATATAATTTTTTTTTGAAGATATATAAATCGGTGAAGTAAAAAGTTCAATTTTTGATTGGACCAGCAGTTTTTAATTTCGGTTGATGTCACCCAATGGGAATGTTTACCAATCAAATGTTGGCCTATGAGTAGTCAATAAATATTTTATTTTGTAATAATGTTTTCATTAATTCATAAATCCTCCAATAAATTTTTTTGGATTGGGGGGGGGCTTACTCAACAGGTATACCCTTCCTCTCTCAACAAAATCCTAAACATTCCAACTAACAAGTATATCATAACAACACTTTTAATAATCTTAGGCTATGACCTAAATATATATTTTTTTTAAATCTCAAAAATTTATAAAATTTCGTATATTTTTATAAAAATTATGAAACATGATCTTCCATTCAAATTGTATTTTAATTCCCCGTTTAAATTAATATAACTGTCCATTTCTTATTAATAATTTAAAATTAATGTTACGTAAAAACTTACTAAATTTATTTAAATTCTAGAATTTTTAAAAAATTAATAAACTTTTGTAAATTTGAAAAAATGAATTTAGATCGCTATTTTATTATTTACATTAAAAATAGCTTAGCTTCTTTTTTTTTCTTTAAAGTTTACGACAATTTTTTTTATATTTATTTTTGATATTTAGGTAACAACCTTATGCATATTATATTTTTTTTCAAAATTAAAAAGGTTCCCATTATTTTAATGAAGGGCAAAAAATTATTGTTAATAATTATTCTAAAATAACATTTTAAATTAAATACTTTGAATTCTGGACTAGATGAAATGATCTCGCCATTCTTTTTCCACTCAACAGACGGAGATGGTGAACCTACAAATGGAAAACTTCCGTCAAAGCTCTCCCCGGGCTTGATTTTGAACACCTTTCCGGGAAACTTATCCAATAAAAATCTTGGCTTTTCTAAGTTATATATAAATATAATAAAATTCATCATAAAATGTCTATATAAAAATTATGTTTATTTCATTTTTTTTCTTCCGGTTTTTTCCCGCTAACCTTGACAAAATAAATATTATACCTAGCTTAGAACTGGCTCTAATTTTTTCGCTGGGAGGACCTGGCTCACTGATGCCTATGTCGTTCACAGCGCTCAACCTGTATTTGTATTCTCCGTTCGGAATCACGTCTTTGTCCGTAAAACTTAATTCCTAAATATATCGAGAAATTTTTTTAAATTGTTTACTATAAATTAAGAGTGACATATTTTTATATCTCCCCGCATAATTATTATAAATATTATTAGATTATGACCAAATCATTTTTACTGATATGATTGATTAATCCCACTATCATTTCGAGGAAATTTTTAGCCGAATTTCCAAGAATCATATAATTTGCTCAAAAATTTAACTAATTCTTCCTTTAAAGTACATATACAGATAAATACTTTAGTTTGCAATGAATGGCCTACGTTTATCATATACATTTTATAAATAATAAAATAATTCCATTACAATATTAAAATATTTGAGAATAAGCTTCTGAAGACCTTATAATATCCTATTTTTACAAAAAATATAAATGTAATGTAATACTAAAATATAGGGCTACAAAATCAAAAATGAAGAATTTTTTTTTAAAAAAAAGCGAATATTTAAAGAATAACCATTAATGTAATTCGATTTGTATTCTGGATCTCTTAAATTTTTAAACTATTTACTTAGGGTCATATATCTTTAAATTCGAAAAATGTAATTTTGCCGTAAATAGAAATACAGAATTGTTAGTATAGAATAAGTAACCTACCATATGAATACCAGACAATTTTGCCAAGAACTTTAGAACTACTTGATTTACTTTTTTTTTTACTAAACATCAGATTTTTGAAAAATTGAAAATGCCCTCGGCATATGATTTAAAATTGAAATTTAAACGAATTTTAATGGATTTTGAAAAACCCCATTCCCATATGACATTCATATAACTAATATTACATCCGGTTCAACTTTAGCAATCTGCGCCCACTTATTGGTCTTGGTATCTTGACGTTCCACTAGGTATTCTTTAATCGGTTTTCCCCCATCATCTAAAGGCGGTGTCCAGACTATCTCTATGAAATCTTCATCTTTGTCCTTTAATTCTGGTTTTCCGGGTAAAGATGGTACCACTTTTTGTTTTTATTATTGAATAATTACATTTTAATTTTTATACTCACATATTAATTCAATTTTATTTTTATTCCTCACGGAAAAGTTGTCATGCATTTTTATTATTTAAAAAAAAAATAAAAAATAATTTAGAACAATATTTAGTGGATGAATAAAATAGAAGAGGTCGTTCGAGGCGGCCTAAAAATATAAATAAATATATATATATAAATCTCTCTTTAGTATTGGTTGAGTAATTGTATTTTTTAGCGGTTATAAGTGGTTTTAGTCGTACTAAAAACGATTATCTAGTTTTTAGAGTAAAACTACCACTTTAAGAATTGGGAGTTTTTTTGAAAGCAAATAGCTCAACTTTGAATAGAGTAGAAATGAACTAACTCACGCCTCAATATTTTATTCAGCACGCGCCAAGTCTTGTTTTAATAATTAACACTAACCCAATTTGGCTTGTATTGTGACGGGGTGTACCATCTCCAAGGCTTCCGAAATTCCGTATTTATTTTCGGCTTTGACCCTAAACTGATAAGTTAGCTTTTCTTTCAAGTTTTTCACGAGGCATTCCGTAGATGGAACCATGTTATTTACCATTTCCCATTTGGGCTTGTCAACTTCCTTCTTCTCCAAAATGTAATTCCTTGATATAATACCGATTTTAGAATAGACAAATAAATTAAATAATTTACATTATTATATAATATAATATAATATAATAGTAAAATGTAATTTTATAAGAATTATTAGATATCTTTACAGTAATCATCTCTTACGATATCTCGAAATAGTCACACGATATTTTAATTGTATTATAGATAAACCTTCGGGTTTTTTTTAAATTTTTTAATCAAGTAAACGATTGTCGAAATGGAACCAATTATTAACCTCGTCAAATAGTTATCAAAAATCAATATAAATTAAAGAGTTATTTTAATTATTTTGATGATACTTGTAACATTTTTATCAAATATTTCCTCCTATTAAATTTTTCACCAATAAAAAATATTTCCATTTCTCTATATGTTCTGGGTAACTGTTAGTGTAACCACTTTTATCAATAAGTACACTTACTTTTTAAAACAAAATATAATTGTTTTATTGATGAAAAATTCTACAATAAATTTTTTTATAACGAGGTTAGGTTTTCCAAATTTCTTATATAATTCGAATTTGTGAGTGTGAGAGTCATATAACATTTTAAGGTGAGACTAATGATAGAGAGTTTTATGTTTTCATAAAAATCTCATTTATACCTTCAAAAATTATCCCCTACATACAACAAAAAAATTATCAATTTTTAAATGGCAACGGTGGCTTGAAAGGTTAGATACCTTGATAGCACCCTTCTCCCCTCGATCTCCGCCATAATTTTAAAATTTATGAAATCAACATACTCGAGCGGTAGGAAAGGGGGGGGGTTACCTTGCATTCATTGTTAGAGCGAATTAGCGACGAAGTATACAAAAATTGTATGTAAAGATATTATATTTATATCAAATTTTGTATACATTTAACCGCGAATTTAACTGTTAATGCAGGGTTAGAGAGGTTAGATCGGTTAGAAATATGGGTTAGGGGAGTTAATATTATATATATTAAAAAAGATGGTTCGTTATTTATAATAAATAAAATTTTTAAAACGTGATTTTGCTGCCACCATCATCCTCAGGTTCTTTCCAAGTCAGTGTTAGTGTATTGTCAGTAGCTTCCTTTACCTCGAACGGCTCCCTTGGCGGGGATGGTTTATCTTTTATTATATAATTATAAATTTCATTTAATTATTAGCTTACATGAACCAAATGAATAAAAATATCTGTCAACTTCAAGAAATGACAAGAAAAGATATTCACTTACAAACTAAGTTCATCAAAATCAATTACGAAAACAGTTTTTAAATATGTTAGTCATTTCTGGAATAAAGACAGGAATTACTTCAACTACCAAAAACATGATTTGACAGGTAAGATAAAGTGTGTAAAGTTATTTCGACCTTACGAATCTCAGACAATTTCATCATATATATTTGTATTTTTATTTAAAAATATCGACCATATAAAAATTTAGAAATCATTTTAAAAAAATTAATGGCAAAATAATTTTATTAAATTTTTTAAGGATTTCTCTTGATACATACTGGGATATTCTTTTTAAGGTAAAATGTTATTTTTTTTGTCCCCTAGATTATAAAAATCTTTCTCATTAATTCTTAGTGAGATGAAAGTAGATTATGTCGTTATTTCGGAGGAGAACTTTACTTATATATTAATATTATAATTAACAGTATCGAATATTATCATTATTCGTACCAACAACTTTGAGCTTCATCGAGGTCTCATCCTTGCCTGCTATGTTGGTTACATCGAGAGAAAATTCTCCCTCGTCACCTCTTTTAACGTCTTTCAATGTTAGTTGAGTAAAGTTTGGCTTTACCTCAACTATGAACCTCGAATCAATATCCGCGCTTATAATCTTTTCTTTAAAAATAAGAATTAATTAATTGTTAAAATTAATAAAATATTTATAATTTGACACTATCGGCTGAGATTTGTAAAATATATATATTAAAATCTTAAAATTATTGCTATACTTAATATTATTTATCATTCTATCAAAAAAAATATAGAATATATTCTTTGCTTTATATAAATAGGGTTTCCTTATCCTAGATAAAAACCGGCTCTACTCTTATAGCTCGCTTTATGTGATATTTATGATGTATCAAATTTTCTGCCGATTTTAAACTATTTCACTGTTATAAATAAAAAAATTCAACCTTGCGTTTTCCATTGAACATCCGGTTGAGGTTCAGCCTTAAATGGAACGGCAATTTTGAGCGTTTCTCCCACTTTTAGTGTTTGATCTTTTATTTTAGTCGTGTCTAAAATTGGTTTAACTCCCTTGATTTCCTCTTTAAAATTTATATCAATAAAAAATATAATGTCACTGTTTGTAAAATTATAAAAAAAAAATTTCTCTTTGACTTTCACATTTTCTGGTGGTAAGCTCCTTCAACATCTCTCTCCACTTTATGTTATTCATACAATTTTTTTATCTAATTTATACTTCTTTATATTGGCTCTAACTTTGTGACCCCATTGAAGTTTTGGCCTTCATCTTTTTCGTTGCCCATCACTTCCAAACTCTCAACCTTATTTCCTATGTAGTTCATAGGCCTTCTCATTGTGTGCCCATACCATCTAAGTCTGTTTACCATTAACTTAGTCTTAATGGGCACTACCTTTAAACTATTTAGTATTCTTGTACTGCGCACTTTATCCTTTCTTATCACCTCAGCAATCATCCTCAGCATTCTCATCTCCATAGTTTGTAGACTTCTCTCGTCTGATTCCTTGGTTGGTCATATTTCCGAACTATATAGAATAGTTGGTTGTACTATGGAACTCTAAATGTTTCCTTTTAATTTGTGTGGGATTCTTTTGTCAAATAGCACTCCCGATAAAAATCTCCACTTTAACCACCCTTGATTAATTTTACTCTTTATCTCTTTTTCTATTGTGCCGTTTGTTTGTATAGTGGAGCCCAAATATTTGCAGCTTTCAATCGCCGATATCTGCCATTCATTTATATCAATACTCTCTGTTTCATCTCCTCCTATCACCATATACTCCGTCTTTTCTAAATTTACTTTTAGTCCATGCTTTTCTGCGATATTTATCCAACTCATTACTCTTTCTTTTATTTCATCCTTGGATTCGGTAAGTATCACAATATCATCTGCAAATATCATATTCCAAGGGACTGTTTGAGGTATATACTCTGCTAATACATCTATTATTGTAATGAAGAGAAGTGGGCTGAGAGCCGACCCTTGATGAACTCCTTCGGCTATTGTGAAGCCTGCTGAAGTACCTGTTGTGCTACGGACCATTGTTGTATGGCCCATATATATATCCTGTATTATTCTTATATATTTTTCGAAACTTTTCTGTGGCGTAGCGTCCACCAGATAGGTTTTCTTGGGATTCTATCAAAAACCTTATCTAGATCGAGAAAGACCATGTTTAGCTCTTTGTTCTTTTCCCTGATTTTTAGCTCATTTGTCTAATTGCGTGGATAGCATGAGTTGTTGATCTTCCAGGCATAAAGCCAAACTGAGTCTCCTATTTCGATTATCTTTTTTCTATTATTTTTTTGTATAGTTTTAGACAGTGTGACATTAGTTTTATGCCCTGTCATTTTAACAATTGTGTGGATCCCCTTTTTGAAGATAGGAACTAGATAGCTCAGTCTCTATTTTTGAGGATCTCTTCATTTCCCAGTATTTTATTGTACAGATTTGTGAGGAGATGTAATCCATCATCTCCTAGTGCTTTAAGGCTTTTTATTGGAATATCATCTGGACCCCTAGATTTGTTGTTTTTCATCTCTTGTTCTGTTATTGATAGTATACGGTTTTGACATGTGGAGTGTTCGTCTAAATCTAGTGTGGATTAAAGTTGAGAAGCTTCTGAAAATATTCTTTCCATCTATTCATTATTTCCTTTTCCTTTATTATCAATTTTCCATCTTTATTTTTGATTACTTGAGCTCTATTTATATCCCTAGAATTCTTTTCTCGCTTTTAACTAATCTGTATATTTTATTTTGCCCTTCTTTGGTATGTAGTTTTTCATACTCATCGTATGCCATAGATTTGGCTCTAACCACCGCCTTTGTAGCTATTCTCTTGGATTTTTTGTATCTTGCCTTGTCATCTGTGTTTTTGGATTTGTACCATATGTCATAAAGGGATATTTTTTCCTGTATAGTGGCGTGTACTTCTTCATTTCATCACCATAGTTCTTTGTATGAGTTGTTGCCTCCCCTTGTCAAGCCTAATGTAGATTTAGTAGTGTCTATTAATCTGGATGAAAGGTCTGTCCTCATTTTCACTGACTTGCGTGGAATCTATTATTTCAATGTTTGCATTATTGCAAAGGCATATGTCATTGTTTTTAATTTACCACATTTGATGCATGGTTCAAGTTTTATCTTATTTTGAGTGGATTTATTTGAGATGTGTAAATCATGACTAGTAGTTTGTGTTGCGCGGCGATATCTTCTCCTGGGATGACTTTGCAGTCTATTACATCTTTTAATCTTCTGCTAGAGATTAGCATATAATCTATCCGTGTTTTCCTTGTACCACTTTCATATGTTATTAAATGACTGTCTTTTTTTCCTATAGTAAGTGTTGGTTAAGGCAAGGTCGAAGGCTTGCGCAACTTATGGTACATGCTCGCTTTCAATTTCTATCTTTATAAATTAGCTTTCTTAATTCCTAATCTGATCCCCCCTCCTTTCTCCATTCACAATTATAAGTTTATTAAGTTACTTGAAAATGTAAAATGTATTAATTAACTACCTGGCTTCTTAGCTTTTTCCGTTGGTTCCTCTAATTCTTCCTTTTTCTCGACGGCAGCTTCAGGCTTTTTCGAGGGCTCTTTAACTTTTTCTTTATGAATGTGATAAATTGGTTTTAATTTATGATATATCAAAAACTATCGAATACTGGCTGCCATATAATGAGTATATATCTAGTTTTTTGCAATGATTTCGATATGATTTTAAAATTTTAAAAAAATCTAGAGACATTCCAAAATAATTATTAATTTATCATTTTTTCCAGATTTGTTAATTTTAAATTTCACTTTTACAGCTAAAAGTTGTGAAATTAAACGAAATTTTGAAAATTACGAGTAGAAAAAAATATTTCTTTTCAAATCTGGGTTAAGCATAAGATTCTGACTTTTTTTTCCTCTGATATTCATATCAATACAATTTCTGCTATATCTGTTGAATGTATACTTATTTATATTATTTATTTATTTTTTTCAAAGATATTTTATAAAAGTCCAAAAAAAAGTTAAATTTGTTTTTTACCCAAAGATAATCAATCACTTCAGCATTGGGGGTTTGTTTTTTGGAAAGTATAGCTCAACTTGGAAGAAAGGAGAAATAAATTATTCATGCCTCAAGGCTTAGCTACTTTTCTTCTATACGCGACTGTATATTAAGCCATATTTAACGATTTTTTAACCATTAACCAAAATTATATTCTTTGATACTTAATTTAATTAAAACTAACCCATTTTGGCTTGTATTGTGACGGGGTGCTTCATCTCTAATGCTTCCGATATTCCGTATTTATTTTCGGCTTTTACTCTAAACTGGTAACTTTGATTTTCTTTTAAGTTTTTCACAAGGCATTCAGTAGATGGAACCATGTTATTGACCAATTCCCAACTGGGCTTGCCTACCTCTTTCTTTTCCAAAATGTAATTCCTTCATATCATTTCGATTTTTAAAGTATAAATTAAGTAAACGTATATGTTACATAATATATAACATACAATATATATTATATTAAAAAGTATTTTAAACGTGATTTTGCTTCCACCATCATCTTCCGGTTCTTTCCAAGTCAGTGTTAGTGTATTGTCAGTAGCTTCCTTTACCTCGAACGGCTCCCTTGGTGGGGATGGTTTACCTTTTATTATATCATTAAAATTTCATATAATTATTAGCTTACATAAACAAATGAATAAAAATATCTGTCAACTTCAAGAAATGACAAGAAAGTGTTATTCACTTACAAGCTACGATCATCAAAATCAATTACGAAAACATAGTTTTTAAATATGTTATTCTTTGGAATAAAGACAATAAAGACAGGAATTACTTCAACTACCAACGTTAAATTAAACATGATTTTACAGGAAAGATAAAGTGTGCAAAGTTATTCCGACCTTACAAATTTCAGACAATTTCGCCATATATATTTGTATTTTTATTTAAAAAAATCGATATATAAAAATTTAAGAATCGTTTTTATAAATTAATGACAAAATAATTTTATTAAGGATTTCTCTTAGTACATATACTGGGATATTCTTTTTAAGGTTTTGTCCTCTAAATTATAAAAATCTTTCTCATTATTTCTTACTTGGGAGAATGTAGATAGTCATTATTTTGGAGGAGAACTTTACTTATATATTAATATTATAAATAATAGTAAATATTATCATTATTCATACCAACAACTTTGAGCTTCATCGAGGTCTCATCCTCGCCTGCTATATTGCTTACAGCGAGAGAAAATTCTCCCTCGTCACCTCTTTTAACGTCTTTCAATGTTAGTTGAGTAAAGTTTGGCTTTACCTCAACTATGAACCTCGAATCAAGATCCGCGCTTATAATCTTTCCTTTAAAAATACGAATTAATTTTAATAAAATATTTATAATTTGACACTATCGGCTGAGATTTGTAAAATATATATATATATATATTAAAATCATTTATATTATTGCTATACTTAATATTATTTATCATCCCTTTTATCAAAAAAATATAGAATATATTCTGTTTTAATAGGGTTTCCTTATCCTAGATAAAAACCGGCTGTACTCTTATAGCTCGCTTTGTGCGATATCTATGATGTAAAATTTTCTGCCAATTTTAAACGATTTAACTGTTATAAATAAAAAAATCTAACCATGCGTTTTCCATTGAACATCGGGTTGAGGTACAGCCTTAAAGGGAACGGCAATTTTGAGCGTTTCTCCCACTTTTAGTGTTTGATCTTTTATTTTAGTCGTGTCTAAAAGTGGTTTAACTCCTTTGATTTCCTCTTCTTTAATTTATATCAAGAAAATATATAATGTCACTGTTTATAAAATTATTAACTAGCTTGCTTAATTCCTAATCTGATCCCCCCACCTTTCTCCTTTCACAATTATAGTTTATTAAGTTACTTGAAAATGTAAAATGTATTAATTGGCTACCTGGCTTCTTAGCTTTTTCCGTTGGCTCCGCTAATTCTTCCGTTTTCTCAACGGTAGCTTCCGGCTTTTTCGATGGCTCTTTAACTTTTTCTTTATAAAGGTGATATATTGATTTTATATTACGATATATTAAAAACTATTGAATAACTTTCTCTGGCATGCCATATAATGTGTATATATCCAGTTTTTTGCAATGATTTTGACATGGTTTTTTAAAAAAATCAGAGACATTCCACAATAATTATTAATTTATCATTCTTTTCCAGATTTGTTAATTTAAAATTTCACTCTTACAGCCAAAAGTAGCGAAATTAAACGAAATTTTGAAAATTCCAGAGTAGAAAAAAAAAATTTCTTTTCAAATCTGGGTTAAGCCTAAGATTCTGACCTTTTTTTCCTCTGATAATTATATCAATACATTATCTGCTATTTCTGTTGTAATATTTAAATGAGTTAAAGAAAATTGAATAAAAAAGATTTATTATTCAGATTAAATAAAGTTCAAATATATTTAAGTTTGTTGTTAAAACACTATGTAAATTAATAGTATAGAAAAGTATATAGGGAATATTTTACTTGTAAAATAATTATTATGAATTTGCGAACATAATTTTTAATCTTTTAATTTATATTAATTTTATTTTTCTTTTATTTTGATTATGTTTTCACTTTATAGTTAAGTATTTAATAAAGATTTAGTATCATATATTTTAGTTCTAACGTTTCATTTTTGACAATGATGTTGGAGAGTAGAGGTGCCAGGGCAATTACAACAATTCAGTCTGGGATGTATGAAATGACTATCAAGACAACGAATGAGAGCATTAAAACAATGGTATCAATATTAATGGTCGTAATTAGGAAAAGAATAAAATTAATCGTTTAGCTAAAAAGAATTCGTCACAAGAGATCGTTATAGGTACAAGTGATCGTTTTATATAATATTAGGTTGTGGATTAACCGAAAATCTTCATAAAGAGAAACGGATTTTCGTCATTAGAAATTTTATGCCGCAATCGAGATCATGTAGAGATCGAATTTTTATTTGAGATAAAAAGATAAAAGAAATCTTTATCGTACAAGAGATATTAAGACTAAGTTGATATATTGACAAGCGATAGGTAGAACAAGTGGTTAATACCAGGATGCAATCGTTAATCGTTGACAAATTATCGTCAATTGCTTATCAAAATTTTAGTATAAGATACAAAATCGATGATCTAAGAAACAAAATTCTTGTAAAATCGCAGATCAAGCATCGCAAATCGTTGATCGAGATAAAGCAATGATCATTAGTTACAAGAGAACGTTAGAAACAAGCAAAAGACCAAATTAATTTATCAGGAGAATTTAGACGTAGTATAGATAATCGTTGACTAGCAATCGTATATCGTTTAAAAGCATGCGTTAATCAAGTTGTCAGTGCTAAGAGCTCATCAATATACAGACTAAGACAAGAAACAGAATCTATCTGTGATGTAAGTGAGCAAAGGAAATAAAACAGTAATTGGATACATACGAATATTGGTATTTCGCAGAATGTGGGGTCTAATCTAAGTGGAAGGGTGTTGTAATATTCAAATGAGTTAAAGAAAAATGAATAAAAAAGATTTATTATTCAGATTAAATAAATTTCAAGATTATTTAAGTTTGTTGTTTAAACACTATGTAAATGTAGTATAAAAAAGTATATATAATCGGGAATGTTTTACTTGTAAAATAATTATTATGAATTTGCGAACATAATTTTTAATTTTAATTTTTTATTTTATGATTATGAAATTAGGTATTAGTAGTTAATTTATTTATACTATTTATTTCAATTTCTATTGAATATATTTATTTATATTATTTAATTTTTTTATTCTTCAGGGAAGAGTTGGTCATACGTTTTCGTGAAAATAATAAAAATAATTTAGGGTAATTATAACTAAGATAGAAATCAAGACTAAAAATGAATACATTTCTCACAAATTTGACAAAATTTTACAAAAATTAATCTCTTTTTGGTATAGTAAGATAATTATAAATATTTTTACTGCTTAGCCTATTTTTTCCGGCTTAAAAGATTTTAAAAAAAATCCTAAAAACAGCTAAATTTGTTTTTTACCCAAAGAAAATCACTTCAGCATCGGGGGTTTTTTTTATGAAAGTATAGCTCAACTTAGAAGAAAGCAGAAATAATACATCAATGCTTATCTACTTTTCTTCAATATTAATTTAATTAAAAGTAACCCATTTTGGCTTGTATTGTAACGGGGTGCTTCATCTCTAATGCTTCCGATATTCCGTATTTATTTTCGGCTTTTACTCTGAACTGGTAACTTTGGTTTTCTTTTAAGTTTTTCACGAGGTATTCCGTAGATGGAACTATGTTATTGACCAATTCCCAACTGGGCTTGCCTACCTCTTTCTTTTCCAAAATGTAATTCCTTCATAGCATTTCGATTTTTAAAGTATAGATTAAGTAAATGTATATGATACATTATATATAATATAATATATATTATATTAAAAAGTATTTTAAACGTGATTTTGCTTCCACCATCATCTTCCGGTTCTTTCCAAGTCAGTGTTAGTGTATTGTCAGTAGCTTCCTTTACCTCGAACGGCTCCCTTGGCGGCGATGGTTTACCTTTAAATATATCATTAAAATTTCATTTAATCATTAGCTTACATAAACCAAATGAATAAAAATATCTGTCAACTTCAAGAAATGACAAGAAAGTGTTATTCACTTACAAACTACGATTATCAAAATCAATTATGAAAACATAGTTTTTAAATATGTTAGTCTTTTCTGGAATATAGACAATAAAGACAGGAATTATTTCAACTACCAACGCTTTAAATTAAACATGATTTTACATGAAAGATAAAGTGTGTAAAGTTAGACCTTAAAAATTTCAGACAATTTCTCCATATATATTTGTATGTATTTTTATTTAAAAAATACATACAAATATAAAAATTTAGAAATCGTTTTAAAAAAATTAATGACAAAGTAATTTTATTATATTTTTCAATAATTTCTCTTAGTACATACTTGGATATTCTTTTTAAGGTAAAATGGGATTTTTTTTGTCCCCTAGATTAAAATCTTCCTCATAAATTCTTAGTGCGAAGAATGTAGGTTTAGTGGTTATTTCGGAGGAGAACTTTACTTATACATATATTAATATTATAATTAAAAGTATGGAATATTATGATTATTCGTACCTACAACTTTGAGCTTCATCGAGGTCTCATCCTTGCCTGCTATGTTGGTTACATCGAGAGAAAATTCTCCCTCGTCACCTCTTTTAACGTCTTTCAATGTTAGTTGAGTAAAGTTTGGCTTTACCTCAACTATGAATCTCGAATCAAGATCTGCGCTTATAATCTTTCCTTTAAAAATATGAATTAATTAATTGATAAAATATATATATTAAAATCTATTAAAATTATTGCTATACTTAATATTATTAACAAAAAAAATATAGAATATATTCTTAACATCTATCTTAAATAGGGTTTCCTTATACTAGATAAAAACCGGCTATGCTCTTATAGCTCGCTTTGTGCGATATCTATGATATATCAAATTTTCTGCCGATTTTAAACAATTTCCCTGTTATAAATAAAAAATAATTTAACCATGCGTTTTCCAATGAACATCAGGTTGAGGTTCAGCCTTAAAGGGAACGGCAATTTTGAGCGTTTCTCCCACTTTTAGTGTTTGATCTTTTATTTTAGTCGTGTCTAAAAGTGGTTTAACTCCCTTGATTTCCTCTTCTTTAATTTATATCAAGAAAATATATAATGTCACTGTTTATATAATTATTAATTAGCTTGCTTAATTCCTAATCTGATCCACCCCCCTTCTTTCTCCCTTCACAATTATAAGTTTATTAAGTTACTTGAAAATGTAAAATGTATTAATTGGCTACCTGGCTTCTTAGCTTTTTCCGTTGGTTCCTCTAATTCTTCCGTTTTCTCGACGGTAGCTTCCGGCTTTTTCGATGGCTCTTTAACTTTTTCTTTATGAGAGTGATAAATTGATTTTAATTTAAGATACATCAAAAACTATTGAATAACTTTCTCTGGCATGCCATACAAAGAGCATATATCGAGTTTTTTGCAATGATTTCGATATGATTTTTTTTAAAAATCAAGAGACATCCCACAATAATTATTAATTTATCATTCTTTTCCAGATTTGTTAATTTAAAATTTCACTCTTATAGCCAAAAGTAGCGAAATTAAACAAAATTTTGAAAATTCAGAGTAGAAAAAAAATACTGGGTTAAGCCTAAGATTCTGACATTTTTATTATATCAATACAACTGCTATTTCTGTTAAATGTACTTATTTATAATTTCTAAAAAAAGCTAAATTTGTTTTTAATCACTTCAGCATCGGGGGGTTTTTCTTTGAAAGTATAGCTCGACTTGGAAGAAAGCTTAAATAAATTACTCTACCTCAATGCTTAGCTACTTTTCTTCGATACGCGACTGTGTAATAAGCCGAACTTAACAATTTTTTATCCATTAACCAAAATTATATTCTTTGATATTTAATTTAATTAAAACTAACCCATTTTGGCTTGAATTGTGACGGGGTGTTTCATCTCTAATGCTTCCGATATTCCGTATTTATTTTCGGCTTTTACCCTGAACTGGTAACTTTGATTTTCTTTCAGGTTTTTCACGAGGCATTCCGTAGATGGAACCATGTTGTTGACCAATTCCCAACTGGGCTTGTCTACCTCTTTCTTTTCCAAAATGTAATTCCTTCATATCATTTCGATTTTTAAAGTATAGATTAAGTAAATGTATATGTTACATTATATATAATATACAATATATATTATATTAAAAAGTATTTTAAACGTGATTTTGCTTCCACCATCATCTTCCGGTTCTTTCCAAGTCAGTGTTAGTGTATTGTCAGTAGCTTCCTTTACCTCGAACGGCTCCCTTGGTGGGGATGGTTTACCTTTTATTATATCATTAAAATTTCATTCAATTATTAGCTTACTTGAACCAAATGAATAAAAATATCTGTCAACTTCTTGAAATGACAAGAAAGTGATATTCACTTACAAAACTACGATCATCAAAATCAATTACGAAAACATAGTTTTTAAAAATGTTAGTCTTTTCTGTAATAAAGACAATAAAGACAGGAATTATTTCACCTAACAAAGCGTTAAATTAAACATGATTTTACAGGAAAGATATAGTGTGTAAAGTTATTCTGACCTTACAAATTTCAGTCAATTTCGCCATATATATATTTGTATTTTAATTTAAAAGAACATATAAAAATTTAGAAATCGATTTTAAAAAAATTATAGGTAAAATAATTTTATTAAATTTTTGGATTTCTCTTAATACATAGGGATATCCTTATTAGTGTAAAATGGGATTTTTTTTGTCCTCTAATATATAAATCTTCCTCATTAATTCTTAGTGGGAAGATTGTAGATTTAGTAGTTATTTCGGAGGAGAACTTTACTTATACATATATTAATATTATAATTAATAGTATCCAAAATTATCATTATTCGTACCAACAACTTGGAGCTTCATCGAGGTCTCATCCTTGCCTGCTATATTGGTTACATCGAGAGAAAATTCTCCCTCATCACCTCTTTTAACGTCTTTCAGTGTTAGTTGAGTAAAGTTTGGCTTTACCTCAACTATGAACCTCGAATCAAGATCCGTGCTTATAATCTTTCCTAAATAAAATATTTAATTTGACACTATCAGCTGAGATTTGTAAATTATATATATATTAAGATCTATTGAGGGTCGCGACATGGAATGTTGGGAGTATGACGGGAAGAGCTGGAGGAGGAGTCGTCGATGTATTACACAGAAGCCATATAGATGTGTGCTGCACACACGAGACTAGATGGAAAGGAAATGGGACCCAAATGATTGCCAAGACTAGCGAAAAGGATATATTCTTTGGCAGGAAGTAGTGATGGTAAGGCTGGAGTTGGGGTATTGGTTGCGGAGAAATTGGTAGACAAAGTAATCGAAGTGAGAAGGCTAGATAACCAGATAATGGTTATCAAGATGCTTTTTGGTAGAAAGCTATATAATATTATCTCGGCATATGTTCCTCAGGTTGGAAAGTGAAGAAGAGAAAGATATATTTTGGGACAGTCTATTGGGGATGACATAGAGACTGATAAATGATGAGGGGATTATCCTGGCTGGTGATCTCAATAGACATGTGGGAGCGAGTAGTGAGGGTTATGAAGGAGTACATGGAGGGTTCAGTTACGGCATGAGAAATTTGGAAGGAGTGAGGATTTTAGATTTTTGTGATGCTATGGATATGAGTGTCTATAATACAATGTTTAAGAAAGAATCAGAGAAGCTGGTGACTTATAAGTCGGGTTATACCAAAAGTGCAGTGGATTACTTGTTATTAAGGAGATGTGATCGATGTATAGTAAAAAATGTGAAAGTGATACCGGGAGAGTAATGTATAAATCAGCATCGACTAGTTGTAGGAGATCACTCTTAAAGGTGCCAGGGTCACTAAGAGAAAGTTTGTGCCAAGGTTGAAGGTCTGGAAATTGAAGGAGGAGAGTGCTAGACGTCAATTCAATATGACATTGGTGGTGGGAAGTCATGAAGAAAGTCTGGGTGATGACAACTGAGGAGGTATGTGGATGGACAAAAGGGCCGCCTAGACATAAGGAGACTTGGTGGTGGAACCCAGAGGTAGCGAAAGCTGTGAATGAGAAATGGAGGTGTTTCAAAGTATGGTAAAATAGCAAAGAGAATAGTTATAATGATATTTACAAGATGGCATAAAGAAATGCTAAGAAATCAATAGCGAAGGCTCAAGAAGAAAAAAAACACGAGTTTGCTAAAGAAAATGTGCTGATGGAATTGGAAATATGGTTCGAATGGCAAAGCAGATGTCAAAAAAGAGGCAGGATGTGATAGGTGTAAAGTGTTTGAAAAATATGGAAGGAAAAATGGTGATTGATAGTAGTGGTATTAAGAACACCTTGAAGATTTACAAGAAAGGACTTTAGAATGAAGAAAATAAATGGGATAATAATGTTAGGTGTGCAAAGGTATAAGGTCCAGGGTGTAAATTTGGCAAGGACGAGATAAAGATAGCAGTGAAAAGGATGAAAAAAGGGAAGGCATAGGGTTTAACGATGGTGGTATCAGAGATGTTTAGGTTCTGATGATTTAAAGATTGAATGGTTAATGAATTTAGCCAATCAAATTGTCACAGAAGGAACTATTCCCGAGGACTGGCGAAGAAGTATAATTATCCCAGTATACAAGGGGAAAGGTGATCCTTTAGATTGTGGGTCTTACAGAGCTATTAAACTCTTGGAACATGCAATGAAAGTATTTGAGAGAGTGTTAGAGAAGCGGATAAGGGAACAAATTAAAATTGATGAAATACAGTTTAGTTTTACATCGGGAAAAGGCACGACAGATGCAATTTTTGTGGTGAGACAAATGCAGGAGAAGTATATTGCGAATGAAAAGAAACTCTATTATGCGTTTGTTGATTTGGAGAAAGCATTTGATAGGGTGCCGCGTGAGGTTACTAGATGGGCCTTGAGAAAATCAGGTGTGGAGGAATGGTTGGTTATCACAGTGATGGCAATGTATGTTGGAGCACAAACAGCAGTATGGACGGATTATGGTGATAGTGACAGCTTTGAGTTGAAGGTAGGACTTCATCAAGGATCCGTGCTAAGTCCATTATTATTTATCTTAGTAATGGATGTGGTGGTTAGAGAAATGCGTGAAGGATTTCTCTGGGAGCTATTATATGCAGATGATCTTGTATTAATGGAAAACAGTGAGGAAGAATTGAGGGATAAAATTAATAAAAAAAAATGACTATGGAAGCAAAGGGCCTGAAAATGAATGCATCAAAGACAAAGGTGATGATTGAAAAATCTAAATGGAGGAATCCGGTGGCCTTGTGGTGTATGTGGGAAAGGAGTTGCTAGAAATTCTATCCAATGCACCAGATGCCAGAGCGGGAAAAAAGGAAATTTGATGTTAGAAAGAATGACCTTTATTTGTAGAACATGCATGAAGGGATACATAATTAAGATTACCTAGAAAATGGTGGTCTGGATATTGGCAATGGGTTAACCCTAGAAAAAGTGGATAAGTTTTGTTATTTAGGTGATATGATAAACGCAGGTGGTGGTGTAGATTCTGCCTTTGTTGCAAGGATCAGACAAGCTTGGAAGAAGTTCAGAGAGATGTCGTCTATTCGTATAAATAAAAAAGTCTCTCTGAAGTTAAAGGGGAAAGTTTTTGTGAAAAGTTGTTTAGTCTATGGCAACGAAACATGGGCAATGAAAGCGACATGCGAAGCCAAATTAAAAAGAACAGAGATGAGGATGATTAGATGGATGTGTGGGGTATCTCTGAGAGAGAGAAAAACTAGTAAGGAATCGCGAGCAAGATTGTGTATAGAAATGATTGAAATGAATGCGATGAAATAGACTAAGATGGTTTGGGCATGTGGAAATGATAAAAGATGACTGGGTAAGATGCACAATGATGAAAGTATGAGGATCAAGACCTAGAGTAAGACCCAAGATGACGTGGACAAATGTGATAGCGGCGGATATGAGAAGTATGAATCTTACAAATATGCTGCTCAGGAACGTCAAAAATGGAAAAGAAAAATCAGAGGGAAAACTGGCCTACCCGGGTAAACCTGGAAATCGCCATAAAACGGAGAAGAAGAAGAAGAAAGATTAAGATCATTTAAAATTATTGCTATACTTCTCATGCCCTTTATCAAAAAAAATATAGAATATATACTTAACTTTATCTTAAATAGGGTTTCCTTATCCTAGATAAAAACAGGTTCTACTCTTATAGCTCGCTTTTTGCGATATCTATGATGTATAAAATTTTCTGTCGATTTTTAACGATTTCAACTGTTACAAATAGAAAAATAAAAAAGATTTAACCATGCGTTTTCCATTGAACATCAGGTTGAGGTTCAGCCTTAAATGGAACGACAATTTTGAGCGTTTCTCCCACTTTTAGTGTTTGATCTTTTATTTTAGTCGTGTCTAAAAGTGGCTTAACTCCCTTGATTTTATCTTCTTTAATTTATATCAAGAAAAAATATGTCATTGTTTATAAAATTATTAATTAGCTTGCTTAATTCCTAATCTGATCCTTCATCCTTTCTCCCTTCACAATTATATTTTTATTAAGTTACTTGAAAATGTAAAATGTATTAATTGGCTACCTGGTTTCTTAGCTTTTTCCGTTGGTTCCTCTAATTCTTCCGTTTTCTCGACGGCAGCTTCCGGCTTTTTCGATGGCTCTTTAACTTTTTCTTTATGAGGATGATAAATTGGTTATAATTTACGATATATCAAAAACGATTGAATAACTTTCTTTGGCATGCTATATAATGAGTATATATCCAGTTTTTTGCAATGATTACGATATGATTTTTTTTAAAAAAAGACATTCCACAATAGTTATTAATTTATCATTCTTTTCCAGATTTGTTAATTTGCAATTTCACTCTAACAGCTAAAAGTAGCGAAATTAAACGAAAATTTGAAAATTCCGAGTAGAAAAAAAATAAATTTTCTTTTCAAATCTGGGTTAAGCCTGAGATTCTAACCTTTTTTTGCTCTGATAATTATATCAATAAAATTTCTGCTATTTCTGTTGAATGTATTTATTTATATTATTTATTTATTTTTATTCTTCCGTGATATAAAAAATAATATAAATAATTTAGGGCAACATTTGTGGGAAAAAATAAGCAGGATAGAAATCAAGACTAAAAATAAATATATTTCTCACAAATTTGACAAAATATTAAAAAAAAATTTCTCCAAAATTAATCTCTTTTTGGTATAGTTAGATAATTATAAATAAACTGCTTAGCCTATTATTTCCGGCTTAAAAGATTTTTAAAAAAGCCCCCAAAACAGCTGTTTTTTAGCCAAAGATAATCACTTCAGCCTCGGGGGTTTTTTTTTTGAAAGTATAGCTCAACTTGGAAGAAAGCAGAAATGCCTCAATGCTTAGCTACTTTTCTTCGATACGCGACTGTATATTAAGCCGAATTCAACGATTTTTTAACTATAAACCAATTATATGCTTTGATATTTAATTTAATTAAAGCTAACCCATTTTGGCTTGTATTGTGACGGGATGCTTCATCTCTAATGCTTCCGATATTCCGTATTTATTTTCGGCTTTTACCCTGAACTGGTAACTTTGATTTTCTTTTAAGTTTTTCACGAGGCATTCCGTAGATGGAACCATGTTATTGACCAATTCCCAGCTGGGCTTGCCTACCTCTTTCTTTTCCAAAATGTAATTCCTTCATATCATTTCGATTTTTAAAGTATAGATTAAGTAAATGTATATGTTACATTATAAATATACAATATATATTATATTAAAAAGTATTTTAAACGTGATTTTGCTTCCACCATCATCTTCCGGTTCTTTCCAAGTCAATGTTAGTGTATTGTCAATAGCTTCCTTTACCTCGAACGGCTCCCTGGGAGGTGATGGTTTACCTTTTTTTTAAAAATTCATGAAAATTCCATTTAATAGTTAGGGTAATTATAAATCGCCATTGGTTCTTTGTTAGCTACCACAGATCAGTCAAACATATTTTTATTTATTTTAGATTGAAAAAGGGATGATATGACTTCGGCTAGGTAATTAACAAAATCTAAATCGATTTGGAAACATAGTTTTCTTGAAAGATTTAACATCATTAACTTTAATATATATTCATAGTTGAGCAAATCCACGCAAATAAAAAAGAATCTAAATATTGTTAATGATTCAAAAAATTGCTAAATGATAGTTTCTTATATAAAGATACAAATATCGTATTAAAAATGTTAAGAAGAATACAAAATTGATCTTATAAATTTGCATGCAATGTGACCTTTTCTGGAATAAAGACTAACCCGGAGATCCCCCATCTAACGAAGGAGTTTTTAAAAATTTAACATCTCATTATTATCGAAAATATATTCCAAAATGTGTAGAATAGTATTCCTACCCTAACCCTATAGATTTAAATTGTTTCGCCATACGTTTCTGCAATATAAAATGAATTGAGAGATTTCTACTTCTGGCGGGAAAATTCAAGAGATATTTTTCCAAAGAAAAACTTACCACATAACACATATTGATATTAATAAATAATAATATAAAAACGGGAAATATTATCTAATAATTATTCGTACCAACAACTTTTAGCTTCATCGTGGTCCCATCCTCGCCAGCTATATTTGTTACAGTAAGAGAAATTTCGCCTTCGTCACCTCTTTTAACATCTTTCAACGTTAATTGAGTAAAATTTGGCTTCACCTCAACAATAAATCTTGAATCGAAATCGGCACTTATAATCTTTCCTTTAAAAAATGTTAATTGAAATTAATAAAATATTCAAAATTGGTCACCATCGGCTGAGATTTTTATAAAAATTATTTAAAATTATTGCTATTAAAAAAATATAAATTTATTTTTGTTTATTAAATATAAATTACATGGATATAAGTTTAATTATTTAGCCTATAAAAAAAAAGTTAGTTCTTATTATTATTTTATATTTTTTACCGTTCAGATTAAAATTAAATATAAAATTTAAAGATCTATATATATATATTTGAGTTAGTGTATGAATAAAAGTTAGTTGTTGTACAAATATTTTACACTATATGTCCTTAACTTTATTAAAAAAAGTTTCCTTATCCTAGATACAGACCGGCAACTCAAACAGCTTTCTCTGGCCATATCTGATCTCATTATTATATAGAATAGAAGAAAAAAAATTTAACCATGCGATTTCCATTGAACATCGGGTTGTGGTTCAGCCTTAAAGGGAACGGCAATTTTGAGCGTTTCTCCCACTTTCAGTGTTTGATCTTTAATTTTAGTCGTGTCTAAAAGCGGTTTAACTCCCTTGATTTCTTCTTCTTTAATTTATATCATAAAATTATATTAAATTAAATTATAAAATTTCTAATCACCTTACCCTCTTTCTAGTGTTGTTAAAAAATCCCCGTTAAGAATTTAAAATGATATTAAGCAGAGTTGTTAAAGGATCTAGATACAAGTATCTATATCCTGTATCTAGATATAAAAATGTGGTATCTGTATCTAGATAGATTTTTGAATAAAATATCTGTATCTAGATATTATTTTAGACGATGTATCTATATCTAACAACTCTGATATTAAGTAAGCATCGTTATTTGGCAAATAGATGTCCAACCAGCTATGAACAAGGCTTACATAACGTCATTTTGTTTATAATCTTAATTGGGCCGTTTTTTAAAATCTACCCGACCTCTTCCCTTAATCAAATAATAAGATATTGAAAATATATTAATTGGCTACCTGGCTTCTTAGCTTTTTCCGTCGGTTCTTCTATCTTTTCCGTTTTTTCGGTCGCGGCTTCAGGCTTTTTAGATGGTTCAATTTTAGCTATTTCTTCTTTTAGTCGGTATTTTTTTTTTGTTAGAGGAGATGAGGGGGGATTAAATTGGTTATTTTATGCTTATGATATTATCAAATAAAATAATATTGAATATCTTTCTCCGCCACCAATATATTGAATAAAGCATACAATCAGAGTTTTATAATTGAATCGATTTTTAAGAATATAAAGATACATTTCAAAATAATTGTCAAATTTATTATATTAGATATCACGCAGTCATTTAAAAAAACTCCCTCTAGTTTGTTGATTTAAAAATTCCCACTTCCAATTAACAGTGTATATTATCGAGATATAAAAAAAGATTTTATTGGCTACCTGCTTTTTTAACTTTTTCCGTTGGTTCCTCTAATTTTTCCGTTTTTTCGATGGCGGCTTCAGGTTTTTTCGATGGTTCAACTTCTTTAACTTTTTCTTCTTCAAATATTTTTGAAGGGGGGGGAGGGGGTAAATTATTTTATATATATACAATTAAATATTTTTTAAAAAAAATCTCTCTCCTTATTTTACCTTCTTTTTTTATCAATGTAATAGATAGGGGAAATGTGCGATGAATGGCCATGTTTTTGCTTTTTTGAAAAAAAAGTATTAAAATTTATGTTTAACCAAACAAATTTTATATCAATGTGAAGCCTAAATATTAATCTTTAAAATAAAATTTGAATCAAAGCTCTATGTATAACACTTTATGAGCTAAATGAGATTATGTAAAAGTTGTTTTTATGCAATATACTATGTGTTAACTGGCCATAATATATTATTTAAGAATTTTATTATAAATATGAAATAAAGACCTAATTTCTACATTTTTTAGTTATATAAAAAAATTAATTATACACTAATTTAATTAGTATTAAAATCTCAATTTATTACCACATCTATTTAATGATAAAATGATAATTAATAAGCTTGTTCATCATTTTATTTCACCAAATGTTGTTTTGGAAGAGCTTTTCATTTTAATAAGAATATGTGAATGTATGAATTGTGGCCAAACAATACATGGCCAGTCAATACTCACCTCTCTATTATTATTTAGCGCCTTATATGTCTATTAAATAAAGTTTTTAAAGTCTAATTTTTTTGTGTGAATAATGCTAAATGACTAAGGATAATATTTATATAAAATATCAGTAATTTAAATTAGTAATTTTTCACCAAACAAAAAAATGTGTAACATGATTTTTCCAGAAAGAGGTACTAAAAACAGTTTATTTGAAATATTTTTTTATTGAATTGCTCTATTCAATAAAACTTAGGTAATGTAGGGGAGACCGGGGTACATTGAGTACAGGGGAACGTTAGGACATTCTAATTATAATTTGAGCTATTATTTTATAAGACTGGAAATTTGAGCCTAACATAGATAATTTTGTCATACATGATTGGCTAAAAAAGATTTGAAAAATATATAGTATTTTAATTTTTACAGAAGAAAATGTGTTTTGGCATACCAAAAGTAATAAAAAATATTTGCAAACTTTATCATTTATATTTATAAATAAAGCTTCAAAAATCATAATAAATAGATTTTAGGAAAGCCTAAACCCTATTTTCCAATCTGGCAAACTTTCAGAATCAATAAACATGAATTAATATGATTTTGGATGATATTTATAAAGTTAGTTGGCTAGGTCATAGTTGGTCATAGTATAGTTGGGACACGCCATTTTAGCTCATTTTATAAACAATTTTATTATTTTATTATTAATTTAGTATTGTGAATAATGAATAATTAAATACTTATCTTTTGCTATGTTTATGATTAAAAAAAAAAATTTTTACATTTTTTTCTTTACAATTTTTTTTTCCCCAAAATAAATTTCCTAAATTTTGGTAAAATTTTTTTTATATAGTTATTGATTATGAATTACAATATTATCAATAAAATCATATGTGTCATAGTCTCTAGTCTTACTGGATTACTGATTTTAAATTTTTAAATTTATTTAGACCTCTATTTAACGAGTGTCCCAACTATCATATATGTGTGTCCCAACGTACACAGAGTCTGTCATAGTTGGGACAAAAAAATTTTTTTTTTAAATTCAATTATCTAAAAAAATATAATCTTCATAAAATATATATTAATTATTTCAAATAGCCTATACTTCTGGGATTCAGAAGATGTTTTAATTATTCAGATTAGTCTATTAATATTAAAATTATTAAGGTTTGAACGAAAAGTGTCCCAACCATCCCCGGTCTCCTCTACATATCATAAATATACACATTTTGAAGAATTTTGAGAGAAATTGGTCCAATAGATAAAAAGTTAAAAAGTGGTGGCCAGTCTTCACACATCTACTTATTGAGATTGACATCGTATATATTTCGTCATTTTTGGGTTTATTTTAAATTATAAACTATTCCTTCAAAAATGTTTAAGTTACTTTCTTAAATATTTGGCTTATAATTAATAAAAATTCTTAAAATACTTTTTTCGTCTTTAGGCTTGACAGCAGCAGCTTCTTCGACTTTTTCAACTTTTTCTCCTTTACCCTCGACTTCTTTCAATCTATCTTTTTCAGCTTCGACCAATTTTCCAGGCTTAATTTCTTCTTCCTTTTCTTCCTTCCCTTTTCCTTTTTCTGGTTGAGGTACCACCTTAGCTGCTTTTTCTTCCGGCTTCCCGATTGTTTTTTCCTCAGGTTCCAATTTAGTTTTACCCACTTCGGGTTTAAGAGCCTCTTCTGGTTTCTTTTCCAGTTTTTCCTTTTCTTCTTTCATCTTTCCCTGTTTTTCTGGCACAGCTTTAGCTGCTTCCTCTTCGGGCAATTTTTCAACTTTTTCTGGCTTTTCTCGTTCATCTTCCGTTTTCTCCAATTTGGGTATAATGGCTTCTTCCGGTTTCTTTTCCACCTTTTCCTTTTCTTCTTTCATCTTTCCAGGTTTTTCTGGCACAACTTTAGCTGCTTCTTCTTCCGGCAATTTTTCTACTTTTTCTGGTTCCAATTTTGCTTTTTCCACTTTCGGTTTAAGCTCCTCTTCACCCGGTTTCTTCTCAATCTTTTCTCTTTCTTCCTTGAGTCTATCCGGTTTTTCGATTATCGCTTTAGCTACCACCTCTTCCGGTATTTCTTCAGCCTTTTCCGGTTTTTCTGGTTCGACTTTTATTTTATCCACTTTCGGCTTTATTTCTTCCTCAGGCTTCTTCTTTTCCTCTTCACCTTTCACTTCACCCTTTTTCGCTGCTTTAGGTTTTTCCTCGATTATTTTCTTAGCTTGGTCTAGTTGATCAGCTTCAACTTCTTCCTCTTTGGGTCTTTTCAATTCTAACTCTCCTTTTTCTTTCTCCGCTTTTTCCTTCTTTTTCTCCTCCTTACCTTCCTTGGAGGGCCTTCTCTTATCCTTTTCCTCTTTAGCCTCTTTGAAAATTATGGCCGGTTGAGTGGAGTCGCTATGGTCCCCTACCCCTACTACATTATAGGCTCTTATCCTGAATAAATAGGGCGTGTCCATTTTAAGATCAGTTAAAAGTATCTGCAAAGTTTTGGCATCCCTTATATCTTTCAGCTTGTGCCAGTCTTTGTCAACCATATCCTTTTCCGCTATGTTTTCATCGATAGGTGTGCATACCTTTTTGAATTGAAATAAATTGATAAAATTATATTATAATTATATTTATAATATAACTAATCATTCTAATTTTAACAAATTATAACATCCATTCTAAAATACATATCGATACCTAGGAATATATGATAATGTTAATCAGAGACCTGGAGTGATGCCATTTGCACAGCCTGGTCCAGATTTTTTTAAAAATATTTTTCGGCTTTTAGGCCCCGACAATGGTACATTTAAAAAAAATTAAAATATAGCTGGTTTGTGTACCCGGGCCGGGCCTGATTTAGGGGCAGGACCAGCCGGCAGATCTATGACTTTAACAATGATTTCTATTTGTCTTTATATCTGAGATGGCCGTCTATATATTTTATATTTTATTTGTTCGCTTAAAAAACTTATCGGTAAATTTATTTATTTTTATTTTGCAACTAAACATCCATGTATTATTCTGTTTTAAATTGTGAAGATTATATACTATAAAAAAAACTCTACCAGTATATTTTATTTCCTAATGTATATCAACTTTGATTTATCTCCTCTAATACTCTTTAAATATGTCTTTTGACAACGTTTAAATTGTAAAAAGGGGAATTGATTCTTTTTGCAAGGATAGCCTGTTGTTATCAATAATGATTATTTTTATTTTGTATTCGATTTTTTTTTATATAAAAAATTATTATTTTGGATTTTGGATTTTTGAAAGAAAAAAATAAAGAAAATATTAGATACATTTTAGTTTTATACGTTAAGAAATATACTCGATTTAAACAAGAATTGTGATATATTTACACACTATATATTAAAGTTTATTGTGAATTCAAACGTTAAGAAAAATAAACCAAGATATAGTAAGGAGCAAATTGAATGAATATTAAAGAAAATTTTTATGGAGAATCTATATAAAATTAATATAAATTATTGTGATGGTAATTCAAATGTAGATAGCCAAATTGTCGGAAAAACACGGCATGATTAATTACACATTAATATTACATTTTCAGATTAAATAGAATTTTTCTAAATTTAAAAAATCGCCCTTAGTAAATGAACGAATTTCCATGAATTCTATATCCCAATGACATATAAATATATAATCAATTACTCTTACTTCTATGATGTAGCCGGTAATAGGTGAGTTTCCGTCGTCTTTCACTATTTTCCATTCTAATTTAGCACTATTTTTTCCCTCTTTAGTAGCTACAGGACGTAACGGTTTTCCGGGTTTAGATGTTTTCACTTAAAAAAAAAATATATGTTGAAATTTTTTTATGTAAAATAATAATATTTTATTTTAATTATAAAAATTAATTTCTATATTTAAATTAATTCGAGCCTGGCTGGAGAATTTTTTTTAAAAAAAAGTTTCTGGTTCAGGCCGGGCTTGAAAAATTTGGCCCGATGTGATGTGCTAAGAGTCAATTTATGATACATAATAATATGTTAGATACCCAAGATATCAAGCTTCGCTTCGATCAAGTCGGAAGGAGGACTAGCCTGGCTTGGTCCTACTTTATTCACCGCGTAAATCCTGTATTGGTAAGCCATGTTTTCAATGACTTCGTTGTCTGTGTACGTAAGCGTTGGGACTAAATCCTCGTTAATCTTAATTTTTTTTTTTGTAAAATTACGAATTAAATTTTTATTTAATTCATAAATTAATATTATAAAACTTAAATTATAATATTAAAAAGCAACCCGAACACGGGTTTAAGAATTTTAAATTCTATTAATATCTGGAACTTAATCGAAACCGATTTCTTAAGAGAGTCCGAACCCGCCCCGGTACATATTACCCCGGGTATAATGAGTTGGCTTTAAATAGGTCTTTGTTTGGTGTGTGGTTTCAAAATATCTAGCCAGACAGTTTTACACATCCATCATATAGGTGTCAAATTTAAAAAAAAAACCTTTTCCCAAACGAGTGATGATTTTTCTTTCCTTTCTATCAAATAACCATCCACAGTAATTCCGGGTTTTTGTTTGCCTTGTTCCCAAGCTATTTCTATGTAATAGGGGCTTGATGATGTCTTGTGCGGTTTTTCGGGAGCGGATGGGATATCTAAAATTATTTGAAAGTTTGAAAATTCATTTATAATTTGGTATGAATTTATGTTTTGAAAGAAAAATATGTGAAAATTATTATAACATATGGGCGTAATAAAACAACCAATATATCCTAAAGCTGTTATTACATGAAGTATACTCACTTAATTCAAAAACATGTAATGAATTATTAGTTATTGATTCTCTTTTATGCGTATAATAATCGAGAAAAATAAATTTTTATACGAATAAGATCGAATAAGAATAGCTTAATTCTAAAATATTAATATCTTTAATAAATATCATGATTACAGCAGGAGGGACGTTATACGGAGTGTATCTTAATTAACTCTAACTTCAAGGTAAATATTATTAGTTTTATTATGCCGAAAATATATAAAATCTAATTATAATTAATTAGCATTTAAATAAAGATTAAATTAGGAGTATATTGCAATTAATGTAAAATTAATCGAAGTTAATGAGAGATAGATGTAACGATTTAAATTAATTTAGATTAAAATTATGTAAGAATAATCATAGTAAGATAAAACTATTACAATTGAGAGTAAATTTAATTAATATAAAAATTGTAGTTGATTACAGAATCTGTTAAACCAACTTCATATTGGAGTATTATAAAAAAATACTAATAATCATCTTTTTTAAATTTAATAAACCTGAAGGTGTTTTCGATATGAACTTCCCTTCGAGTGTTAGCGGTACCTGACTCCTGCCGACAACATTTTCAGAGTAAACCCTGAATGAATATTCTTGGCCTGGCGTCAATTTAGTCACGTCGAAGTTTAGACTATCTCCAGCGTTCCCTATATGGATCCATTTCTTCTTGTCACTCTCGAACTTTTCGATGTAGTAATTTCTGAAATATATATTTTTTTGTTGAAATCTCTAATTAAAGCAACTACTTAAGGAGAACATTTTTAAAAAAAAAAATTTGCTTGTGATCATAGATGATCACCTTAGAAAATTGTTTGCTGATAAGATTCAGCAGATAAAAACTTTTATAATATAAATTTAATTTGAAAAATTATAAACTATTTAAAAATCAGATTGCAGATCTTATATTGCTTGATAAGATTCAGCAATATAGTTTTAATTTAGTTTCGAGTTAGTTTACAATTATCATTTATTATATTTATACTCTAAAATAAAAATTAATTTTTATAAGAGGTGAAATAAATTAAACAATTTTTGTTTCTTTTAAACAAGCTTGTTTTAGTATCAAACTATTCTTTCCATTATTTCTATATTTTTTTTATAGAAAGTTCAATATTTTAGAAACAGTTGTCACTATATTTTTTTTTGAAAGGAGAGTTTTAAATAAAAGTATATAAGATTTCTTAGAGAGAAAAAAAAATAATCTATTGTGACTTCGAATATCATAGGAGTGATATTTTAAAAAAAGTCATGCTTATTTAAAAAATTGTGATTTCAATTCACATTTAATAACTCTTGAAAAATGAAAAATAATAATATGGCTATTATAGTGTCGTTAAAAAACTGGGTTATGCCAAAATGAAATTCGCACTCGACTTTTAAAAGATCTATTCACTCCATTCCGAGCCACAAGAACCTATTCCCTAATTAATATCTAATTACAAAAATTTATAGCTTTAAAAAAAAAAGGAAAGTTAGCTTATGTTTTATAAATGCTATTTAACTTTACAAAAATGACACTATAGTTATACATTGAGACTCGTAAAGATTTTTTTTACTCTTAAGATATTAAGATGCAAATTTCCTAAGTTATTTTCCTATTTATCGCTAACATATAAAACGTAAATAATTTTTAAGTGGAAATTAAGCTTTAAATATTATGATGATTAATGGAAAAATTGAGTATTTATGAAAGTATAATGCGTAATACGGTTAAAGAAATTGTTTATAATTGAGGTTTGTAAGTTAAAAATTTTATATGAATAATTGAATGAAGAAGTTGAACAAAACAAAGATAATATGAAGAAGTATACTTAATAGTAGATCGGCCATCATATTCGGGATATTCCCATTTTAGTGTACAACTAATTCCATTGGCATTTGAAATTTGAAGTGGTCCCTTTGGCGGGCCTGGTAAATCTAATCATACGTATAGAATAATTATAAATTTATATATTTTTTTGATATTAATAAAAAGTTTAACATTAGGGAGAGGGAGAAAGATTTTAATGAATTTGGTTATTATAATAATTGGGATAGAAAAATGGGTGCTTAGAAGCCCACTATTGTAAATAATTTGTGTCATATTTTAGCATTTCTAATTTCCAGTAGGCCTAAAACAAATTATTTGTTATTTGATATTCGATTCGATTCGTATTTTACGAATACGAATAACACAATTATTCGATTCGAAATTTCGAATCGAATATGAATTATGAGGAAAATTATTCGTACTATTCGAAATTATTTATATATAAATATTCGTAATTAGTCGCAAATATTTTATTGCAAGTAAAATAAAAAGAAGTAATTAAATTTTCCTAGTGGATATCATTTCGTTTTATTTTATTTCCTATTATCAAATATCAAATCGTAAGTTATATTTGCTGAAAAAGTTTAATGGAAGAAAAGGAAAAGCTTCAAATTTTATTTTGATTGTTTCTCTTTAATCATTTTTGATGTTATGAACAAGTCAAAACATTTTTATAGAGTGTGCCTCTTTCCCATATTCTCGAGCTCCTGGCAGATAAATATTTAAAAATTTTTGACTAGTTCTTATTATTTGATTAGGAAAATCCTTTCCCATTTAGTAACCTTATTTTTGGCAAATTTTAAAGACAATCTAATTCAGATAGTGCATTATAATATCTTCATCCTCTATTACAATGTCATAATCACCTCTAAAAATTATATTAATAATTAAATAAAGGAAATTTATGCTACTAAAGTATTTTTATATATTAAATAAAATCTATAATGAAATACTTTTTAAAATTTTGTTATATTTTATATGCAAATATTTAAAATGTAGATATTTTAAATAGATTATAATTTTAAAAATTTTATTTTGTCATAATCACCTTCACCTCTAATAAAATGATATTAATAATAAAAATAAATACATGATTAAATAGAGGAAATTTATGCTACTAAAGTATTTTTAATAAATAAAATCTATAATGAAATACTTTCTAAAATTTTGTTATATTTTATATGCAAATATTTAAAATGTAGATATTTTATATAGATTATAATTTTAAAAATTTTATTTTGTCATAATCCCTTCACCTCTAATAAAATGATATTATTAATAAAAATCAATACATTATTAAATAAAGTAAATTTATGCTACTAAAGTATTTTTAATAAATAATATCTATAATGAAATATTTTGTAAAATTTTGTTATATTTTATATGTAAATATTTAAAATAAATTTTAAATTGTAGATATTTTATATAGATTATAATTTTAAAAATTTTATTTTGTCATAATCACCTTCACCTCTAATAAAATGATATTAATAATAAAAATAAATACATAAGGAAATTTATGCTACTAAAGTATTTTTATATAATAAATAAAATCAATAATGAAATACTCTCTAAAATGTGTTATATATTATGCAAATATTTAAAATAAATTTTAAAATGTAGATATTTTTTATAGATTATTTTAAAATTTTTATTATATAAAAACTATTTAAAAAATGTAAGTAAACAATTACATAAATATAAATTTAAAAAAATATATAAATAATACACTGTACTTTGATTAAAATAGTATTTCCATAAATTTTAAGAATTAATACAAAAATTATATAAATGTTATAACTAAAAATTTATTTTACAAAAATAAATATTATTTAAAACTAATATTATCATATTGCTATTTTTGATTTGAATTTATAAAGAAAGGTCTAATTTTCTCTAAGGTTTTGCTAATTCATAATAGGAATAAAAATAGTTAATTAAAATAATTTTATTTTTTAAAAAAAGACCCCACCCCCCCCCCCCCCCCATGCCTATGCCACTGTTTAATTAATTTACTGTTTTTTTCTTTCAGCTTCTAATGTGTCATTAATCTGGAATTTCAGGAAGGATGGTAAACTTGGATTTTATATGATATAATGTTAAAATATATTCAAAGATCAATTAGAAAATCTTGATGGAAGAAGATGTGGTGAAGAACATAGTCGATCCTTAAATAGTTCAAGATCTACATCAATCTCTGATCAAACTGAACCTTTTAATGCTAGGCGGAAAAATTCTTTAATATGGAATCATTATCTCCATGATGCTAAAAAAGAAACAGCTAAATGTAAAATATGCAATGTGGAGATAATGTGCAAGAAAAAAACTACGTCAGCACTAATTAAAACAAAAGATTTCATCAAAAACAAAATAATACTATTAGAAACTATTTAAATGATATACCCAAAACAAATGCTGATGATGTTAAGCATTATTTATTAAAAAATTTTCTAAAGTCAAATATACCTTTAAAATTCTCGCCACTCAGGAATTAAAGTCCTTTGTTAGAGCTTTAAATCCTGAAATAAAAATATGCTCAATACCGTCAATTAAACTACATATGAATGAAATTTTTAATAAAGAATTCAATAAAGTTTAAATAATTATAAATTATTTAAAATGCCAAATTAACTTTACAACTGATATATGGTCAAGACCTACTAATGTACCATTTTTAGGGTTGACCTGCCACTTTATTGATGAAAAATGGGAGATGAAATCATTGTTATTGGATATAGTTCCATTTACTGATTCGCATTCTGGTGAAAATATTTATAGAGAGTTTTCTAAAATTAGAAAAAATTATAATATCGACATAAGTAAGATAACAATTACTTGCGATAATGCTAGCTCTAATTCTACTTTCATAAAAATTCTTCGTATAAAAAACCCAAATTGTGAAATTTTACATGTGCGATGTTTTGCACATGTACTCAATTTAGTAGTACAGGAAATACTTAAGAAAGTAGACAGGCAAGCATCAAAATTAAGAACAATCATAAAGATTATTCGCAATTCTTTTACAAAGACAAATATTATGCAAAATGTGTGCTCCTCCCTACTTCCCCCTATGAAATATTTAAAATTAAAATTAGACACATCCTACAGATGGAATAGCTCTTATTTAATGGTCGAAAGAGCTATTAAAATGAGAAGGGCTATTGATGAAGTTGTGACTCAGATGTATGATGATATATCTGATATCGAAGAAAGAAAACTGAGCGAAGTAATATAATTTTATTTACTAATTATTATTTTTTATCAGGATGATTGGACTACTTTAATAAACATACAAAACAAATTAAAGACTTTTTTTGATTTTACCGAAGATATATGTGGTGACACATATCCTACCCTAAATCTTGTCATCCCTTTCTATGTTTCTTTAATCGAACATTTAAATTCATTTGATCTCGATTTTATAAACTCTATCAGTGCGATTGAGAAAATAGAAACTTATTATAACTTAACAAATATTCACACTATAATATCAACAATACTGGATCCTAGACTAAAAATGGAATTTTTTGAGCAACTACCAACTACATATAACATAGACACGACAAATCTATTAGAAAAATTTAAAGATGTATATAATGATTACAAAATAAAATATATCAAATCAACATCAGTTAACCCAAAATAGTACAGTCGAACATGGATAGAATTTTTAATCAAAATAACATCGCATCAGTACGTGAGGTGGAGACATATCTTAACGAAATAAGAGAGATTGCATGGGGATCGTTTTCCTGTGTTGTCGAAAATGGCAACTGATATATTGTCAATTCAGGGATCTTCGGCTTTATGTGAGCGGTTGTTCTCAATAGGAACAAATATGATAATGAAAAATAGAATGTCTTTGAAGAAGGAAACTATTAGAAAGACTTTATGCTTAAATTTATATTTTTGTGTATTATTTTCTATTTTTATAAAATGAGATTATTGTACATTTTTAGAAAATTTTAATAAAATTAGAATATTAGATTGAAGAAATAGTTTAAATATCTTTTTATAAGCAATTCTAATTCTAAAAATCGAATATTTTGGTCAATTTGTTTTGTTAACGTTATATGAAATCATTGGGTTTTATTTCGTTTATTTTCTATAAATTTTTATATTTTAATGACAATTAGTTTAGAGAATCCTTAAAAGTGTCATCTTTAAACATCTGTAAAAATTTTTTTGCAAAATATAAGCTTTAGAAAAATTTTCGAATCGAATATTCGACGAATCGAATCGAATATTCGACTAATCGAAACGAATAATGATTTTATTATTCGTACGAATACGAATAGCGCAATTATTCGATTCGTTTTTTTGTAGGCCTAATTTCCAGGCATCATTTTTTTTTCTTTCTTTTTTTTATTAATTTTAATTTCAAATATGCTAAAAAAAAAATTATAAAATAAAGCGCATTTCAATGACTGAACTATAAAATTAAGTAGGTTATTTATTTTTTTTTTAATATTTTATTGGAAAATAATAATTTGAGTTTCCGTATCGTAAGTGTGCAGTAAAAATTTTCAGTTATAAGCATATCTTTTTTTCTCCAGTATTTTAATACTTTACAATATTTTAATGGATTTTTCAGAAAATTTACTTCCCCCTCCCCCTTTTATTTTAGTCGTATTAGCAGATAGAACAAACTATTATTTAATAATTTATCAGTAAAGAATAAATTTATTCAGCCACACTAAACCTCTGTCCAGATCTAATATATTCATAAATACCCCACCACTAGCCCAAATCAACCCACCTACCATATTTTAAAGGTAATAAGTAATACATTTATTATAATTAATTAGATAAATTCTCCTTGTAGTTCAATTTTTATGTGCATTTAATAAATATTAGACACGACGGGTTTTTAAATAAAAAATTAACCATAACTAGTGTTGTTGAACGGTTTCGATTTGGTCCTATTTTTTAAAAAACGATCAACTTCAATATTTTAGACAGAAAAATATTGCTTAAAAGCCTCGAGATTTTCGTTAATAAATCGTCTAAACGTTTGTGCTATCTATGATCAAAGTCTTCAGGCTCGCTGGATAAAATATTGAGTTAGCCGTTTTGAAAAATGGGCTCAGATTGAGCCGTTTAAAAACACTTTACTAGCTCGTGCGTTAAATTCTGCAAAAGTTTTCAAGAAGAAGAACCGGGAGCCAGAGAAGTGCCGCATCTAAAAATTGATATTCTAATACACTATTATACTTTGATTAAATATTAATATTAAAATTGAAAAATGAAAAATGAAAAATGAAAAATGAAAAAGTAAACATATGTCCAAATTGAAGTGTTTTTTTTTAAAGTCAGTGTTTATTTTATATTAAGAATAAGAACATTAAATTAGCGGGGGTTTTTTTTTTAATTTAAAAATCTGATTTTATCAGAAATGTGCTTCAGCATGTTTAGAAATCAGGATTGAGAATCTGAACCTTCGAAATTTTGCTCAACCCAAAGTTTTTTTTATCTAAAATTCTTGTCATTTAAAAAATAGTTCAATAATTCAAGGCAAAATTCTCTAAAAATGGCGGAGTAGGTTTTCTACATATGCTAGTATATAGGTTTTCTAACATAACCAGAATATAAAAACGAACTCAAAAGATAATTTAAAGTAGAAAAAAATGACTGAAAAATACAACCTTTTCCATAAAAATATTAGTAATTTTTTATATTATATTTTTCTTATGACCTATGACAGATATTTTAGCGTGTTCTTCCACTTTTCCTATTTCGTTTTCGATTCTTATCTCGTAAGCTCCTTCATCTTCCATTTCGCTTTCCTTTATTAGCAACTCTGTTGTGTAAATGTCCTCTTGTGATGTAACGCTTTCCGTGATGGTTGTATGAGAATCGCTCTCAACCCTATCCCCGTCTTTGTACCATTCGACCGTGGCGTGGGGCTTCGATTCGAATGTCACGATGAGTTTGAGAGACTTCTTTTTATGGATCGTTTGATCTTTAAGATTATCGGCTGTAATCGTTGGTTTTTCTTGTATATTTTTGAGAGATAAAATTTTTATGTTAAATACGCAGTATTTAAAATTGAAATACGCAGTCGCAGTATTTGATCAAAATACGCATATCGAAATATGCAGTATTTAATTGAAATAAGCAATATTTAATCGAAATACGCAGTATTTAATGGAAATAAGTAATATTTAATTGAAAAACGTAGTGTTTAATTGAAATAAGCTATATTTAACTGAAATGCGCAGTCTCAGTATTTAATTGAAAAACGCAGTGTTTAATTGAAATAAGCTATATTTAACTGAAATGCGCAGTCTCAGTATTCAAGTGAAAAACGTAGTTGTACCAAATTTATAATTAAAATATTAGGAGTTTCACAATATTTACATTAAAATTTTTAAAAAAATCGTCCTATAAATTAATTTTTTTTTCAAACAAATTTCAGGAATGCAAAATCAAGCTTTCGAATAGAGATCCGAATAACCCGGCCCAACCCAAATTCCCGAACCCAAAATCCGACCCGGGTGCGAAATATTTTTTTTATTTCGGATCGAGTCGGGAAAATGTCTTTGTAGATCGGGATTGATCAGTAAAATACGGATATAATTTTATGTTCGATTTTAATCATTTTGTTAAGATATTTGGTTACTTAAAAGGAAGAAAATTTCGCGCAACATTTAAATAAAATTAGTCAAAAGAAAGAAAAATTCTTATTTTTAAAATGTTTGTGCGGGATTATTATCTCTGTACGGCCCCTAATTAATGGATAAAAAAAATCCGTTATAAAGTGGTTCTTTCTTCATAACCATGTTGTAAGGGGTGGTCATCCTAGAGATTAAAATAGATAGGTTATCAAGAAATTGCACTACCAAAACTTTTTCCCACATTTTTTAATATTGTTCTGGGAGTGAGGATTATAAAACATTTTTGCGAATCGCTATTGATTATATTATTAAAAGTTATACTAAATTTGTCGGAAATCGATATTTTGTCGGACGGTGGACTGGGGCGAGACGGACCACAGATATTGTAGGCTATAATCCTATATACGTATGAATCGGTTTGGGTGACCTGTTTATCTTCATAAGTGGTTTCCTGTTATATATTGATTAAATTAACATAATAAATATTTATAAGGAGCATATATATTGGTTGGACTTTTGTGTACTATGGCTTTTAATTAAAGCGATTTGAAAATCTCACAGAAATGGGAAAATTATTTGTACTTAGTGACTCATCAAACAGAGATTTTTGTATATATTCAAATCATTGAAATTATGTTACATTTGTATTGTTTATATGTAGTTAAAGTCAACCTTCTTACAATATTAGTGCTTGGTGATCAAAGATTCCATTTATAGATTAAAATCTTAACAATCAAATCTCTTACCTAATTCTGGACACAAAAAGAATATCCGTGTAACTTGTATTAAACTATCTATTCTACTATTCCATAGCAACACAAAATACTTTCTTTTACTAAAGTATTAAATAAATATGATGAATTTTATAATTTTGAAGTTTAAATTTGATGCTTAGATTAATAATAATTATTATTTTTTATACGTAAGAGCAATATTAGAAAAATAGCAAGAGTTGTTAAAACTACCAATTTTAACTTTTTTATGAATTAAAATAAAGAGTTCCCAGAAATTAAAAGAACTTGAACGAATTTTAGATATATAAATAACTAATTCTTTTGATGACTTTATAAAATAAGAGTAAAAAATGTGCTTATATTTGAAAAATTTGTGCAAAAATAATTATGCTCTTATTGTCAAGGAACATATTTAGATATATGTAATGGTTGTCATTGTCTATTAAGTACGACCTGGGAGGGGGTATATTCTATTTGCTTTTATATATATATTTTAGAACCCTGCAATCCTCGCATATCATTTTCCATTCCTGTTCCGATTGGGTGTACATCTTTCTCTCTATCTTGAAACCTATGACGGGAAAATCTTTATCAACTTTATCCGAGGGTTTCCATGTAATAACGATAGAAGTTGCCTTAACTTCTTTAACGCTCGGTTTTCCTGGCGGTTCTGGAAGTCCTGATTCAAAGTGAGAAAGGGAAAAAAAATAAGTTTTATGTTGAATTATACTTATTAATTTTGTATACTAACGTTAGATTGATATTTTTTTTAAAAATTGCGTCGAAATATTAAAGATTTAATTTATATTATGAAAAATATAATGTGGAGAAGAAAACCCACATATTTGGATATTATTATATAAGATGTAACCGTAACTAAACTATTGAAGTGCTCTGCAATCCCAGAATTATGCATTAAGATATTATATTCAATTTTCATAAAAAGTAAATTACTAAATAAATTACGCATAAATACTGGGGGTGGAGGGTGGGGTGAAAGTTAATAAAAAAAAGCCCTTCATATCTTTATTCTTTATATAATATATAAATGTGGTTGTTTTCATTTGATAATTAACGGGTTGTAAATTTATCCTAGAAATATATTAACTAATCAGTGCCCTTATTATCATATTAGTGACCTTTTTTTCTAGCTTTAAATAAGACACATAATTTAGAGAAATAAAATTTCGCTTAAAATGCTTTAATTTGTGACATTACTTTGTGTATCTAAGTAAGTCGTAGAAATGGCTATGCCGTAGTTATTGCTGACTTCGCAACTGTATTCCCCGCTATATTCTTTGGAAAGCTTTTTGATTTCGATCCAAACTTTGCCGGATGAAGCCTCGAAATGAATCTCGTAATCGGTTCTTTCCTCTGTAGACAGAACCTTTTCATCCCTTTTTGTGAGTTTTATAGTTTTGTAGTAAATTATTTTTATCGCTTGGGGAAATCAGTAAAAAAGAATTTAGAGTTCTAACTTTTTATATAGATAAAGAGTTCAAAATATAAATAAAACTTCATCCATTTTATCTTGAAAGGTTGAGTTCCGGTTACTTTGCCTTCAATGATTATCGTTTTTTCTTCGGACTTTAAAATCAAAAAAATATATTGTAAATAAAAAAAAAAATCTCATAATAGTATAATGGAAAGGTGGGACATTTGAATTTTTATAAATATTTTAAAAAAGTGGTGAAAATAAGTGTCTAAAACTATCACGTTAAGAGCAGCCCAGGCCCAGTCCGCGCAGTGGCGTATTTAAGGGCTTTTATGGGGGAACATTATGTGAAATATATTATTTAGTTTATTGAGAGAACACTGTGCTATTTTCTTTTTCTCTATGTCCCTTAAAAAATGAATTTGAACTTTAAAAAAAAACCTATAAATCGTATACTTCATTTACCTTGGAACTTAATTCTTCGACGAACACGGGTTTTTCGCCTTCTTCGCCTCTCTTCGCGGCGGCGCCGGCTTGCGTCAAATATTTTTGTTAAAAGATATAAATATATATACACATTAAAAAAATTTAAAAACTATATAGAGAGAGCGGTGATCTTAGAGAAGGGGGAAGGGATTTCGTTTGAGCCTGAAATGTTTAGTGACGGTTTGGCGGACATATGGTATTAAAGTTGTTTTCTAATTCTTCTGTTATTTACAAATTTTTTTAATATTTATATATCATTTCCATATTTCTGTTTAAAAAAATTGTCAAAAAGTTTTTTTTTATTTTTGTTAAATGAAGTTATATCAGGATTGATTAATGACAAAAAAATAAATTATTAGTTTAAAAAATAGGGAAGTGAGACCATTGTCATTTTAGATATATCTATATTAATATTAATATTAATTATCTAAAGTTTATTTTCTAAATAATTATGTGAAAGATAGGAGATAAGAATCCCTGTAAGCCAGACCCCGCAACTGGCCGCCTTTTTTTTTTAAACATATATATTATACATATCAAATCAATTGGAAATTTTTAGAATGCCGCTATAATTATTCAAAAAGAAAATTCTGGGTCGATCTGGGAGGTAAGTGAAAAAAAAACGGACGGCTTAGTATTAAATAAGCTGATGCGGACCAAAAATGTTCAAATATATGCAGGCCGGGGTGAAAATATAATTATTTAAAATCCGGTCCGGCTTCATAATTTAGACCTCTTGCATGTCTCTTAGAATAGAATAGAATAGAATAGAATAGAATAGAATAGAATAGAAGTTATTTTAGGTCCGAATTTATCACGTAGATGTACAAGGACCCATCCTAGGAGGTTTATATATATTTCTCAATTTACATGGATAATAAGCATCTTGGGAGCTTTCGCCGTATTTATTTTTAGCTGTGCAAGTATACAAGCCATGATCCTTTTCATCGGGATTCTATATAAAGTTGTTTTAAAACATAAATATTATTATAAAATTAAATAATAACTATTTTAAAGCTTGATTCTTATTATTTGATTTGTACGATTAAATTATTATAAAATTATATATTACGTATAAACTGGCAATAACTTTATTTATCATTATGATAACTTTGTAAATGTCATAGATTGATTCAAATCACGTTATGGATACTCATGAATCGAGTTATATTATTATATCTTCAAAAAAAATGAAATCTTCGCATTAAATAATTTTATTTTTTAATAACCTTAATTTTCAAAATGGTCTTGTAAACATTTTTCCGTTCCTTGATCTCAGTAAATTCAAACGAATATCTAGTGTTTCTTTGGTCTATCAAATTACTACCGAAGTCCCAAACAACCTTCGGTTCAGGAAGAGCTTCGATTTCGTTTTCCAGGATTAACTCTACCAATTTCTTCTTCCCTTTAGCGTCTACCTTGCTTTCAAAAACTTCGACTATTTCTGTGGGCTTGAGGAATTTGGGCATAAAGCCTTCTGTCATCAACTTTTTTGGACCTTTACGAGAACAATAATAACGAAATTTTTTTAACGAAAATGTCATTTCAGAAAAACTTTACCATTATTTTGTAAATTGGAATATATAAATAATATTAGAAAACTGGAATTAAGTTCCCGAGATTCGATATATTATTGTCATATACACCTAATGATAAATCTGGCAAATCATTTATAGATAGGTTATTATTGAATATAATTATTTTAAAAAAGGTACCTATCAAATTCAATCGTATATTGGCAGCGCTCTCTCCGTATGGGTTTATGGCTAAGCAACGATAATTCACAAAGTCGGCTAGAGTCGGATTCTGGTAACGATTTTATTTTATTTTATTAAAATTATTTTTTTTTAATTTTAATTTGTTTTCTTTCATTTTTCATTTTCTTATCTTAGTTTGTTTTATCTAACGTTTCTTTTCTCCATTTAACTTATCCATTTAAAATATAAAACCTGAATCACCAAGACGACTTTGTAGAAATTTTTCATGACAAACGCGACAGTGGAATCGTATCTTTTACTTGTTATTTTATCGTTTTCGCAATACCAAGTAATGTCGGCTACCGGATTGGCTTCTACCAAGCATTCTATTATGAGCTTCAAATTGCTTTCGAGCTTCACTATCGGCTTATTATGAAACCTGGGAGGAATCCCGTGGTAAATCCTATATAATTAATTTACAAATTTTACCCATAATAGTAATTGAAAAGTGTCTATTTACAGTTACGAGTTACATTCCTTAAAAAGGGTAATTAACATTACTAATTTTATTACGATAAAATAGATTATATTTTACTTTGGTGGTTTTTCGTCCGTTAGTTCTGAGCGCGTTTTTTTTTGTTTAAAAAAATATATTTGGATTTGAAAATATTGAATTAATATATTTCAATTTTTTATATTCCTTAAAGATCTGCAAAACTCGACCTAACCACAAAAAATACACCCTCGGCAAATTACAATTACTTTTTTTATTTTTCGGGATAATTCGGGGTCTAAAAAATAAAATTTAGATTTGGGAGGTGGGGGGGGGGGGAGGGTAGAAATTTTATGTGTGGATTAGGTTGTGTAATGTCGTTATGACTTACATGGAGGGAAGACAAAATAATTATAAATCAGCATAAAAAAATAAATAATCTGTTCTATTCATCTCCTTCTATTTTAAACGTTATCGTGGTTCCCTTTCTTTCCTGCTTTTGACTGATGGATTCCCCCTATCCCGGATCTAAGTCACCGAAATTTATCCAATATCAGGTAGAATGAGATCTGCTATTCCATTTTTAGAGCCATTTGCATCATCAAACTATCGCAAAATGGTTCTGGTAATTTAAACTTTTCAACCGCGAGTGGCAAGGCTTTCACTACCTTCACCGGGTGATTTACCCCTAGATCTGCCATCTGCGCCTCTATTAATACCGCTTGGTTGCTCTCAACTCTATCGCTTACCCTTCACTCGGTACCAATCTCCCTACCTTCTCTGGGTTCCCCGTAATCAAAATAGCTCGATGTGGTCCACCACACCCAAGCCCTTTCCTATTCTGGGTTAACGGTGTCCTTCGCCACCTATCCCCTGCCGCAAAGAGAGGGAGATGTCACGTCAGTCATTCTGACTGATGTCTGGAAAATTTACCATGATGACACAGGAAAAATAAAGGAAAAGAAACGAACATTGATTGTTATTATATTTATACTGATTAATAACTATTTCTCAGTAGCTTAAAAAAATAGATATTATAAAGCATTAATTCTCTGAATAGTAGAAATAGATTAATATATTCCTAAGACCTTTCTCCGACCTAGGTTAAGGGATGGAATTTTTAAGAAAATACGGGTAGTGGTCGGAGAAAATTATCATCTTCCTACAGAATTGGATCACAAAAAGTGGTCAACTGTGAGATGCCTTTCCTTTCCCTTTTGCTTCTTCAAATTAATTCAAAAAAACTTATGTGATATCTTCTATAAAGGGATTTTCATTTCATTTCTTATTTTTCCTTTTTCCTATTCTATAATTTGACTGTATTAACAAGTTAGAGAAATTATATATTTTTTCGAACCAAAAGCAAGTTTATATTTCTCCTCAGTTGTTCCAGCCTTATTCCCGGCTACGATCCTGTACTGATTGGCGTCGTCGAGATTGACATCGTCAACTTGCAAACTCAGAATGTAATCCTTCCCGTCTATTATCTGCTTAATTTTGAATTTATCGTCATTTTGGATCTTTTTGTCACCGAAATACCTGAATATTTATTTTTTTTAATTAAGATTTTTTTTAAATGCAAAATCTCCATTTGAGCCGATTTTTCAAAACTGCGTAACTCAAATATTTTTGGCAGAAAAATACTGTCTTGGTCTCGAGATTTCTCTAATCTCTAATAGGTGCTCAAACCCTTTAGCCCATCTATCATCAAATTTTAAGGCTAGCGTAATATTATTAAAATAAATACTAAGTTAGCCATTTTAAAAAAATGGGCTCGAATGGAACGATTCAACACTATCTATAAGCATGGTAATTATTTTAAAACCAAAAATTAACAAATGTTATTTACATGTTACCGACAATGTGTTTTTTCAGGCAATGTGTTTATTTTCTCAAATTTTAAATCTTTTTTTTGAATGCGTTTTTTTTTATATTTAAGAATTTGATTTTACTGTATTCCATCATGGTTGAAATACCTACCCTGCATATTTCAGATTTTTGAGCTTAATATAATTTATGTATTTGTTTTTTTTTCCATAGATTTTTCATATAAAATAATAAATGGTTCAAAAATTAACGTCAAAATTATCTACAATTCTTAAGATAGGTATTCTAAACATGTAGAAATACATTTTCGATAAGATTATGTTCAAAAAATGATTTGAAGTTGAAAAAATAACTCAATGCCAAAAAAATCCATTGCTATTAACATATATATTTTTTTCTATTCTTATTTTCTTCTTTATTTCCTTTATATTTATTTTTTTTTAAATCACCTTTCTTTCTTTCGTACTTTTTAACTTATAGATTTATTTGATTCAAATAGTTACATGAATGATAACACCGCGCGCGTATACATATTGTTATTATATATGATGTATAACTTAGGGATTTAGCAAATACAAGGGCTATGCTTGACCCAGGGTTTTTTTAAAACCTTAAATTCTTCTTACTTTTGAAAAACCTACTTCTTCCGGCATCATATTCGAGAGCATATATAGAGTTCTTACATTTCAGACAAATTCGCCATGAATCTCTGTTATATGAAAAATTAAGGGTACTTCAAAAGTTCAGCGTAAAATTGCCTGATATTCATATGGGTAGGTTGCTTCTAGATTTCTGTATAATCAGGTCTTTGAAAATTTTTTAGAAAAAACGTGGGTCATAAGTTTCAAAGATTCGCTAAACACAAATTGGCTAAACTTCTAAGATATATATATATATATATATATATAAATGTCTGTTATATAAATCAAAATATTCATATATGGTATAAATATTAACGAACCATTGAATATCAGGGGCAGGAAAGGCGGAGAGTTTGCACTCGAAATATACAACGCTTCCATCTTCCGACTGCCTGACGTGCAATCTTTCGGTAAAAGTAGGTACTATATCATCTGACGTCGGTATGTATCTTTCTATAAAAAATATAGTATTCTATATGTAAATGAATACTCCTATATATATTCTAATTTACTAGTATAAATTCAAATATTTATTTTATTAAATGATTTATTTTCTTTTATATTGTGCTCAAAAAACATTTTGAGGTTCAACCTCATTTATATCGAACATTCTTATAAATTATATCACTGTTCAAAGAAACTGCATCTTTTTTTCTTTCTTTCTTTCTTTCTTTCTTTCTACAATTACTAATTTTATTTAAAATGGATGCACACAGCTAATAATACGCATTCTTATTCCTTATTTTATTTCGAGTTCTTCATTACCATCAAATGTGATAGCCACGATTGAATTGCATTCACCATTAGCATTTCGCGCGTTAATTTGGTAGGTCCCGGCGTTTTCTACGTTCAAATCGTTGATTGTCAGCACAGACCTGTACGTATTGTTTTCTAGCCTTGATAACGTTATGTTGTATTGTCCTTGATTCTATATATTTTTTTTTAAATATTTGGTGAAGAGATTATTAAGTAGAGAACTAATGAGACTTAAAATCAGTCATTGGTGGTGAGAAGGGTATAGGAATGAAGCATATTGTATATGTTCCAGGAGAATGCGATTAGATGAAAGAATATTTAATTAGTATACCTCAAAATAATCAAATCTTTATTTTTTTAAATTCATTAGTATAGGATGTAATAAGATTTTTTTTAAATAAATCAGCTGTCGATTCTATTTATAGATATATGTATATGTCGTATTGGGATTTGGAATCTAATTTCCATTTTAAATCATTTATCGAGGGCGATTTTAAAAAATTAATTAAACCGGAAATGCATTTCAACATATGCAGATTATCCATCCTATGAATTTTAAATATTTTTCGCCACATGTTTTTCTTATATTTTCTTATACATGAAAAATTATATATGTAAATTCAGTATAAAATAAATTGAACAGTGTATGTATTCTATATATGCTCAAAATACATTTCCGGTCAAATCAGATTTTAAAATTTAAAAATGGCTTTCAGTGGATGATTTAAAATCAAGAAATTTAGAATCCCCAATGGATTCAATGTATTTTTTTTATATAAACATATGTTTGTTGTATATCGGACACCATTTTGTTTATTTTTTTTTGTATTTATGATTACGGAAAATTATAATAATAATGATTTTTTTTGTTATTATTTTTTAGACTATGTCAAAACATCGAAAAATCTGATTCGATAACTGAAAACTTTCAAAATTAGTGTGCGGATGAATCCATTAATTAAAATTATACATATAAATACAATGCAATTTGGGCAATATTATGTTTAAAAAATTATAACAGAAAATATATTTTACGATGTATAAGATATAATATATATATATGTAGCGGCTGTTTTCTCTGGGAATGTCTTATTTTTCCAAATTCAAATCATTTTATGAGCGCGTTTTTTTTTAAATTTAAATTTATCGGAAACGTATTCCATCATGTTTGGATGTTTGGAATGCCAATTCTATGAATTTCACCATGAACTTTTGAACTTAATATGATTTTATATTTAGTTTTCCAGTATATTTTTCATATATAAATTATAAATGATTCAAAATTTAAGGGTAAAATTATCAACAATTCATAAGATAGGTATTCTATTCTAAACATGCTGGAATACATTTCTGGTAAAATCAGATTTTAAATTATAACGTTGCCGCTTAACATTATATATATAATATCTCGTGAAATTTAATATAAAGAATCCCAACATAACCAAATAAAATAAAATATAAATTTTTTAAAAAGAATATTTTATAATGATATAATTCGTTGGTTCAAAATACGCTGGTTTTAGAAAATAGCAATACATTAGCTTTATTAGATATGACTCAAATAATATCTAATATAAATATTGTTCATAAATCTTTCTCTTATTATATAATTAAAATAAAAGTGTTTAAACTTATGAAAGTTAAATTATATATTTAATATATTTTAAAATTAAACAAATAATATATTACGATCTTTGCTTAAATTTCGAAATTTGAACGATTTTCCCTTATATAATTTTTTGTCAAATTATTTTATTTTTTGTGTATGGATGAGCACACTACTTTAAATCTATATTAAAACAAAATTTAAATATTCTGGTATATTTCAATTCAAAGTTGGGATCAAATGATTTGTCATCATCCCTATACTCTATACAATATTTTACTGGAGTAAAATCAGGTCTTTCGTCTTTTAAATTTTCTAAAACGACATATACATTCATCCACTACACCTTTCACCACAAACACTCTGACCACCACCCTTCTCCAAATCTTTTTCAATAGACACTTCTCTCCTCCGCTCAAAATGCACCCGGTCTTCCAGATACAAACTTCGATGCAGCCTTCTTTCAACCTAATGTCCAACTCATAATCCTTAATTTAAATATTATATTATAATGATTCCTGCAATTGGAAATAAATGTTCACATCACATGGAACCTTGGTACTCTCTTATCTACTAAAAGACAAAACTCATTAATTTAATTTTAAAAAAAATTGTTTGATATCCTATCTTAGAGATAGGAATAAGAACATTAAATTGATTTTTTTTTCAGGTTAAAGTATATTTAATAAACTTTGATTTCCTTGTCGTTGAAGAACCAAACAATGGAAGGTTCTGGATCGCAACCAATGATCGACTCTATAACCATTTGGTGATCGGTCTGTTTGGCTGTAGTTTTCTTCTTGAAGAAAGGTGATACCGTCTTGCTTTCACTTCAGAAAAAAAAATTTAATTAATTTTTATCAATTGGTAGCTAAATAATACAACTATGATATCTTACTGAGGAGGGAGTGACATGATTGGAGCAAATATTTGGGCCTTTTAAACTTAAAATATTTCATCTTTTAAATTATCAAGAAAAAAAATGTTTTGTTTTTAATGATATTTTATAAAAAAAACGTAGCCAGAATTTTCTAAAGAGGGGTGAGGAGCATTTGGGTGGCTTTTATACCATATCATATATCTCTTCCTGTTTAACTTTAGGCCAGTTTAATGTAGACCTTTAGCTAGGTTAAGACACAAGTTACGTGGTTAACGCAGTTAACTGTACCTAAACTGATATTTATGAAAACTGGTAAATGCGTAGATTGGCTACATTTATGCTCAAGTGTTCATACTTGCTTCATATCATCTTAAATGGTAATAATAAGAGCTGGGTTTATATATATACATATACATACATATAAGGTCAAAGTTAATTTAATAAATAATTAAAATATCAAATTATATTATTAGGTCAATGAATTATTATCATTTAATAAGCATTTTACTTGGAATCATCTTGATCGATATCTATAAAATATAAAATATATAAATTCAAATATGAGCATCCCATCCAATTTTTAATTATGCTAAAGATATGAATCATAACTTAAAAGTTATAATACAATTTTTGTTGATTCAAGCTTTCATGCTTAATTTATTATGAAATAAATAAATATAGTATATATAAATCTTTCATTTACAACTTGGAAAAAAAAATGGCCTTAATTACCTTTTAAAATCACAAGTGAAATATTTTTTAAGCTTACTAATATGCCACTTGTAAACATTTTTTTCAAAAAGTTTTTAAATTACAATGTTCATGTTCTGATTCGTCATATTTTAGTAATTCTGTTTAGTCTAGGCTAAACGAATATTGAACTAGAAACATCCTATTTTAGTTTGTTTTAAGTGTACGTAATAAATATTTTGGGATTGCAAAGAGTCACAAATATCGTAAATATAGCCTTTTTCTTTTTAAAACGTTTAGGGGAAGCTAGATAAAATAAGACAAACCATGGACATGGCGTATGGAATTTTTTGTCTATAACAATATTTATTAATCATAAAAATTTGAGGTTTTCGTTTTTATATTTAACTCAATTCCAATAAATTCGAATTTGCCACCTTGTGTTATTTAAAAAGGGTATCCCGTCTTTACAGAAAATCTTTTATAGAGAATGCATATATAGAGAAACTTTTATAGAGAAAACAATTGTAGAGAATGTCGTTTATAAAGAATCTCGTTTATAGAGAATGATTTTATAGAGAATTTATTTTATAGAGAAACTTTTAAAGAGAAAACAATTATATTTGAATCTCGTTTATAGAGAATCTGGTTTATAAAGAATGATTTTATAGAGAATATTATCCAGAGAATTGTTTTACAGAGAATTATTTTATAGAGAATATTTTACAGAGAATTGTTTTAGAGTTTTATAGAGAAGGATTTTATAAAGAATAATTTTATATTGAAGAATTTTATAGAGAATGATTTTATAGAAAATGAATTTAGTATTATTTTACGATATCGCAACTGATGTAATTCATTTAAGATAATGCATTCGCGATAATACATTCGCGATAATGCATTCGCTATAATATTTTCGCTGTATTATACTCGTATAATGCATTCGCGGTAATGCGTTCGCTATAATACATTCGCGATAATGCATTCGCGGTAATTCGCTATAATATCTTATGATCGATTTTGGTTTTTTAGGTAGGACAAAATTATGGTGCTTAAATCAAAAATATTGGCTTCTCTATAAATAAGTGGAACCCCAAATAGAGATCGGCACTTTTTGACACTCAATATATTAAAGCCATCGCATGCATCTAAATGTGTATCATTAGAGATTAATGAATTCTTAGTTATCTATATTAAAAAGATTTATGAATAAAATTTGTATAATAAAATAGGAAGAAAATTTTATTTAGAAACGTGTTCCGAAACGCAGAACGAACGGGAATGTGACATATTTTTTACCCAAACAACTGGTTAAAACCTTTTCTTAACTAAAATTAGAATCAAGATTCTCGTCCGTCATATAATATCCATAAGGGTAAAGTTAAGAACCCTTCTATAGGCTAATTGAGGTAGCTGACATATAAATGCAATATATAAAAATTTTAAAAATGGTTGATTCAGTTTAGATTCTCTTTAATAACGGTTAATACATATTTAACAAATCGTTTTAGGGTTGGTTTAGCTGAGTTAATAATCAAGCTAAACCTTGATATGAACTAAAAAGATTTTACAAAAAAACGATTGTTGAAACAAATAAAGTCATCGAAAAAAATACAACAAATAAACTGAATTGTATTATTAATAAAATGTTAATTTTGATATATTTTTCAAATCCCGCATAAATTTTTGAACTCTATAATTGTCCCATATAATATTTCTCTATAAAATCAAGATCTAGAAAATAATTCTCTATAAAATAATTCTCTACAATGTAATTCTCTACAAAATAAATCTCTACAATGTAATTCTCTACAAAATAATTCTCTACAATGTAATTCTCTACAAAATAATTCTCTACAAAATAATTCTCTATAAAAGTAATTCTGTTTAAAATCATTCTCTATAAACAACATTCTCTATAAAATCATTCTCTCTCTCTATAAAATAATTCTCTTTAAAATCATTCTCTATACGACATTCTCTATAAAACCATTCTCTATAAACGGCATTCTCTATAAAATCATTCTCTATAAACTAAATTCTCTATAAAACAATTCTCTATAAATGCATTCTCTCTAATTGTTTTCTCTATAAATGTTTCTCTAATACATTCTCTATAATGGTTTCTCTATAAAGACGTGGAATAAAAAGATATCAAAATACCTATTGTCGTAAGGGACGTTCGTATGGATTAAAGCTGTCATTGTCAATCAATTAATTCATCTATCATCCGCCAAATAACTTAAGTTTATATTTTTCGCATAGTTTATGACATTCGCTTTTATATATATATATATCTTATCATTATGACATATATATCTTATCATTATGACACCTATAATTGATCTGTTTATGGATTGACGAGTCCTTAATGTCCCAAAGATATATAATGGAATAATTTTCACACCACGATATATGTTAGAATCGTTTATTTATATACATATATAACAATAATCATTGCAATTAAAATCCAATATAATAAGGAGGTAGAAATATTGTACAAGTCAAAATGATGAGAAATATAACCAGTGGCGTCTCTAGCCTTTACCATCTGGAAAATTTTATTTTTAGAAATTACCATTTTAGGGAAATATTTTCAAAATGACACTTTTTAGGTATTTTCTAAAGAAAACTGAGCTCCAGCGACACCCCCCCCCCTCCTTCCTTTCAATAACTTTACTGTATATAACAACGAATATCGTAACTATGGGAAAAATTATATAATCATGATTGACAATGACAATTTTTATCCATATGTGAAAACGACAATCCCGACCATTCAAATCCTCTGTTAAGGTGGGAGACGATGCCCTGACTGATATATGTAAGGTTCCAACAAACATCTATTACTCATACTTAACAATAACTCGCTTATAGCCCTTATAACCGACTATTTAATTTAAAAAAATAAGAATAAATTTGATCAGGGTATATCTAAACTTTATGGCGGGAATTTAACATTTTCTAATTTTTTTTCCTATTTTAATATTCATTAAAAAAAAACATTTGTTGCGAAATGCAGCACGTTTTTTTAAATATTTAAAAATAAAATTTAAAAATTATTTTTTCGAATCGAATTATTTTTATAAAATAGTAAAATGAGTAATTCATTCATTCATTCATTCATTCATTCATTCATTCATTCATTCAATTTATATATTTGATTTAAAAAGATTATATAGGTAAGTGCCCCACCACTCCGATTGGTTGAATAAAAATTATCAATTATTTTTGATAAATTGTGATAAAATTACGATGACTTTTAAATCTTTCAAAAATCATATTGAGTTCATTTTTTCAAAAAATTACACTTTTATGGCTCAAAATGTATTTTAAACTGATATAAAACTGAGGTAAATCTGACCCATTCGACATCTAAAATGAAATGATAACATGAAAAGAAGTCTAGTTTATAGAAACATGGCTCTTCCCCAAAATGTGTCATTTTCTCAACTTTAAATCATTTTTGAGCACTATTTTTTTTGAAATTTAAAAATCTGATTATACCGGAAATGTATTCCATTCCATTATGTTTGGAATATCTATCTCATGAATTACGGACAATTTAGCCGTTAACCATTGAGTCATATATAATTATATAAAAGAATCCATGGATAAATTAATATATAAATATGAATTATATTAAGTTAGAAGGTTCATGGCGAAATTGTCTGAAATTCGTAGGTTAGTTCAAACCTGATGGAATATATTTCTGGTAAAATTAGATTTTTTTTTATTTTAAAAAAAAAATGCTCAAAAAAATGATTTAAAGTTGAAAAATTAATATACAATACCGAATTTGATGATGATTCAGATTATATATATAATATAGGGTGAATTCCATATCAAATCCAACCAAGGTTTCAATCCAACCACCTTACAATTTTTTAAAATTTTGCATACTGATAGTATATACTATAACTTATAGAAAAAAAAGAAATTTTACTTCTCACACTGCCTACCAGCCAAGATATGAGAGTTTAAAATGGGGGAAAAAATGGTATATTTTTGACAAAATGCATTTCATATTTTTAAATATCTCGATAAATAATTGTGTTTGAGCATTAATTTAAATTTAATTGTATACCTTAATAATAGTTCTTTTAATATGACATATAAAAATATATGATAAAAATCTGATTAAGAACGAATGTATAAAATCGGAATCCTTAGAAAAAAAAGGATATTTTTTTTCGATAGATAGATATCACCAGGGTTGCCATGTCTCCCCCCATCAGTGGGAGTCTCCCACAATTTTTTAGTTTACCCACATACATCTCACTCCCACAAAACTCCCACAATTAGAAATCTCCCACAAAAAGCTCCCACAATTTTTTAATTTCTCCCACAATTTTTTTTTTTAGCATTTTAATGTTTTTAATATATAAACAATAATTTTGAGAGACAGTATTTGATTATTTTTATATTTTTAAAATAAATTTTAAATATTTATTCGAAAAAATGTCTAGTTCTTTTATTTTATTTTTCCGCTCTAAATATTTTTTATAAAATTCTCCAATTCTCCACTCGACATTTTCAAAATTTTTGTGTTAGAAAGAATAGAAGTTAGAACAGTATGTATAATTATTATAAATATATTTTAAATTACTTAATATATTTTATATCGTTATCTAGAATTGCAGTGCTCCACTCGACATTTTCAAAATTTTTGTGTTAGAAGAATAGAACTTTTAGAAGTGGGTATTATTCTAATCAAATCAAAGTGTATTTACCGAATTGAGGCAGCACAATAATCAATTAATACCAATTGGCTGTATATACCATATACTGCATAATTCTTGCAAGAAGGCAATGAATGTACTATCTGTAGATGTCGAAGTAATTGTGATGAAATGTTTTAACGAATTTAGTTCATCAATTAAAAGAGTCACTGAATTAAAAGAATTGGTGGAGTGGTCTGATTTGGAATGGTGTGAGTTGTTGCGATATGTACCTATCAGGTGGTTATCATTAATACCTGCCATCGAGAGAATTTTAAAATTTTACGAACCCTTAAAGAAATACTTCTTAAATAAAGATTTTAAAAGCTGTCCTAAAATTTTGAAAAATTTTTTCGAGGATGAAATGTCAGAAGCATATTTGGGATTAGTTTCACATGTAGGAAATCTACTTCATGTAGTTAATATTCAGTTGCAATCAGAAGATTCTTTAGTGATAAAGATTCACAAAATCATGCTACAGCTCTGTTCATCTCTACAGTTAAAAATAGATAATAAATTTTATGGCGCTATTGCTAAAAATATCATATTAAAATGTTCAAATATTACTATAATTAACGTATTTTTAAATGAAGCAAATATTTTTATTAAGACAATTTTGGAATATTAACAATCAAGATTTGATTTTAATAACTCTATTTACAAGTGTATAAATATTATGACCTTGGAACAGAAACCATCATTTGATGGTTTTTGTAATTTAATAAATATATTAAAATTACCGATAGACATTGAAGCCATGTTTGAAGAGATTGTAATTTTTTCCATTTTTTATGATTCGCCAGAATACTTAAAGTTAGATGGTCTAAAAGCAGAGGAGAAATGAATGGAATTTTTTCGTAATAACGATAAATCCCCATGCTTGGAAAAAATTTGCGAGTATGTTTTCTCCTTACCTCATTCTAATGCCTCATCGGAGTGCATTTTTAGCCTGATGAGGACTGCCTGGAGAAAGGAAAGAAATCGAATTGCTTTAACAACATTAGAGGCTGAGTTAATGGTTAAACAAAATTATAAAATGTCATGCCAGGAATTTTATAAATATCTTAATAACGACGGTAAAGTTTAGTTCCATTATTTAAATCTAAAATAAAATATAATTAACTATAACTATTTGACTTTCTATATTTTATAAAATTTTATTTATACATTTGCATAAAATCAAATAAATATATTTTTTACATTGTAAAATTAATATTTTGAATATTTTGGCAAATCATAAAATAAAAGAAGCATTACAATCTCCTTAAACATGACATCATATTAAATCTTATTAATAATTATCCGATAATAGTAATAATATTCTTACTTTGGTATTTCTGCAGCATAATTTAGTGAACCTTTATTAAATTATATTCTTCTGATTGCAACTGCATATTAACAGCATATAGTAGATTTCCTATATGTAAAATTCCTAAATATACTTCTGCCATTTATTTTTGAAAATTTTTTTCAAAATATTAGGACAGCTTTTATAATCTATTTATTTTTTTAAGGTTTGTAAAATTTTAAAATTCTACGATGGCGCGTATTAGGAGGAACCTGTCAACCAACATTATGCTGACTCAATTCTGTAAATACACTCTGGTTTTTGCCAAATTCACTGAGGAATTATCAGATCAGAAAGCTGCCATGCAATTCATTGGTAATGCCAAATCTGCCATATTTACCATTATATATGGTTAGCTATGTCTTTGGATATTTCATATCTGGAGAAAAATTTTATAGTTTTATTGAAATGACATTAATTTTGTTGAAATAAGGGAGGATCAAGGGAAATGTTTTGATATCTCCTTATTAGATGCATCTGTTAGAATTGCATATGTTTGCACATCTTTCAAATCGTCAAGAATTGACCTTCTGGATTTATATCCTAAAACATTGATGATAGCCTTGCTCATTTGTGTTCTACAAAGTATACTTTTCATTTATATTAGTCGTTAAATATTATGGGGAAAGATTCTACCAACATTGTGATGTTAAGTAGCTCTCTGAATGTTGTACTGCATGATAGGTATTTACTATTTCCGCAACTGTAGTTGCATCTGTATTATTTCTTATTTTTGAAGAATATTTTTGTTTTGCAATAGATGTTGATAGACTGCCCTGTACTGATTTATGCTTTGAAGATTTTTGATGCCTCAAAATATCATATTCCCTTCCCCTTTTGTATTAACTAAATACTGTAGAACAACTTCCCCGCACTGATTATAATTATTTTTTACATTGTAAATTTAAAATTGTTTGTTTTTTATAAAATCTTATTTATACATTAGCATAAAATATATTTTTTTACATTGTAAAATTACAATTATTTTATAAAATTTTATTTAAAAAAGATCGTTGGTTATTATTTTTAAACAAAATTAATATATTATAATAAATCAATATGTTATTTTAATAATAAAGATAGTATTTAAGAAATTTTGTGTCGTACTATAATTACCTATTTTGAAAAATAGTTGCGTATTTTATTTTGGAAAATAGTTACCTATTTTATTTTGAAAAAGAGTTGGCTATTTTATTTTGAAAAATAGTTGGCTATTTTATTTTGAAAAATGGTTGGCTATTTTATTTTGGAAAATAGATTCGATTTTATATTTATAAAAAATAATAAGCGGAAAACTAAGTCAATGACCCGCAAAAATTTTTTTTTAGCAATTTTCATATTTCTCCCACAATTTTTATATTACTCCCACAAAATACCGAATTTCTCCCACAATTTGAAAATTTTGACCTGGCAACCCTGGATATCACACTCCTTTATATTTTCAAGGATGATAGGAGTTATGACCCTTCTACAGAAAAAAAATTTTGTCAGATTTTTATCATATTTATTTATGTCATATTAAAGAACTATTATTATATTATATAATAAAATTATTGCTCTAACAAAATTTTAAATGTGCATTTTGTCAAAAATGTTCAAATTTTTCCCCGTTTTAAACTCCCATATCTTAGCGGGTAATCATAATGTTAGGGAGGTAACTTTTTAATCATAGTATACACTACCTGTATACAAAATTTTAAAAAAATTATGAGAGGGTCGGGTTGAAAATCTACTTGTTGATTTGATATGGAATTCACCATACACAGTATATTTTTTGGCGAAATAAAATAAAGAAATACAGTACATATTTTGGTAAAATAAGTATAAATGACCAAAATATGATTAAACGTTATATTAGTATAAATTCTTGGGTAAAACCAACCGTCTTGAATATTTGGATTTGAATAAAAAAAATCTACAAAAACATCTTTAATTTCTTCCGCTATTATATTCTATCCTATCAAAGGTATGTCATGTCTTTCTTTAATTCATCCATGAGTCACGAAATTTGAATTTTTTTATAAAGAATTATGGAGAAAATTTGAAATGGTCTTGTTTTGTAAAATAACTCCAATAATTGATATATTTTTCAAATAAACGATAAATTTAATCATTTTGTTGTATGTAAAATTGAATATTTTTTATATTTCTAAATTTGTAATGAAAAAGAAGATTTAAGATAAAAATTGTTACTTAACAAATATCGAGAAAGTCTACGATACATTAAAATATCAAAAGTATCGCAATTACCTATCGATACATAAAAATTAATATCCAATAGTGGCATTTATACATATAAATAAAATTAGAATTAGTTTAACAAAATTCAGCCGAAGGTCATAAAAATACAAGTTAAAAACCCTCCAAAGAGGGATATGGGAGTAAAGCCCTACCCTTCCTATAAACCACTAAACTGAGGAGGACGTTGCTATATAAAATCTTTAAAAAGTTTAAATAGTGTAAACGACGAATTCATGATGTATTTCTTCCAGACAATACTTCATAAAAGCTTCGACTCTTAAAATGGCTTTGCCATAAACACCTTAGATAATTTGGTCAAAGAGGGGTACCTTCGAACTATATGGTAGGGGTATAAGAATAATTGCATCAAAATCTTAGTAGAGTGGGAGTACTTTCTTAGCGAACATATAGTCAATAACCATTTTATAAGCAAAAATTATATCATATTTTTAGTAACGAGTCTCTGATATATCTATAAATTACCTTCGGGCCTAACGAAGTTTAGTTCTATTTGAGATTGAGCGCTTCCGTGAGGGTTGGTAGCCCTTATTGTGTAGCTTCCGGTGTCGTACCTGGAATCCGGAGATCTAATAACAAGGGAGGCTATATAGCTATTGCCTCTAACCCTCTCCAACGTAAAACTGTGGTTTTGATGGGATGTCGATGGCGACGAAACTGTTGATGATGCCGTTTCGTTGAGCTGCTTTCCGTCCCGACTCCATATTATAACCGGTTCTGGGCCCGCTATTATTTCCACCTTTATTACCAATGAACCGTCATCTTTGTTCTTGTATAGCCAGGGTTTCTTGACGATATTTGGCGGGATGTTTTCTGAGATAACCATTTTATATTTTATTGATAGTTTGCAGGGGAAAGTGAGTTAAGGAGACGTTTTGCTCAAATACCCTAATTTTGTGAATGGAAATTTCTGGATGATTCTTCCTGGAAGAACAAATTTCTTCGATTTTGCAGAAATTTTTTTTATTAAAATCTGAAATAATTTTATATATTTTTGCGACAATTTTAGATAATATTTTTTCTTCGAAATGATAATAAACTCATCGTCATGAATATCATTTTGATTGTTGATCTTCGGATTGTTGAAAAATGCTTAATTAGGGCACGTTTTATTTTATATTTAATATCTATACCAAATCTAAAAAAAGAAGTAGTATAATCAATTATAATATATTAAATTAAATTGATTAATCTTTGAATGAAAACTATGAAGATTATTGTATAATGAAAATGTTAAGAGTTTTAAACAGGATCTAGATAGTATATAGATCCTTTAACAACTCTGGTAGTCCTTTAAAGCTGTTGGACTTTCATGGTAAAGAATAACTTTTCAATTTCTTTCTTTACTCTGATCCCCATTATTTTCTCGTGAATAAAAAAAAAACTCTATTTTTTTTTATACCTTTTGTCGAATGAAGAATAGAATTTATTCGCACCTTTTTTCGATAAAAAATATTTTATTTAATTTAGAAATTATTTTTTTTTTGTAATTTTTTAAAATTTGAATATCGAATGTAAGTGTGTAATGAGGATGAGAAGGATTGGGTGTTATTTAGAAAGTGGATAAATGCTTTATAAATAAAATAAATAAAAAAAATAATAGCGTATATTAGTAAAATATTATTTATAATTTTATATTTTTTAAATACTTTTTTTTGTGAATGTTAAATGGAATTTTAGAAAAAATACTTCCTTGATCACAGAAATCAAAATGGAAGAAAAGAATATTAAATTTAACTAAAAAAAAAATCAAAACATATGTTTGCCCTCAATTAAATTATTTTATTCTTTATTCTATCTTCTAATTATTATATTTTATTCTTTATTCTATCTTCTAATTATTATATTTTATTTTATTTCTTAGGATAAAGAGAATCTCGGTGGAAAAAAAAAGAAAAAGAACTAACTTTTTCGTAAAATATTTTATAAATTTAATATTTAAATATAAATATTTATTTTATTTTTTTTTTGTATAAAAAGTGGGAAGAACAGCTGAGGTAAGGGAATTGGCAAGAGGAAAAAAATCATTATTTTAAAAACAAAAACGAAAATAGGTAAAATGGAAACGTGCAGCACGTAACATTTTGTATTGTTAAAGCTATGAGTGAATTAAAGTAAAATATCATTTTTAAAAAGAAGGACATCTTGTTCTTCCTAAAATTGATTTTCAGCCGGAAATGGTTAAAAATATATTTATAATCTCTAGGGCCTGTCTTTCCCCGAAACTCTGTATCTTCTCAAATATTCTTCTACAAATGTAAGGATTCACTCTACCCAAAATATCCTCCTACATAAATCAGATCATTTGATCAAATATGATTTTCGATGAGCGTAAAATCGATTTTACGATAAGAGAAAAAATATTTGGTTAAACAATCTGACCCATGTAGGAAAATATTTTTTTTAGAGTGCATCCTTACATTTTTAGAAGAATATTTAATAAGATGCACAGTTTTAAATGACCGACAGCTAGACATTATAAATAAAAAAAATTTAATTTATACTTGTTATGTTTTCAGAGTATAATTTAAACATGGTACAATTCAATATTTTCCAATATTCCTTCTATTTTTTAAAAGAAAACTCATATTGATAACAAAAGATCGTATACTTTAATTTTTGAAATTTATAATAATTAAATTAGGTCATTGCCAGAGAGATTATTTTATTTGACATTATATATAATTTTATGTTTATAATTAATCAATATTCATGGTCAAGATTAATTAATATTTATATATATTCTATTCTTATTTTTTTTTAAATTTATTATTTTTTATTTCCGTCATTTTAACAAATTCTTCATTCTTTTTAACTCGTTTTTTATCTCTATATTTTTTCATATGACCGATACAAAGTTTCAATTTGTCACTCGATTTAGCTTAAATTTTAGGGTTTTCAACATGAAAGTTTAAAGAAATTTGAAAATACACCACATAATTACTTAAAGATATTATATTATATAATAGAAAGAAAGAAAGAAAGAAAGAAAGAAAGAAAGAAAGAAAGAAAGAAAGAAAGAAAGAAAGAAAGAAAGAAAGAAAGAAAGAAAGAAAGAAAGAAAGAAAGAAAGAAAGAAAGAAAGAAAGAAAGAAAGAAAGAAAGAAAGAAAGAAAGAAAGAAAGAAAGAAAGAAAGAAAGAAAGAAAGAAAGAAAGAAAGAAAGAAAGAAAGAAAGAAAGAAAGAAAGAAAGAAAGAAAGAAAGAAAGAAAGAAAGAAAGAAAGAAAGAAAAAGAAATTTTGTTATATTTTATTTTAGAAAATATTTGACTCTTGATTTCTCGATATTTTATTTGAATGTAACAAAAAATAATACATTAAAAAATTAACGATTTACATTTTTTTTAAAATAGAACAGCTGTTTTCATTATTTTATATTAAGAATATAGATTTCTAATTATTTTCTTATTAGTTTCATTCTCGAATTGGTTCTTGAAATATTAAGAACAAAACTAGATCAATATGGAAGTAGAACGGCTTATCAAAATCTGTTCTAGGGAATAAAAAAACCTCACAGTATAATAACGTTGCCCCTGACCTTCATACAAAATTTTTCCGCGGGCCCCTTGTAAGAAATATGGTCGCCTTTTAGAAATGTGGCTTCTTAAAAATTTTTCGGCGGGTGTTAATATAGCCCAGACCACTTCTACTTTGATCGTTACGCTTCGGAGGTTCTTTTTTTTACGGTTATAGTGTGATCAAAAGGAAACTTTCCTTTTTAATAGATCAATTTATTAATATTGGTTTATCATTGCCACAAGTTAAAGACAAAATATTTACTGATTCAGTATTAATCTTTATTCAATTGAAATTAAAATAATATATTCTCCAATTTACGAAATATATACTCGTATAAATACAAAAGTTAAAATAGCGATCTTTTTCTCTTTTTTTTCGCGCTCATAAACTTTAAAATTTACATTACAAAGAAAAGAAATATTATTAATATATTAAAAAAAATACCATTAAAATGTTATATTTTCTTTCTTCCCTTACCTTCCCTTTCCTTTCCTTCCTTTCTTTCCTTCCCTTCTCTTCCTTCCTTCCTTCCTTCCTTCCTTCCTTCCTTCCTTCCTTCCTTCCTTCCTTCCTTCCTTCCTTCCTTCCTTCCTTCCTTCCTTCCTTCCTTCCTTCCTTCCTTCCTTCCTTCCTTCCTTCCTTCCTTCCTTCCTTCCTTCCTTCCTTCCTTCCTTCCTTCCTTCCTTCCTTCCTTCCTTCCTTCCTTCCTTCCTTCCTTCCTTCCTTCCTTCCTTCCTTCTTTTATAAACCCGGGCCGGGCCGAATATTTTAAAGGCGAATATTTTGAATCGCCATTATTATCTCTAAAAATTTAAAATATATTTTAAAATTGCGTATCATGGAACAATATTTCATATTCACACACTCATCATATATATTTCAATTTGTTTCGATCCTTAGAAAATATTTCTAATAAAATATTGCTCAAATTTACTAAATCATTATTTGAGGTTATATTCAATCATATGAACAGCAACAAACTCCCACTCAATATTTAAAATATAATACACTTTTTAAGCGAAAATATTTATTTAAGATAAGCATCATTTTATCTCTTTTTTTCTCTGGCCTAAATTCAGGCAGTATGTTGCCAAGGAGAGCGCAAATGACTGATACTAAATTACTGTATTAAATTACGAGAGGAACAGCAAATAATGGGATAGTATGGTGATTCAAAATCTAGCTAAGGAGATAAGATAATTCTAAAAGTTATTTTATATGTAGATCCTTAATTTTCAAATCCTGGCCGGCCATTGCAAATGGTACCTCTGCAAGTCTCAGATTTTTCTTGCCGTTTTTTATTTTTTTAACTACTTTCACCACTCTACATAGGCTAAGCAATCTTTAAATCTAAATTTAGACACAGTGATGGCTAATTTAACTGAATATCGGTGCAATGAAAGTATTTGCAAATGCCGTGCTATATGAGAGGGTATTGCGAATATTTCGTCATTAATCTGGTTGAAAAGAGTTTGTACAATACAAATCAAACAATCTATATAAGCTGCAAAATTTATCTCAATACCTCTCGCCGATCTGAACTCAAATCATGGATAAATTTAATGGACTACAGAATGATAGAGTAAGAAAATTGATTTCAATCAGTTATAATAAACATATACTTGGTTAAATTCTCCCAGAATCCAATAAAATGGAAACAACCAATGAAGAGATACAAATATCATCTATTAAATCTATTTCTGATTCCGGGGATGATTTTCCAAACCCATTTAATTTTATATTACTATTTTATTAATATAAATTTATTTATATTTGGGACTTTTATTGTTTTTATTGATAAATAAAATATTTTGAGTTGTTTTAACTTCCCATTTTCCCTATTTGCCTCGGGAATTTCCCCAGACCTAAATTCTCGAGAATTTTACATCACTAGGTTTGAAGTTACATAATAAAAAATAATGGATAAAATGCGGACTCAGAAATAAATGAATAATCGGCTTCGGCCTATAATTTGTTTAAGTCGGAACGGCTAAAGTTGAAAAAAATATTGCATTTGCATGGCTCCAAATTTATGGTACGAACGATATAAGATTTAAACTAAGGAATTTAAATAAATAACTCCAATCAGAATAAAAAAATTAATTTTTTTTTTTATTTCCCTATCTTTCGTCCATTTGCTCTTAAATATCCGTGACACTGCTTAACTTAATTCAAACAAGTTAACAAATGCTTTCTTTTCCCTCTCTTTTGTTCACATTCTTTATTGAGTGTTTTATTTTTACCTAATCAATTATCGAATCAGTTTCTTATCCATAAAGTAACTTCAATTTTATATTTTATTTATCAATTCAATCATACATATATATATGTCGTATGGAGATTCGGAATCTTTTGATTTTAAATCCTTTACCGAGGGCAATTTAAAACAATTTAAAATCCGATTTAACCGGAAATGCATTCTAACATGTGTAGAGTATTTACCCTATAAATTTCAGCCAATTTCATTCGTAGATATTTTAGTATTTTTTTGAATTTATATGAAAAAT